CGATATAAGAGTAGGCCGTAGTGCCGCTGTCCTGGCAAAATTTCCCTCATAGCACACTGTATGGCGTATGCCCGTCTTCATTAGCCCAGGTTAGGAGCAGAACAGTAGGACGTTAGACCCCATTTCATTTCATTTTTCTTTTCAATGTTATTTCAATAATTCGCTTGCACGTAGGGGGTCTTTAGTTGTGGGAGGAAGCCGGACAAAACCCACGAGATTAGACAGGCGTTAAAGCATTCGCCCCCCCCCCCATAATTATTAGAAGGTCTGAGATAAATGATTTATCCCCAGGACCGTCTTCACCGCAAAGCTGTGCACTGAAACCCCTACCAATACAACCATTCACAGAAGGATTGCCAGGTAACGAAACATACACACACAACAGCTAATTCAACGAGAGAACTCAACAAGGGTTGTCGCATATATATTGTTTTGTAGGTAATGGGAGCATTTAACCCTTTCACACTACAATTAACGTGACGTCATAATGCCCACGGAATCCATTTATTTTTGATAATCATATTTTAATTGATTGTTTTCTTATATTTGATCATTATGCAAATGCTTTTGATGGGAACTGACAAAAAGTATATATTTTCCTGAAGAAGAATGAATGGTGGATATTATGTTAGAAACATGAGTTCCCCCAAAACTATTATGCCTTTTCTTGTAACCATAGCAACATACATAAATTCTTGTGAATAATAACAAAAGTAAACCGTTATTTAAATTCATTAATAAATTTCAAATATTTATTAATATTCAATAACATTTAAATAACAAAGATAAAAATAAAAATCATTATCAACAATAACAATAAAATTGGATATTTAGTGGTAAAATTTAAAATATCACAAAAATAGATATTTACAGATTTTATCATATTTAAATTTCTATACATAATACAGATACTGTATATATTTGAATTTTAGACAAACCAAGATAATATTTATAATTATTATAGAATGTATACAAGAAACCAATAATTCTGAATGTTCACTGTTTTGTTAAAACGAAAGTGTTACCATGGCAACCAATTGAAAATAATGCCTATTTGGGTTTTTCTAAAAAAGGACACTACATCATCTACAGTCTCAATATCATCATACTTATTCACTACATGTGAGGCACATTAACCTAACAATGATAAAATTAACAATCATCAGCAATAATGACAATAAAATTAGATATTTGGTGGTAAAATTTAAAATATCACAAAAATAGAAATTTACAGATTTTGATCATATTTAGATTTCTATACATAGTACAGACACCGCAAAATATATGGAATTTTAGACAAACTAAGATAATATTTATAATTATTATAGAATGTATACAAGAAACCGACAATACTGAATGTTTACTGTTTTGTTAAAACGAAAGTGTTACCATGGCAACCAATCGAAAACAATGCCTATTTTTTAAAAAAAGGAAAATACATCATCTACAGTCTCAATATAATCATAGCTATTCACTACATGTGAGGCACAGTAAGCTAACAATGATAAAATTAACAATCACGATCAACAATAACAATAAAATTATATATTTTGTGGTAAAATTTAAAATATCACAGAAAAAGATATTTACAGATTTTGATCATATTTAGATTTCTATAAACAGTACAGACACCGCATATATATATATATATAATTTGAGTCAGAGACAAACCAAGATAATACTCATCATTATTATACAGTGTGTATATATAAGAAAGCGATAATATTGAATGTGTTACCATGGCAACCAAATGGAAACAGTGCCTATTGAATGAAAAAGGACAATACATCATATATGCAGTTCGATATCATCATAATTAAGCTAACAATTTGACTTTTTTGTGTTTCCTAGCTGGTGCTGCATTTTCTTTATTTGGGTCCATGTAGGGAAAATTAACAGTATAATGATATCTGTGGAAACAGGGATATGGGCACATTCTTTTATTACACACACCACAACCATAAGTGGTTTCAACGCGGTTTGAATGGACAACACACCTACCCTGATTCTCATATTTATATGGAGCGTGTTCCAAGGTTCTATCAAACCTTATTTCTGGTGGTAATGTAACAGATGGACGCCCTCGTTTCTTAGTGAATGTTCTGCCACCTATCAACCCATCAGCCATGAAAAACTCATGTTGTGACAACTTTGACTGTGAATGAATTTTCTTATGTACAATAAAGGCTTGAACAGCAGAGAGTCTTAACAAATGCATAAACACTTGTATGTACCAAGTCAAAGATTTCATATGACGTCTATATGTAGCAACACGTTGATCAGATAAATCAACACCCCCCATATAAGAATTATAAGTGATAATAGCCCTAGGTTTGCTGATCGTAACTTCTTTACCACCCTGTTTCTTGTCTCTTCTCTGTATATCAACATCATCAAGATTACCTACAAAATAAAATGATAAATGAATAAAATACAATTTTAGCTTATTCGTAATTGATGAAATTAATTTTCACTAATATATTTTCGAATTATTTGTTTCACTTATATTCAAAAGTTATTGACAAAGATGGAAGATCTACATACACTTCCGGGGGCTGCGGTAGCTTAGCGAGTACTGTGCTTACTCTCTAACCAGGAGGTCGTAGGTTCGATCCCCGGTCTGGGAAAGAACATCTGGATTTTTCAATTCAGTGTCGGTGGCACAGACCTGAGGGGCTGAAATGCAATAGCACCTAGTAGTTTGGATGGGACAATAAACGAAGTCTTGTGTGCTGCATCAGGGCGCACTTTAGAGAACTCAGACAGTTTCCCTCATTGCACATGCCCGTCTCAATTAGCCAATACAAAACGTGCAAAAAAGTAGGACGTTTAACCCCTTTTTATTTCATTTCAACATACACACCCATTTTATATTCAATACCGCAGACACATTTGATTACCGTAACTGTATAATATAACATTTTTTTAATTTTTATTTTAAAAATATGCCTACCTGGGATATTTGTTAATAGATTGACAACTCTCGTGTCTTTCCAGCTTACAGCCAAAACATTGTTTGAGATTCTTTTCAAACTTTCACCTTTCTTTAGTTTTTTAGTTGCACTTTTTTTCATATCAGATGGAAGTCGTTTGCGGTTGCTGTTTACAGTGCCGCAGGATAAGGTTTTTACTTGAGATAGATATTCAATAAGTTCTATACTGGTATAATAATTATCCATAAATAAGTAGTGACCCTTGTTGAGAAAAGGCTGACAAACGTCAACAACGATTTGAGCTGTTTTAGATAATTGTGTGTCCTAGGGTATAATGTTTAGCACATATCCACTAGATGATTCTGCTAAAGTAAACAGTTTTATACCCCACTTTATAGGCTTATTCTTAATGTATTGTTTAATTCCAAGTCGTCCTTTGAACTTTAACATAGTTTCATCCACTGCAATTTCACGTTGGGGATTGTACACAAGTTGAAAACGTTTCACAACATAGTCTAATAGTGTTCTAATCTTCCAGAATTTATCTGACTTATTTACAGTTGTTGATGAATTGTCTACAAAATGAATACACGACAATATTTGAAGGAATCTTTTGCTGGTCATTGTCTGATTGAAACCAGGTGTTTGGGTAAGCCAATGTTTTGACCAATAACTGGCAATACGACCCTTTTTTTGCACAATACCAGTAGCGATGACTAGACCTAGCCACGTTTTCAATTCGGGCACTGAAATATTTGTCCAATCTTTATGAATATGTCTGCCTTCTTGACATTGTTTAGCGTACCTGTTTGTTTCTACAACAATATCTCGCAAAATATAGTCAGTAAATAAAAGTTGGAATAAATTGACGGCTTCAAAATGTTCAACACCTTCGAGATCTTTATTTACTCCAACAAGGTGTTCAAAAAAAAACTAACATCGGGCAGCTCAGTCAATTTTTTGGTCCATTCACAATTCTTTACCGGCACTGCATTTTCATTAGGAGCTTCACCATCGTCATCATATTCATCCGAATCATCGTGTTCCAAATCAATTTCAACATCCACATCGCGGGCGAGACCGTCTAAATCACAGTCGCTTGAAGCAGACTCACTGACGCTGTCGTCGGAATTTAGTTCGAACGCACTGTCATCATCACTGGCACGCTCTATGTCACTGTCGTCGCTTTCCCAGAAACAGGGGTCCGCTAAAACAACATCCACTGTTCGCTTGGCCATTTCAATCGACAATTTCATAAAAACATGACAGGAAACGCGACGAATCGTCAGGGTAAGGACTCAGACTAGCAATTATTTGCCCATTGACTTCAATGTTAAATGGCTGTAACATCACAGGCTGTAGCTTTTTTCTCAACATTCCGTTGGTTCCAATCTTTATAGGCACAATGGGGACAACATTTGGCAATCTCCTCATCATAATTTTGTAGGGGGTTGACCATTTAGATTTTTTGCTACACGGATTTGAAGTTGACTGGGGTGAAAATCTCACTTCCGACACAATGACTGCTCTGCAGAAAGACACTTTACACCCCCTATCCCTCCGCTGTAATATCATCAGTATTACCCAAAACTGCTATGAAATTGCAAATTTGATCCCTTTTCTCCAATTCTAGACCAAAAAGTCAACCCAAAAATGCAGGAAGAGGGGAGAAAAAAATTAAGGGAAAAATTGTCTATTTATAACTCGCACTACATTCGTCCATCATGAAATAAGGGGAAATAATTACTAGTCTTAGTCCTATATACCTCACATGTTTCTGCAGTTTAAACAAATCTGTTGTTATCTAATAAACAAACATATATGCAATTCCCTGACCAAAGAATATGAAAATCTATGCATTTTCAGATGAGCTGTGCGGCATTCTGCAAACACTATAATGCATCAGAAAACTGCGGAATTTCAGACAGAAATTTAAAAGCACATGAATTTTGAATTAAACAGAACATTTTTATTTTTGAACATAAATGCATTCTGTAAAAAGATGAGATAAATTCAATATAAATCAAACACGAAAATACTTTAAAACAGTAATCATGATGCAATATTAGACTTTTTAACACTTTCATCGAAAACCACACAGTTTTTCTCTGTTAACGTAGTTTCAAGTGCCAAATTGTGGTCAAATCTAAAATGTTGAAACATGCAGTGCCTATCAATTTTAAAATATCTCCTATATAGCTGTATTTCCATAGGATAAGTAAGTTGAAATAATCTGATTATGTAACACTACAACAGCTTTTTCATCCCTACCCCCCAGTTTGGAATCTGATAATTTAAAAGCACATGAATTTTGAATTCCACAGAACATTTTTATTTTTGAACATAAATGCATTCTTCAAAAAGATGAGATGAATTCAATATAAATCAAACACGAAAATACTTTAAAACAGTAATCATGATGCAATATTAGACTTTTAACACTTTCATCGAAAACCACACAGTTTTTCTCTGTTAACATAGTTTTAAGTGCCAAATTGTGGTCAAATCTAAAATGTTGAAACATGCAGTGCCTATGAATTTCAAAATATCTCCTATATAGCTGTATTTCCACAGGATAAGTAAGTTGAAATAATCTGATTATGTAACACTACAACAGTTTTTTCATCCCCACCCCCCGGTATGGAATCTGATACATTGCTGACCAATCATAGGTCGCCCCGTTCACTCGAGCCTGTCAAATGATTTACAATGGCGATGGTGCCTACAACTTTCCTGACCAAGAGATATGCACAACCGTCGATCAACACACAAGCCATTAATGTTATCTTCCAATATGAGAGGCCATGATAAACACACAAGCGTCCTTTTCAAGCTCGGAAATTAAGTCATCACCAAAAAGCAAAGTTTACAGAGGTCCCAAACTGATTACGATTTGCCCTCCACTTCCACCACAGGTGTCATAGAGATCAGGGATGAAATTGATATGCATCATCGTTCTCCTAAAGCCAGTCCAGGAAGAGATCAGGTTTTGAGATGTAGACCTGAAATGTTAAATTTGGATGAGAATGAGAATTCTGGGGCGAATACTATCCAGGGAAATGGTCATTGACATCCAGAAAATGGTCAAAATGTGGAATTCTGTCATTCAGTTAAATGTCAAGGGGAGAAGACAGGCCTGTGCAGTACCAAATTTCCAGCCCATTACTATTAGTGAGCAGAAGTGGGGATGAGGTTGGATTTACTTCTTAAAGTGTATGAAATGCACATTTATCTCACCTGTTTTGCTTCTTTTTTTTTAATACTTGTGTTGAGGTCAATCATTCCACTCTATGAAACATTGCCCTGGCACCTGAAATGATAGGAGGCTGGGGATAAATATGCAATAAAAAACAGTGAGAAAATAAGAAAAAAATATGGTTTCAACTGGAAATAGAAATAAACCTCTTTATTTCTCGCGAACAGCCCGTCACTGGCCCTCCAAAAAGAAACCAGTTAACAATCAGTAAAAAAGTAAACCTTGAGTGTCACATAAGTCTAAGCCAATCTCAAAGGTAGATGCCATGTTTTGAGGTTCGGTCTAAATATTAAGGCCAACTGCATGTTTGGTCAAAAGTCACACAGGTGTGAATTTTGGAGTGTACATGTTAACATTTCATTGTATGATGTCAAAAACATGTTAGGTCTAAATGTTAAGGCCAACTGCAGACTTGGTTCAAGGTCACAACATGTAAATAGGGTTAGGGCACATGATTTTTTTACACAATTGTGGGTTTGGGCTAGGGTCAGAACTAGGTCTTGGCTTAGGCCTAGGCTACATGCTTTTTGACAAGATTGTGGGTTAGGGTTAGGGTAAGGACTGGGTCTTGGGTTAGGGTTAGGGTCAGCCTTGTTTACATCTCGTGACTTTAGACCAAATCTGGAGTTGAGTTGGCCTTAATATTTAGACCTAACCATGTTTTGATATCATTGTGAAGAAAATGTTACACATTTACAACCCAAAATTCACACTCAACCAACGGATACCCCCAATCATGGCTATTTTGATACCAAATAGTCAAAAAACTTACTGCTGGGCAATAAAAAAGCAGTATTCTTACTATTTCTGACACTTTCCATTCAAAACTTCAGGAAATAAGCCCTTGAAAAAATATCAACATCCCGAGTCGGCCATGTTTCTTTATCTCATCAGGACTCAGACTAGCAATTATTTGCCCATTGACTTCAATGTTAAATGGCTGTAACATCACAGGCTGTAGCTTTTTTCTCAACATTCCGTTGGTTCCAATCTTTATAGGCACAATGGGGACAACATTTGGCAATCTCCTCATCATAATTTTGTAGGGGGTTGACCATTTAGATTTTTTGCTACACGGATTTGAAGTTGACTGGGGTGAAAATCTCACTTCCGACACAATGACTGCTCTGCAGAAAGACACTTTACACCCCCTATCCCTCCGCTGTAATATCATCAGTATTACCCAAAACTGCTATGAAATTGCAAATTTGATCCCTTTTCTCCAATTCTAGACCAAAAAGTCAACCCAAAAATGCAGGAAGAGGGGAGAAAAAAATTAAGGGAAAAATTGTCTATTTATAACTCGCACTACATTCGTCCATCATGAAATAAGGGGAAATAATTACTAGTCTTAGTCCGTAAACAACATTTAGAGTTATTTCCCTTCTATATTGACGGTCAAGGTGAAATTCCTGAATTTTAACCCTTTACACCTCATTGACGTAATATTACGTCAAGTAGTCGGAATTATATGACGTAATATTACGTCAAGTAGTCGGAAAGGGTTAAAAGACATCCAAAACTGATCAAATGTAACCATCCTTTAAGTTATGATCAGAAATAATTAAAACTTGATTGACTTCTAGTTTTTCTAGATGCGAATATTTATGATACGAAACCGGTAACAGTGATATGTTTAAATGCTCGACTTCTCGGAAATCGTTGGAAATCAGGCGTAATAACGTAAAAAACTGTGTATTAATTTCACCACAATCGACCCTCCCCCCCCCCCCCCAAAAAAAAAAAAATATTCGCTTTTAAAGATAGGTTGCCAGGCAACGAAATATACGAACACAGAAGCTAAATCGTCCGTACGGTCGACAAGGGTTGACGCATATTTATTTTCTGCAGGTAATTGGCGACATTTACAAGACAATTTCATACAGATCAGATTATAATTTTTGTCATTTGGGGTTCACATGGTTCTACAAACTGAAACAAGGGCATTAACAAGGCATTTTGAAATTTGACAGGCTTTTCCGTTTTACTCATTTAAATAATACATATACATTTCATACAGATCGAAAGGTAACGTTTGTCATTCAAACGTTCACAAGTTTCACAAAGTAAAAAAAAGGGTCATAACCCTAGAAATAATTGACAGAAAGTGCTGAAATTCATTAGAACTCCGTTTCACAAATTTAAATGATGCATATCAATTTCATACATATCGGATGATAACTTGCATTAACAAGGTTGAACAAAGTGAAACAATGGCCATAACTCTAGAAGTAATTATTGTAAATTGCTGAAATTGAATAGGCTTCTTGGATTCACTAATCTAAATGATGGATATAAATTTCATACATATCGGATGATCACTTTAGGCGCTAGACCGTTCACGTTAGCCTCCACAGCGTTCATAACATTTTCTTGGTGATCAAGGGCCATAACTCAGATCGTAATTATCGAAAATCACTGAAAAGCAATAAGTTTTAAGTCAATCCGATACACTTCAGCCTCTAACAATCGCAGACACTTTACTGACGGGAGCGACGACAATACGGGCATATAAAAATAAACATTGTAACACAATAACAAAATACGATATTTTAGGATATATTTTATTAACGGATGACTAATTATAGTTTAATTAAAATATGAATTTGTAAATAATACAATATGTAAGTGGCACATATTTGGAAATCTCCAGAAATAATAGATGTCATATCTTACCATCACTAAATAACAATTTATAACAATTATTTAAAGTACAACAGACCAACAGTGACGCTGATGTCCCCCGTCGAAATCCCAAAATGTGTATTTATTGCACATTTATATTTTACAAAAAGTATGAGCAATCAGACAGATTATAAATGTATATACAATGTATAATTAGTGTAAACATAAAATGTTCACGATGCTTGGTAGTGAAACTATACACTGCCACTGGGCTTCGTCACTCTCCATCAGTTAGAATCAAAGTCACCACTTTGCCTAAGCACAGAATGATCAGCATCGCAATTTGTTAAGGTACTGATGTAATGAAACTATAAACGAAGTGCATTCGCCCAATAAACATCTACACAAAGTTTGCACATTCTAGCTCAATTAACAGGAGAGTTATTGGGTCCCGAATAGTGTGACAGACAGACAGACCCAATTTAATAGTCCTCTGCTTTCTTCGAAAGGTGGGGAACAATTATACTACACTGCAATCGTTAACGACAACCCATCATAAGTAAATGGTTATTGTTAAGTTGGAAATTGGTTGCATAGTGGTGGTTTTCCAGTATTCAAGTCTATGTTATAACAAACACTACTGGCATAACAAAATTCTCACGATTAAATATGAAATTTACATTAGCAAGTGCAAAAATGAATGCAATGAAAGAAACAAAATATATACACAATGATTAATAACAGGTTTTGTCATAACATTTTGAGGTAATTATATCGAATGACCTGAACACGAATTTAACAAGTCTTAGATAACTAATATAAGACATCAAATTCATTATAGGTTTACCTTTCTAATTTTAGAACTAAGCGCAAATAAATAAACCAAATCGCCCCTTGGCATAGTACACAATTGCATGATACTTTCAGGAAATTCAGGGTATACAGCACAATCAAGAACAATAAATAATTTTGCTTGTAGTCGTAGATGACAAAATCCCTCCTGCAGGCGGGTAATTTGTGTTTAAAAACAATATTTTTATCCAGGATATCTGAATCGGATTGGGAAAAAAAGGCTTAGCCTGAGTAAAACCCCTCTTCCTAAATAATATAGAACTATATACATAATATTAATACAGGCGGGTAATATGTAAAGCATTTCTGCGCAAAAAATACATATATACATATAACTATAAAACCGTTAATAATTTGTGAAAATGGTGGAAGTATATGCGGCTACTGAGGGAATGTTATTCCAAATCTTTCAAATTTAACCAAACACAATATATACTATTCAAAAAAAGTAGGGGATATTTGATTTTGGGGCATTAATACTAAAATGTGCAAATGACTACGAAAAAAGTCACTATAGAACCTAACAGAAGAAACATTTCCAGTTACATGTGACGCCCAAACGCACCAATAGCTACCGCATGGAATGCAGGTGATGCTTGGGATCATCATGGGGGTCCAACCCAAGATTTGCACGACTCTGACTTGGAATGTTACAGTCATTGTGGCATTGAATTCCAGGGTGGAAACATCAGTTTAATTGTTTTAGTGACCAGAAAACAAATTTTGATATGCGTCGGCTTACCCAAAATGAAAGGTTACGTGCCCTTGGCATGCTACAGATCGGCACAACACAGGCGGTTGTGGCGCGGACGATGAATGTTTCTCAGTCTGTCATAAGCAGGCTATGGTCCAGATACCGTGATACACAATCTGTACAGGACAGACCACGCTCAGGTCGACCAAGGGCGACAACTCAAGCCCAGGATCGATTTATCCGTACCTTGGCCTTGAGAAATCGTGTCATCACAGCAAATCAGATCAGCGCTCGTCTTCAAACAGACACTGGTGTGAGAGTGAGTGGCCAGACGATTCGGAATCGACTGCATAGGGGTCACCTTCGCGCCCGACGTCCTCGCGTGATCCCTTGTTTGAGAAATCATCACATTCAGGCAAGACGTCGTTGGTGTAGGGATCGTCAACACTGGGATAATCGACGCTGGAGCAATGTGATGTTTTCAGATGAGTCAAGGTTCACTGTTGATTTTTTGGACAGACGTAGGAGGGGTGTGGCGTCGTCGAAACGAGCGCTTCCAAGACGTTAACGTCATCAGACATGATCGATTTGGGGGTGGTTCTGTTATGGTGTGGGGAGGCATCACTGTTGCTGGAAGAACGGCTTTACATGTTGTTGCAGGGCGTGTTACAGGCCAGTACTACCGGGACAACATCTTGGCAGTCCATGTTGTGCCGTTCGCACGACGTCATGGCCGCCGTTTCATCTTCCAGGATGACAACGCAAGATGTCACAGGGCCAGGATCGTTACAGGTTACCTCCAACAACAGAACATCACCACATTACCTTGGCCAGCACTGAGTCCCGACCTCTCCCCCATCGAGCATGTCTGGGACATGCTTGGACAGAGGTTACGTCAACGACAACAACGTCCTGCCAATGTCCAAGAACTTGCTGCTGCGTTGCAACAGGAATGGGACAATCTGGACCAAAATGACCTTAGACGTCTCATTAGGAGTATGCCACGTCGGATCAATGCTTGTTTGGCAAACAGAGGAGGATTTACCCGTTACTGACTTGGTTGTGATGCTGTGGTAACTTTGCTGTTTGACCCCGGGTATCATTTTACCCTTATAATGGTCAGTCTGTGCCTTACTTAGTCTAACGATCATTTGGAATAAATCGATGAATGTGAACTTCATTTCATTTTGTCATTTGTTTCTTCGTCAGTTTCATTAGGTGACTTTAATAACACTTAAAAATCAAATATCCCCTACTTTTTTTGAATAGTATATATTACTTCCTACTTTAAAAGACCAAATAATGTTTAAATAATACACGCAATTATATTTTACATTATTCTTGGCTATTTCCAACACTAACGATGATAAAGATTAATGAGATATCCAGTCAGGCATTGGTTAATTGTTAATTTAAATTTTAAGTAAAATTAAATAAAAATTAAAAGGTCTACACGGCGACATTCCCGACAACTGTAACTGGTGAGAGTATCGGGTTAAAATACAACTTTAACGGGCACACTAAACTGATCATACGAATAAGTTTAGATATCAGTTATTAAAGTTACAATTTCATATTTTCTAAGAAAGTCAAAACATAATTATGTCTATGTCTTTTGCTCAATAGGTTGTCAACTCACTATTATACGATCATAGGTTATCTTTCTCACACTTAAAAATCTTCACACCGGAAATAATAACACAATTAGCTTCCAATTACCTCCCTTGTTTTCCTATTCCACACCATGGAATAGCTATCTTCATACGTTTGAATTTGAAGTTGAAAATGTATTTTTGCCAATTTCTCAACTGGCAATAGTGAATTATAGGATTAATAGGATTATTCTTTAACAAGGTGGGACTGTTTATATATACTATCTATTTTAAGGTTTTATTTTAATACATTTTAAAAATATAACTTAAAAATATGAAATTATAGACATAAGCACATAAACAAGAGATCTATCAACATTTGTGACTAACATAATTATGCGAGCATGTATCCCATGTCTAGAATTAAACACTTCTACTAGTAGAGATGAAGGGGTCTGTGTTTTGTATCTGTGCGTCGTAATCCATTTTTTCCCATAAGTGTAACACTGCGGCATAATCTCTTTCTTTTTACACAATATGTGATAATTTTGGACCAGGAACATCTTTTTCTCCATCTTCTTTTTGGTGTAACGCATTGCGAAAAAGTCAAAGGCTCCATCAATTCAAGTCCGATCACAATGCCAATTGGCATGCTTGTTCTTTGAGCAATCCTGCATCGATGTGGTGAATTAGCTTTTTGAATTCCATCCAACAACATGGTTAGTTCCTGGTCCATAGTAGATCGTACTTGTTTTAAAGAAAGCAATATGGCGTATTATTGCGACGATCCGATACATCTTGATCTCTTGTAATATTGTCTATCCCACTCAACTCATTTGATCTCTTTGTTATATTGTCTTTCCCAGTCACTCATTTGATCTCTTTGTTATATTGTCTTTCCCAGTCACTCATTTGATCACTTGTTATATTGTCTATCCCACCCACTCATAATTCACTAAACAACGCTATTCCCAACACGGACACGTTACATATGTAATTCCGCATATGATAATACACAAAGGTGGGGATTTAAGGAGTTGTCAGAACAGTATGTAACTACAAAATATGTTTCATGTCATATAACCCTTGAGTGGCATTTTATACGCATATAGTACAACGTTTCGACATGTATTCTCTGTACTTGATAAGAATAAGAGAATTTGTACTTGATAACGATGAGAGAATACTTATCGAAACCTCGTGCTATATGTATATAAACCAGTGATTGTTTTTCCATATAAATTGTGTTATGTTTTTCAATGTTTTATGTCTCTGATGCCGCTGATTTTGTTGATTATATGCTACAGTATTAATGATAATTGTAAAGTGGAGAATAGAATCGTGTCATATTGTGTTTACTGGCGATAAATTACAGTGAATAATATGAACTCGACTTAAGAAATCATTATAGAATTTTTATACAGAAGTCATCAAGTTTATACCGAAACATAAAACACTGCAAATTCGATCCAAAGTTGAGAACATCTATGCCATGTCCTTGATTATTATGCACATCTATGCCACTTTTCTGGTTATAATGCACATCCATGCCACTATTGGTCATAACGCACTTTCCAGCTGACACCCTCCTCCCTTTAGGAATAAGCATTGTCTATTAATAGTTCTCCGATATTATCAAAGTTCCACATAAAAAAAAAAAACTAAAATATCCGGTAAAAAATTAGCATAGGTATGTCTCTCTATGGTTATACCGAAACGTAAAAAAATGGCAATTTAGATCCAAAGTTGAGTACATCCATGCTACTTCCTTGGTTATAATGCCCATTTATGCCACTTCCTTGGTTACAACACACATCCATGCCACTTTTTTGGTTATAACGCACATCCATGCCACTTTCCTAATATACAATACCCTCCTCCCTTTAGGAATAAGAATTGTCCAGGCATAGTTCTCCAATATTATCGAAGTTCCACATCTAAAAAAAATCCCTAAATTATCTGGTAAAAATTTTATATACAAAACATTAGTAGAGAAATAGTTGGTAATTAATTATAAATTAATATATAGTCAATAACGTCCACAGAGATGGGCGGATCACGGTAACTATAATATACGACTACATTTAAATCTACGAGCAAACTAAGAGTAGGTTTAATTGGGTTCTAGATCACTGGATGTTTATTAAATCTGCCAAAAAGACCGTTATATCAACATTCCAACAGTCAGGATAGTTCTTTTAATGTTATGCCTACATACATTATTTAATCTATATAACAAAAAAACATGTTTTGTAGTTAATGAAAATTCAGAAAGTCTCCAAATTATTATTATATCTAATCCACTTAACAAATGTAATCAACCCACTTCAACGTTTTATTTGAAATTAAATCAAAGCGGTTTACCTCCCTTTATGAGTTTCAAGCTTTATTCGAGGTAACCGATTTTACTCAGTATCGTGGTGAGAGAGAGAGAAATGGAGTTTAACGTCCAATCGAGTATCGTGGTAATAATGAACTAATCTGTATGGTTCAATGGTCAAGGGTGAGACATTAATTAAAATATGATTCGTTAGTCTGAGTTATGTTCCCATATAGTACTCAATGTTTCAAGTTTTATTCGAGGTATCCTACTTTACTCAATTTAGAAGTAATAATGAACAAATATGTGTGATTTAATGGTCGAGAGCGATACATTATGTAAGAGCTAAATCTACCAATTGCAAGTCTTTCTTTAGCCTTAAATGTTATATAAATTATTAAACATACATTATGCAAGAGCTAAATCTGTCTGATGCAGGTCTTTCTTTAGGCCTGAAATGTTATCTAAATTATTAATTAGACATTAATTAACCTATCCAGACAATAATCAACTCTAACTGGCATCGCTATTCTGCGATCTTAAGTGTATTATGAGCCGATTTACTGCATAACTGTCCTTCACGATTTAACGATTAAGTGGATAATCGCGACTATGCTGTTTATCGTACTGACTTTAGTAATGATGACAGAGTCTAGGCGGAAATTTCAAACGCTTAGTTCTCGCTTCATAGTGGATCAATTTGAATGAAATTTTCAGCACATTGCCTTTACATTATCTAGAAATGCAACTATTATAGTAAGAACTGCTAACTCGTTTGCGAATCTCCCATAATGTTTTTTAATTAGACATTTATATACATAACAAAACCGTAATCAACTCTCAATGCCATCAGATACTCCAGAGTTTAACTAGATTACAACGGTTCTGCCATTTAATGATATAATTTAAACATGGAGACGTCACGCTGGTTACGATAATAAACAACCAATACCCACATCCTGTCGAAACTACAAACTGTGATAACTTGGTTCAGAATTAAGTCATTAGAATGAAATTTTCAATACATTATCATGTTTTTAAACTATAATAGCAAGCACGACCAGGTCTTTATCTAAATCTTACATAATGTATCTTTAAGTAATATAATGATACTGCATAAGGACGTCCACTTCAGCTTCCTGTTTCTTGAATTGGGACTGAATAACGTCTTTCTTCCAAATTCGCCAGTTGGTGTTCTAGCATTGCGGCGACTCTGCCGTAGTTAGTCTTCAGAGCTTCTATTATTCTGGGTAGAACCATTTCACCACGTTCGCTTAAAATTTCCCAAAGTTTAGTTGCGCCACCTTCTGTATAGTTCTCTCGCACTTCCCTTCGAACCTTTTCCTTATCATCCATATTGATTATGTTCTTCGAAAACAACTTCCGCATCAAGTCTTCTATGTCGCCTTTAAATTTCTTCACCAAAACCTCTTGGTGTCTTGTCCATATTTGTAAATGTCCAGGAATCATTTGGTCCCCTTCCACTTTAACTTTAGCTTAAAACAGATGAAAAAAGGTATTTTTATGATATAGAGAATCTCCTACCAGTCTTTTCTGATATCAAAAAATATCAACACAAGTTGATAAAGTAACAAAAAACGAGGCTCTGCCGATTTTTTTTTTTACTTTATCAACGAGTTTTGATATTTTTTGATATCAAAAAAGACGAGTAGGAGATTTTATTTATCACCCAAACCCTCCTTACATGCACAAATAGTTAAATATAATTCTTTGCTATAGATTTCACTTTTACTGAACATTACGGCGTAGTGAGATACATCATATTTTGACAGCAATTCAACCATTGCAAACTCCTTTATATTGGCCCAGTGTCTCCATCAAGGTCAATTGAATAACAATAGTTCATTTTAAACAAAAAAAAGTTACTTTTTATAAGAAATGAACTGTTATTTGAAAATAAAAAAAAGTAGTTCCTTTTCAACTGACCAATCAAATTCATGTAAAGCGATATCTCCTAAGGAGATTATGAAATATATCACACAAGCGATATCTACTGTAGAATGTATTATTGGGTGATAAATTATGTTATGGGACGGGGCCACGGTGGATAAGTGAGTAAGACGTTGGCGGCTCGCTAATCTGTAGGTCAAGTGTTCGATCCCTGCGTTGGCCGAGAAAGTTCATCTGGATTTTTCGGGGTGGTCCCCTGTTGTCAGTGGTGCAGACCGGAGGACCTCTCAAAGGATAGCGTGTAGTCATTTGGATGAGACATCATTCAAGATTAAAACCCAAGATATTCAAACGGTTGAATATAACGAAATGAAATAAAATGGGGGTTAACGTCCTACACGACCACATGTCAATGCAGGTACACGAATACCTCATATACATGTACTTCAGATTGATCGCATGCCCCATTTTAAAGGGGAAATAACTCTGTTGTGATTTGAAGGACCAATTCTATTTATAGCAATTTTTGTCTTCCCAAATTTTGATGACTTTTTGGTTTGAATTTTTATATTTATATTTTCTTTGGTTAATTTGAGGCGTAAGGTCAAGGTGTGAAATTGGGACAACTATGAAACGAATTCACATACCCCTTTGGTTGGAAAAATGAAATAAAATGGAGTTTAGCGCCCTACTGTTCTGCTATAAGGGAAATTCTGTCCGGACAGCTGCGCTACCGCCTACTCTTCAATCAAACCCCTCAAACCCCTTTAATATTTTGTACGATCGTTGGGACATATAGCCAAAGATATGTCATGGAATGAATATAGCTGTCAATGGTCCAAAATAATATTATATATACAACAACTAGAAATTAATATTAATATGTAGAATATGATACATTGTGATCTTGTTAATATAACAGATTCTACTAGAAATTAATAGTAATAGAATATGATACATTGTGATCTTGTTAATATAACAGATACTACTAGAAATTAATATTAATATATAGAATATCATACATTGTGATCTTGTTAATATCATAGATTCTACAACTAGAAATTAATAGTAATAGAATATGATACATTGTGATCTTGTTAATATAACAGATTCTGCTAGAAATTAATAGTAATAGAATATGATACATTGTGATCTTGTTAATATAACAGATACTACTAGAAATTAATATTAATATATAGAATATCATACATTGTGATCTTGTTAATATCATAGATTCTACAACTAGAAATTAATATATAGAATATGATACATTGTGATCTTGTTAATATAACAGATACTACAACTAGAAATTAATATTAATATGTAGAATATCATACATTGTGATCTTGTTAATATAACAGATACTACTAGAAATTAATATTAATATATAGAATATCATACATTGTGATCTTGTTACGGGTGGTTCCATTCTAACGGGTGGTGGTTCGTTATCCGGATCTGAAGTAAATAGATATGCAACTTAGTTTCATTAGACATACTGCTGGCAAATGATACTAAAAAAATATAAATGAAGAGCAGAAACAGAATAACTCTTTGTCCTATTTTATATCAAAAAAAAAATAATCACATTTCAATGTGGCCTTTTTATGTCGCCACCATGACCGCCGCTTAACAATTGGCTTGGGAACGCGATAGAGGCTACAGTTGTTCACGGACTCTCTGTCAAATTTGGTGTGAAGTATTTAGGTCATGAGAAGTCAAACCCTATCGATATGGCTCAAGTTATTTGTTATGGTCGCTGAGATGTAAATAAGGTTAGGGCACGTGATTGTTGTCGAGATTGTAGGTTAGTGTTAGGGTAAGCATTGGGGCTAGGGCCAGGTTTAGGGTTAGCGCTAGCCCTGTTTACATCTCCTGACCCATGACGAAAAACTGAGCTGGCCTTATCATTTTGCACTAAGCCTATCGATATGCCGCCTCATCAAATGTTGTGAACAACCAAGTCTTCATTTCGGATAGACTGCTCCCATCTCCTTTTCGAGAGAAAGCACCTGTGTCGGCGTATTTCCACGCTTTGCTTGGCTATCTTTAATTTTAAATTTAAAATTATGTTTTGTTTCTGTTTGAATGGTGACAGCCAATATATGAAATAACTAATATGGAAATAGTAATAGCTGCCAGTTAAAAGAAAAATGATTTTATTCTAATAATCACGTTACGAAAACACAGAATCATTTATGACATAAAGACACAATGACTTTTAAATCAGTCAATTTATAAATATATATATTTTATGATATTATTATATATTATATTATTGGGGCCTTACGAAAATTACGACCATATTACTTCAATTTTAATTTTACAAATTGAGTCTATTGGATATATGTCTCATCTAAAATAAACCCATTTCACGTTCAGGAATGATCTGTCTTCAGAACAGGCGTGTACAAGTTTTTAGTTCATGGAACATAACTCCAACATTGCAATGTTTACCCCATCAAAGACTGCCTATAAATGTCAGGCAATTATGGACGACCGACGGGGATGGTGAAAATATACGACCATATTTCAAAACCAAAATTGCAAGAGATTACTAGAATTCAGATTTTGTTAAACAATTCCTGCCCTGGAAACGTTAACATTGAGAAACTTGTTTGTGTCAGCGAAATGAAATGAAATGGGATTTAACGTGCTACTGTTCTGCTCCTATACTGGGCTATTGAAGACAGGCATACGCCATACAGTACGCTATGAGGGGAAATTTTGCAAGGGCAGCGGCACTATCGCCTACTCTTATATCGAATTCCAACTGCCAAGGAATCTTTTACGTCCAATGTATACACGGGACCTCGGTCTTTCGTATCATCAGAAAGACTAGACAGCTATCCTTGTCAGGCCCTCCGTTCTGCACCACTGACAAGGGGAAACCACGTCGGAAAATCAGGATGAAATTTCTCGGCCAATTCAGGGATCGAACACCAGACCTCCAAGCTAGCGAGCCAGCGTCTTAACCACCTAGCCACTGTGGCTCCCTTGTCTCAGCGAAACCAAATCGAATAAGTGTATACAGATCAATGAATTGTAATTATATACCGTTTAATCGTATAACAAGGAATCGGGGATTAAATTTGTTGTTTATAACTTACCTCTGTCTATCCGATCAGCAATCTGCCTCAAGTTCTTCGTTTTAAGAGCTTCCAGAAAGAGATAATAACAATCACCACACTCAGTCATCACGATATCAAGTAATGCCTTTACTCTTTTCCGGCCCTTTGGTATGGACTCTATTTGGCCCTGTTGGTCATCAGAAAGAACATCTTTCTCGAACAGATAATCTATGACACCATCGATATTTATAATATTTTCATATATAAATCCCAAATTTTTCTGAATTTTCTTGTAGTGATCGCTTGGCATTCTCGCCATTTTGATATTTTACCTGTAGAATAAATTATACATTATGTGTGGTTTAGTGCTTGTGACGGAAATGAAGTATGACTTATGTTATTAACCATGTTGCTATGAAACTATACGCTAGGTGTTTGTAGAAAAACATGCAATTAAAGGAAATTAAATGAAAGGGAGTTTAACGTCCCACTGTTTTGCTCCGACTGAGTTAAAGAAGACGAACATACGCCCTACAGTGTGTTATAAGGGAAATTTTGTCAGGACAAAATAATTTTTGGTATAAATTAATGGAGAGAATACACTGTTACTTGATCGGAAAGTAGACGAAAACCGGTGACTTTTCTGTATGTAGGGTAGGATTAGAATCAGATTCTGTCAGTCCACATTCGTGAATTAAAAACTATAAGCCACCTACCCAGGCTTTCGCGCCGCGGGGTATCCGGGCCTGTAGAGCGGTACAATAATGGTGAGCACGCCAGTTTTGATCGCTCTAGGCAGGCTGAATAGCTTATGTGATATTTTTTCGTCTGAAGGTCACGGTTTTTGTTGTTTCATTTATTTGCTTGCTTAAACTTTCCTGACAAAACCGTATACTTCTGATTATTATTACGTTAGTAAAACTAAAACGTAGTACATTGATTTGTTATGTCATATTCTGTTGTGTTAAATCTCAGAACCCTACCGCCCCCCCCCCCATTTAGCTCAGTTGCCTGTCCCAGGGCCTGAGGGCTCCTGTCGCGGGCTGTGGTAAGCGTTCTGGGATTCCTTTGGTTTATGCACTAGGGACTGAAGGAATTACTCAATGACACCACATACTACGTCATTATTGGGGAAAACGTGCAAGAAATCTAGGGCAAATGTGGTCTAGTTATCTCCCTTGATCATGCAATACCAACAAATATTAACCGATACTACCAAACATCAAAAACGAAATGAAATGGATATTTTAACGTCCTAAATGTGTGTTGCTCCGATTGGGTTAATGAAGATAGGTATACCTCATACTGTGTGAGGGGATCACGTGGCTAAGTGGGTAAGGCGCTGGCTCGCTAGCCTGGAGGTCGGGTGTTCGATCCCTGCATTGGCCGAGAAAGTTTATCTCAATTTTCCGGCGTGGTTTCCCCTTGTCAGTGATGCAGAACGGAGGGCCTTACAAGGACAGCTGCCTAGTCGTTCGGATGGGACGAAAAGCCGAGGTCCCGTGTACACATTGGCGAGCACGTAAAATATCCCTTGGCAGTTGGAATTCGATATAAGAGTAGGCCGTAGCGCCGCTGCCCGGGCAAAAATTTCCCTCATAGCACACTGTATGGCGTATGCCCGTCTTCAATTAGCCCAGGTTAGGTGCAGAAGCGTAGGATGTTAAACCCCATTTCATTTCATTTCCATACAGTGTGTTATGAGCGAAAGTGTTCTTTTATGTGCACGCCAATGTGTACACGGGATCACAGTTCTTCGTCCCATCCGAACGGCTATACGTTGTTCCCTGCCAGTCCGTCTGTCATGCACCAATGTTAAGTGGTAAACAAGGAGCCGGCCCTTCCGTCATGCACCAATATCATGGGGGGAACACGGCGGACACTCCCGATATGCACCAATGTCATGGGGGAAACACGGCGGATTTTTTTATTGGTATTTCCCTGAAATAATAATAATAATAATAAAAATAATAATACTTTATTCAGTGATACAAGGTAATAGACCCATAGAACATAGAATATAATATATATATATATATATATATATATATATATTATAACATATATATATGTGATATCATGTGATATTAACTTAGCTGACCAATCTTAAATATCAATATCCTTAAGCCTTAATTTCACTGATTGTATAAATTTTCTGACATTAACTTTACTTTCTGAGTAGAATGTAAAACTAAAACCAAGTGAGAATAACATCATTCTCAAATGAGTAACCCATGTTTCCCGGCCCAAATTAAAATCTAGATTTTTTAACATTAGATACACCTGTTTTGGATAACGGTCTATATTCATATTGATTAAAGTGCACCAATATTTTATACAAGACAATATGTAATAAACACTGAGGCTATGTCGCCCACATTCTCCTACAGCTCAAGCACTGGTGGAAGATTTATGTATACCTAACACAAACTTACAAAAGTTCTTATAACATGTTCTACATCAGGTCTGTACTGAAATCCCCAAAGCTGTGAACCGTACAGTAGAACCGGCTTGATTATAGCATCAAATATTTTAAAGCATACCTGCGGATGAGGGTGGCCTGTTTTTGAAATGAAAGACTTAATAGGAATAAGAGCATTCGGCTTTAAGTGATTTACCCCAGTGCAACCTGGAAGAAAACAAGAGACCTAAGTAACTGTAATATGTGACACAATCAACCTTTGTCCCTTTAAAGTACCTCTTTTCACTTTTCGTTATTATGCCCCCATTTCGGAAAACAATAATTGTTGTTTTATCAATATTTACAGACAGTTCAGAGTACTCACAAAACTTTTCTAAGACATTGATTTTCTTTTGAAGGTCACCAATGGTGTCAGCCACAAGACTGAGGTCGTCTGCATATAAAAGAGCTAGAATATCATTCACGTCACTAACAGTGAATATTCCTTGTACATTACGTTGCTCAAGCAATTCTAATAACTGATTTATATAGAAGCAGAAAAGAATTGGACTTAAAATACACCCCTGTCTGACACCAGTATGACAGTCAAAAGAAGGTGTGGTTTCACTGCCTAACTTGACAGATGAGGTCACTGATTTATACATATTGCATAGCGCTTTATGCATATTACCTCGAATGCCCTTCCTGAGAAGTAAATTCATCAATTTGACCCGATTTACGCAGTCAAAAGCTTTAGAAAAGTCCACGAACTGTCCACGAACATGCAGTAAAATCTGTCCTTGGGTTTGGACAGATACTTTTCAATTAGGCCATCTGAATTAATATGAATCTGAATTAAATACAAAATTAAACAGAATTGTCAAAATATCTGAGAACAATATAATGGACATGACTTAATTAAATCAATACAGATTCCATCTGGTCCAGGGGCTTTCCCGGATTTCATATTCTGATAGGCTCATTTAATACCTCATAACCATTATTATTCCTATCAACGTCATAGTCAAGGTCAGAATGACCTCTATATCAAGATTAATGACATTTATTGGGTATTTACCATTTATTGGAAATTCCAACCTAACGCGCATTTCTGACCTAATCGCTATTTACAGCCCAATGGGTATTACCAATGTCCGACATAAAAAGAAACACTACTGTCCAGAGAAAAAATAGCTATCATACAAGACTTCTATATTTCTGTACAATTATCATAGCATATATGATAATAATATTTTAATGTCGCTGACCGTTATTTGTATTGATTTCGTCACTGGTTAATCCACAAAAACAAGTGGATTAACAAAATCAAAATATCAGTGATAATCACCATCCTTGGATTCCATCGGATCAAAATAAAAAATAAGGCCAATAAAACGATTTCAGAGGATCTCTTAGTTGTCACTAGCTTGTGCTGACTCTTTCCTAGTTATCTCTTGGCATTCTAGGCATTTTGATTTTATCTGTAGTCTGTAGAATAAATCATACATTCTGTATTGTTTAGTGCTTGTGGATGCAATGGGGTAAGCCTTATATCATTAACCTTGTCGCCATGGAACTATACGTTAGTTGTTTGGAGACAAGACTACAATTAAATAAAATGAAAGGGAGTTTAACGTCCTACTGGGCTAATGCTATGAGGGACATTTTACCCGGACAGCAGCACTACGACCTATTACTATTTCGAATTCTGTCAACGATTCTTTTATGTGCATGACAATGCGTACACGGGACCTCTGTTTTTCGTGTCATCCGAAAGACTATACGTCGTACACCAATGCCAAGGGGGTGGGGGCACCCCGGACGATTACGATAAATTATCTGGAAACCAGTATGCACGGGTGAATAATAAGTGCACCTTATTCGTTATCAAGAATACTCTGATAGATTTTTACTAGTACATCTTTTTTCGTGGGTATTTCCAATTTTGTAGGTATTTCCAGTTTAATGGGTATTACCAATTAGTGGCTATTTACAAATTAATGGGTAATTCCAGTAATAATAATATTTCACATTTAATTAAGAAATGAAAATTAGAATATCAGTGATAATCTTCGGTTTTGGATTCCTTCGGATCAAATATAACGCCTATAAAGAGAGAGAGAGAGAAATGGGGTTTAACGTCCACTCGACACAAACTAGGTCATTTCGGGACTAACACATGGTTCAATTTTATTTCAATCATTCGCTTGCGCGTAGGGTCTTTAGCCGTGGGAGGAAACCGGAGGACCCGGAGAAAACCCACGAGGTTGGACAGGCGACCCTACTCCTTGTCACGTACATCCACTACCTGTGGGATATACATTGCGTAACCTCTAGTTGTATATGTTTGAGTCATAGGTTATTTATAGGATATAGGATCTGAATAGGACTATATAGTTAGGTTATAGGCCTATATAAGCTAGCATAATATTACGCTATTATAATAGATGAGATCCGCTATCATATGTGTTCAAGTGTAAAGTCAAATGTCGTCTGCTAAAAGAGAAAGCGTCCTTAATATAACATAGTTTATTAGTCATTCATTATAATTATGCTGTGTCATCTTTAATCCTCAACGCGATCGATTTTTATTTACCCTTCGTTTAAAGTTTAATATATCATGACAACACCGTATTTATCATAATAGTACATTAAAGCACTGTAGATGATTTGAACAACTAACATACCGTACTACATTAAACATACATTATACAAGAGCTAAATATGTCTATTGCCGGCCCTTTGTTAGGCCTGAACTGTTATATAAACTATTAATTCGACATTAATTAACATGGCAAGACAATAATCAACTCGCAATGCCATCTGATGCTCTCGATTGACGATTAACCACGAAAATCGATAATCGATATTTTTTTTAATATCTTGACAACGGTAACAATAACAATTCAGGCCACAATGTTATTAAAATGAGTATTTCTCGGCTTAGAGCAAAATAATTTGACTGAAATTTTCAGAATAATGCCATTACCTTATTTATTAGTTAACTATAGAAAGAACTGCCAGCTCTTTATCTAATCTTCCATAATGAATCTTTAACTAAGTGAAACAGAATGTAATTATTCTATTGAAACAGTGTCGATAGGCTAATTAATTAAATCCAACTTGCAAACTAAACATAATAAAATGAAATTACATGAAATGGGGTTTAACGTCCTACTGTTCTGCTCCAACTGGGCTAATGATGACGGGCATACGCCAGTATACTATGAGGGAAAATTTGCCCGGGCAGCGGCACTATGGCCTACTCTTACATCGACTTCCAACTGCCAAGGGATCTTTAACGTGCATGCCAAGGTATGCTAAACATAATAAATAAGTCATGTAAGTATTTATACGTACCGTTTAATAACCAAGGTTGTTTATATGGTATCAACCTGCGTGTGCTAGTTTCTCTATATCGTATTGATCTTTTGATTTCAATTGTAAGTTACATGGTACTTGTCTATAATACAAAAGATAGTTAATATAACAGTATTGACGTAAGGATTAATAACTATGGAAAATATTAAAATACTTCCTTAAATTAAAAATGTGTCTTACGCTAATGCTGACGTCTGTCTTTATTATATATTATATGTAATGAAATGACTAATTGTCGACAGAGGGAGAAATAGAAATGGGGTTTAACGTCCAAACTAGGTCATGGAGATTGGACAAGCGATCCTACTCCTTGTCACGTACGACCGAGGAATCGAAAGCACGCCTGTTGACATCATGACAGACCTTATGATACAGCGCATAACCCCCCCCCCCCCCGCGCCCCGCCCCGCCCGACCCGACATAATGACACAGATTTACGCTATATAGTAGTCTATGAGGTAAATTATGCCCGGACACGGGCGCTACCGCCTTCTATTATTTTATTTTACGGGCACGCCAACGTGTACTCGGGGAATCTGTTGTTCATCCCTCCGAACCACGGTTAGATCTACTTCGTAAGGTCACCACCAGATTTGGTCAAAGGTCACGAGATGTAAACAGAGCTAGCGCTAACCCAAACCCTAACCCTTACGCCTACAATCGCGTGCCCTAACCTTATTTACCTCTCAGCGACCATGACGAAATCTCGCCTTAAGAAATGGATACAGCCCCTTACAAAACTAGACGCTATCCTTGGCTAGGCCGCCCATCTTATACCACTCGCAAGGGCAAAACACGCCTACAAATCCCTAGAATATTCCCTGGCAATATAGCGAATGATCGCGAGACCCCCTGGTTTACTTGTAAACCATAATAGTATACTCTTTATTCAATAAAATCCCTTCTCCTCATGTTTTGAAAGTTACTTGCTCCCTGATCACATGAGGAAGTAATTGGGTATTGAAGTTGTTATGTGAACAGCCAGGTAGTAGTCTCAAGATTTTAACAGTTAAATCCTTTAATATGTAGACATCAAGTCACAAATATTAACAATAATATTTAGCGATACTTACGGCATTTGAACATTTATCCAACACGGTGGTAATAGTGTGGGACTAACTATAAACCAAAACTAGAAATAGTAGTTTGTGCTTTCCGGTCTTCCATTTTGTATGGAAGGTTATTAATGCCACCGCTTTGTGATCGAGGCGACAAATAGGGCAATTACTATACATATCACACACCATGTAATTCGCTTGGGTTATCGATAACTGACTGGTTATTATTATATATATATACACGAGTTAACAGCTTATACATCTTTTGCCTTACAGTAATACCAGTTAGCCTGGATCCAAATGTATATATTGCATCGTGAACTTTCCCATCCTGCTCATGTCGGTGTTCTACTGATTATCCCCATCTCTGCTCATATCGGTGTTCTGCTGATCACTTCCCACGTCTTTGAGTAAGAATACTGGAGACGTTTCTGGTGATATAAAATCCACGAATCTGATCATGACAAAACAAAATCGGATTCGTTCAAACATAAGAAAAATAGGCGTAAACCTATTCGATGTATAGTATGCACATTTAATCACTAAAGGATGTTCTGGCCATCGTAGTTTGATATCCAAGGATAGGACACGGTGGGTGTTCTGTTATGTTTTACTTAAAAGTTCTGCATGAAAGTTACCCTGAGACTGGTAGGGTGTTGTTCGACTCTTTGTAATTCTGTATAACCATATGAGATTCAGTGATCCGTGTGTAAATGCTTAGTTGAAGTCCTTTTACCAATGTCATTACCGCTCTAAATACGTTGGGTCTGATGATAATTTATCAGGAATATCTATTCGAACACCTAATAATAATGCAACATTGAATAAATACTGGCTGTGTGTTTTTGTGCCAGCGTACCAGATCATATGAAAACAGCAAAGTTGATTAATTGGGGTTCGAAGTTATGTTTTCCGACAAACCTTTTTAACAGAAGCATCATTATTAATACATTGTTTGAGATCACGTTGATTAATCATTATTAATACATTGTTTAAGATCACGTTGATTAATCATTATTAATACATTGTTTAAAGGAGCTAAATCGCTAATATTTGGGACCTACAAATTGACACAAATGGGTCACAAAGCATATAATAATGTAATGTGAATGTATATAAACTGATTTACATTCAACCGTTTCTGTTTTTACTGTAATTTCTAATCAGTTATGTTCTGCGAAATACGCCAGAAGTCTCAATCAATAGCAGTATTTAGCGTCTGGTTATTCCAGTCTACACCGATGATATTTATTGTACATGCTCTCCAGATAAGAATATAGCGTCACCATTTGACATGACTTGTGGAATATGTCTAGCCGCGTTCTTTGAGTCCCTTGTTCCAAAAGGCTATGAAACGCATTATGGTACACGATTCGTGTACCAATGGTAAAACGTTTATTTTGTCTTGAATATTGGATAACAGAAGCCCATCTTTTCCCTGGAAGATCACAAGACCAATGTTGATTTGAACTGACAAATAATTCGTGTTTTCAATGTGGAAGATTTTTGATGATATTGATTTAGAGACTTAGCTACTTTAAGATCACCGTGATTCATCATTATTAATACATTGTTTGAGATCACGTTGATTCATCATTATTAATACATTGTTTAAGATCACGTTGAGTAATCATTATTAATACATTGTTTCAGATCATGTAGGATGTTAAACCTCATTTAATTCATTTGTTTGAGATCACTGTGATTCCTTAACTAATTAAAATTTCTACATCTTGTTCTGCCGTTCCTCCTTTTCGAACATCAAATTTGATATGAATTTAACTACGATGATTGAGTCGTCTTCATTATCCATGTCGGTGCAAAACGGTAGGACATTTGTAGCCTATGGAGTACAATCCGTTAAAACTTGAATTTGTTTTCACACATAACACTGACGACAAATAAAAAGCACATCTATATACATTGAAAAGAAGAAGACAAAACAGAAGCTTGAGACACAAATGTGTTTGATCCTACATTCTCCATTAGTACATTCTCCTCGCTTGCCATTTGCGCATCCCCCTGTATACATATAATTCCATCGTGCTATTGATAGCCCTGATGCAAGTTTGACGGATATAACTTAGGCCAAGCCATAATACATTACTAACCAAATAAGGTGTGTTCGTCCCGTACGAATAAACTATTTAATTAGTTATGGGTATTTAAAATCACACTGCTAAAGACCCCCCCCCCCCCCCCACGCACAAGCGAATTATTGAAATAAAATGAACCATATGATAGTCCCAAAATGATCTAGTTTGTGTCGAGTGGACGTTAAACTCTTCCCCTTTTTCTATCTCTCTCTCTCTTTCTCTCTCTCTCTCTCTCTCTCTCTCTCTCTCGAAAATCAATGGCAAATCAATTGTGTTTTTATAGACAGGGCTGCTAACTGAGTACATATTGCGACAGCCCACAAGTTATAAGGGCCACAGTTATTTTTGTCTTTCTCCCACTTTCCCCTTTTCTCCACTTTGCTTGGCGATCTTTGTTGACATTTTGGTGTTAGAGGTTGATTAGGTTGAAATGTAGGGCGAACAGTTGCATGTTTACTTATATACTTCCATTTTGTGTATCTCATCTTTTCCATAGTGAACCTCATCCAGCTTTTGAGCAAGGCGTTACCACATGTTGATATCCATCTGTGATAGTAAGCGTTCAACACAACGGAATGAAATGAAATGGGGTTTAACGTCCTGCTGTTCTGCTCCTATACAGGGCTAATGAAGACGGGCATACGCCATACAGTGTGCTATGAGAGAAATTTTGCCAGGGCAGCGGCATTATCGCCTACTGTTATATCGAATTCCAAATGCCCAGGGATCTTTTACGTGCATTCCAATGTATACACGGGATCAACACCACGAACATTTGTGAAACAGTTAGAGCAGGTCAGATAGACGAGAATTAACATTACAATCAATGGTGAAAATAATGGTTATCTGTGCCCATCTGCAATTATATTCTACCTAGAAGGCATCCGCATTATAGCATTTAGTTATAGAATTATTTCAAAACATAGAGCAAGAAAACTGCAAGCGGCGTTGTTACTGGAAACAAATTAATGGGCCACGGGCTGATTTATGTTTGTCCACACCCAATAGCTTGTTCATATCCATAACCGCTTATCCGAACACGTAACCATTTTAAGATTTCGAGTCAATTGTTTCTTTGGGTGACCTGATAATATATTACCCTTCCTTTAGAGGTCTATACTATGCAAGACTGGCTTTTGTTACATAATGACGAAAGGTAAATTTCACTTATAAGTTATGTTTATAAAATAAAAGCCTGGTTTTATCCAAACATTGTATGATGCAGCTTGAAACAGTGATATCCATTTCCAGATGAAGAATTACGGGTTCAACTTGTTTGAAAATGTATCAAGTATATTGAGTTAGTTGCTGGGTTCTAAGGTAGGGGATTTTAAGGGCTTTTAACACAACAGCAAGTTCCACCAATCTCACACAATTATAATCGATGAATTTATCTCTGCGCAGCCAACGTTGAAAATACCAATCATCAAACACAACCTAAGGAATGACAGACGGACGGACACAAGAACGGGTCTATGTTAATGTTGTTCTGCTTTCGTTGACGGTCATTGATGGTGGGGAGGACAAAGAAAGCTAATTGAATACCAACTGTCATGCACGTTTTCTGTTATAAAATCGGGAATCTCCAATTTAGATCACGACCAGGAATAGCCTACGATAATGTCTATTTTGAGATCAAAAGAGAGTAAATGGTTTTTCCCGGTTGTGTTATTGTTTTGCCAGAGGCGTGTTTTGGGTTTTCCTGTCTGTCTTTAAGATTAACTGAATAATATGGAAACTTAATATTACCATAAAGCGAAGTCGGGCGCATAAACAGAGCGATAACACCGCCGCCGAGAACACGCCAGTTGCACTTGATAGCTTAACTTTTATTTCTATGAAGTTGCTACTACTTATCGCGAGTGCTAGTACAAAAGACCATACACAGCCTTATCGCCAATGCGCCAGTTTTATCTGTGAGCCTCTGAGCGTATCACCATTTTTAGTACGAACGATGATTCGTGTGGAACGTCGCAGTGACGCCGTATGTAATTCTTCTAAAACGGCGAATAACGAACGAGCAAAATTATTACATCAGCGTAGAATAATTAACACATATAAGCCAATATTCAATGAATTAGAGAGAGAGAAATGGGGTTTATCGTCCACTCGACACAAAGGTCATTCCGGGACTAACATTGGTTTAATTTTATTTCTATAATTCGCTTGCGCGTAGGGATCTTTAGCGTTGGTAAAAACCGGAGAACCCAGAGAAAACCCAGGCGACCTTTCTCCTTGTCACGGACAACCAGGGATTCGAAACCACGCCAGATGACTCAATGACAGGCCTTATGATACAGCGCGCACGTGCTAACCATTCGGCCATCCAACCCCCCTTCAATGAATTAAGTGAATAGAAGACATTTCTTTAAATGGCATTTAAAATATACGCCTTCCGGTATTATCAGCACATGGCATTTCTTCGTTTTGTTGTGGATTTTCCGGTAGTTATAATTTTTACAGCAGAATAAAAAATACGCGGGAAATAAAGGAATTCCGATCATCAAATCGCATATCCCTATTTTTTTTCTCGTTTGCCATTCGCCGTTTTAGAAGAATCACAGACACCGTTGCAGTTGTATGTGGTAGGGTTCAAGTCATCGCTCAGTTTAAATGTCCCCTTAGAGTTGATCTCATTTTTATCTCGCGTCGAACGAAGTTATTGAAGGATATTGATATGGGCTCCGTCCGTCCCGATTTCGTTTCCGGAACATATCTCATAAATTGTTGAAGTCATCGTTTTGAAACTTTGTACACACATCAACATATTACAGTAGTTGGGCCTTTTGCTAGTTCGGAATTTTTTGTGCTCCAAGGAAAATGAAATGAAATGGGGTTTAACGTCCTACTGTTCTGCTCCTAAACTGGGCTAAAGAAGTGGAGAACATTCTCCATACAGTGTGCCATGAGGGAAATTTCGCCCGGACAGCGGCACTTCGGCCTACTCTTATATCAAATTCCAACTGTCAAGGGATCTTTTACGTGCACGCCAATGTGTAAACGAGACGTCGGTTTTTCGTTCCATCCGAACGACTAGATTGCTGTCCTTGTCAGGCCCTCCGTTCTGCACCGCTGACAAGGCGAAACCACGTCGGAAAAATCCCGATGAACTTTCTCGGTCAATGCATGGATCAAACACCCGACCTCCAGACTAGCGAGCCAGCGTCTTACCCACCTAGCCACCGTGGCTCCCGTGGACGCTTACAACTAGTACCCGACTCTATTCACGTGATTTGATATATATATGTTTGTTTTGTGTAGTGTCTGTATATTGTGTCGTGTCTGTATGTTTGGCCTGTCCAACCTCGTGGGTTTTCTCCGGGTCCTCCGGTTTCCTCCCACTGCTAAAGACCCCTACGCGCAAGCGAATTATTGAAATAAAAAAATATACCGTATGTTAGTCCCGAAATGACCTAGTTTGTGTCGAGTGGACGTTAAACCCCATTTCTCTCTCTCTCTCTGTATGTTTGTCTTCTGTGTGGTATCACCCCTTCCCCCGTCCTGCACTTACGTTTAAATATAGGACTGGTTAAATAAAAGAAAAACAGTAGAATAATAAATATATTTTATTATCATTTAAACAATATTATATATTCAATGGTGGACTTTTACAAGCGATACCACTACATCTAGATAAATCGAAGAGTTCCTGTTTTAAAGTAGCTATCAATTGTTGATCAGCTGTATTTACTATATTATCAAACTCATAGGGATCTTTATCAAGGTCATATACTTCTACAAAATTCTGAAATACAAAAATAAATCTCATAACTAACAGAAATTTTATTTGTGTCGGAAACCCGACAGGTTTGTATGATAGTACCCTGCCATGGGGGCTGGGGCGTGTATCTTACATACAGGGTAGAATTACCCATCGTAGAGTAGAGATGTATTTATAATAATAACCCGCTACAGAAAGATGGCAGGGCGATTAATAGAAATCCGGTAAATAAACTTACTACTAAATCTTCTAGTTGACAGTATTTATAATTTTTCCCCTGTCCAATAACTCTGAGACAGGAGTAAGTATTGTTCCACGAATCTTGACATTCACAATGAGAATGACACACCTGTAATTATAGAAGAAACAGATTAATTACTGGGTGATAAAAAGAGGCTGTTTAAGTGGCTCCATTTTACATCTAATTTATTTCCCGTAATCTGAATCTTTGACGTTACCCTAAAGGCAACCAATCAAAGCATGTCAACTTATTTCACGGAATTGTCTGTATCACGGAAGCTTTGGCAAGGAACAGCGCCTAGTCGTCGGAATGGGACGTAAAACCCCTACACGTAAAATAATCCTTGAATTCGAAATAAGAATAGGCCGCTGTCCAGAAAAAACGTCTTGGTCACGACCCCTGCTTGGGTAGGAAAGTACTTTTGAAAGAATGCTATTTTCATAAAAAGCATAAAAATCTCTAAGCCCTTGCCAATCGTGGGGTCGTGGTGGACCTCTGAAACTTTTAACAAAATGCTATGTTTTCATGAAAATCATATAAATCTCTGATCGATATACTTCTTGCCATATTTTTAAGCGTCTGTCCTCAATTTTTATAAAGGTTTAAAACTGTAAACAATATGTTGTCAAATAAGGAGTCGCGATCAGATGCTGGTTTCTGGAATGGGATCGCAACCAACAAAATGTTGGGAACCGATGCTTTAGACGAAGATGAATAGGAGTACACAACTGAAAAATAAAAGTTATTAAAAAGTTGACTTACCATCATGCCTTGATTATGAAGTTGTGGACATCCTGGATTATCAACCAAATGTTCGCCATAATGTTCGACCAGAAAGTTCTCCCTGGTGACGACGTCTGTACTAGAATCAGACATCAATATAGGGACCATGGAAACACCATCCATCTGTGCTGGTACAGATTGTCCGGATAGTTCCACGAACGTTGGTCCCAGGTCGATATTCATCACTGGTGCCTGGAATAACAAAATACATATAAGTTTACAAAAGAGATAGCTTAACGTTCACTCGGCACAAACTAGGTCATTTCGGAACAAACATATGGTTTAATTTTATTTCAATAATTCGCTTGCGCGTAGGTGCTTTAACAGTGGGAGAAATGCGTTGGACCCGGAAAAAACCCCACAAGGTTAGACAGGCGATCCCACTCCTTGTCACGTACCATCACCATACTCTACCCTATACACGACATTCATCACAACTATATACTTACACTACTGAATTGTCCTACTGATCATCAGCATACACTACCCTAAACACGACACCCATCATAACTATACTTACACTACTGACTTGTCCTGGTTTTATACCCGGTCCACTGATCATCAGCTGTACTCTACCCTATTCACGACACCCATCATAACTATATACTTACTCTACTGACTTGTCCTGATTTTATACCTGGTCCACTGATCATCAGCATACACTGCCCTATAGACGACACCCACCATAACTATATACTTACACTACTGACTTGTCCTGGTTTTATACCCGGTCCACTGATCATCAGCGGTACTCTGACGTCAAACTCATACAGCTGTCGTTTATCATACGGCATGGAAAACTGACCTGTAAAATTGAAGATAAAACTACTGTGAACCACTGTGGCCCCCTTAGTAGCTCATCTGGTGGCAATTTCCCTATGGTTACCATCTAAAACCCAAAATAAAAACCTGGTATTCATTAGCTCAGTCGGAGCATAACAGTAGGACGTTAAACCCCATTTCATTTCATTCTCTTACAAACAAAGTCTTGAATCATCAAGCAAGGAAAACCACAACGATGTGTTGTTGGTCCGAAGACCGGGGTAACGAAGCGTAAGTCACAGAGCGACGTCCAGATTAACACGTTTTGTTTTTCTATAATATGATATCATTGCTAAGTGTAGGAGGACTGCACCACACACAAACAATTACACAAGGCAAAAATATATCCATACATCACAAATAACAAACGTATATATCAGATTAAGTGAATGGATCCTGGGGCTAGCGATATGCCTCTACTGCGCTGTATAGTCCTGGACTTGTAGTGATACAGACATCAGATCAAGAGAATTGATCCTGGGGCTGACCGGGTCCCAGGTCTGTAGTGATACAGACATCAGATCAAGTGAATGGATCCTGGGGCTGACCGGGTCCCAGGTCTGTAGTGATACAGACATATCAGATCAAGTGAATGGACCCTGGGGCTAGCCGGGTCCCGGGTCTGTAGTGATACAGACATATGTTTGTAAAAGACAGTTACCCAGATGAAAACCGTTATCCGAACTAAAGATGAAGTAAGTATTATCAATCATATTTTTAGCTTTAACTGTATTATACACGTCTTCAACCATATCGTCAACAGATAGTAACGTTCTCCATCTGTAATATAAATATATCATCAACATATAGTTTCGTTCTCCATCTGTAATATAAACATATCGTCAACAGATAGTAACGTTCTCCATCTGTAATATAAATATATCATCAACAGATAGTAACGTTCTCCATCTGTAATATAAACATATCGTCAACAGATAGTAACGTTCTCCATCTGTAATATAAATATATCATCAACAGATAGTAACGTTCTCCATCTGTAATATAAACATATCGTCAACAGATAGTAACGTTCTCCATCTGTAATATAAATATATCATTAACTGTATTTTACACTTCTTCAACCATATCATCAACAGAGAGAGATAGAGAAATGGGGTTTAACGTCCACACGACACAAACCAGGTCATTTCGGGACTAACAAATGGTTCAATTTTATTTCAATAATTCGCTTGCGTGTAGAGGTCATTAGCAGTGGGAGAAAACCGGAGGGCCCGGAGAAAACCCACGCGGTTGGACAGGCGACCCTACTCCTTGTCACGTACAACCGGGGAATCGAAACCACACCAGTTGACTCAATGACAGACTTTATGATACAGCGCACATGCGCTAACCTTCAGGCATCCAACCCCACCACCCACCCACCCCCAGATAGTAACGTTCCCCATCTGCAATAACATAAGAGTCTAATAAATATACATGTTCCGGGCAGATGACCAGGATTTCAAAACTCCTGTTTAGCTGTCTTCATTAGCACAGTAAGATTAGAATACTAGGACGTTAAACCCCGCTTCATTTCATTTCATTTCTTTTGATTGATAATAACATAAGAGTCAAGGGTACGCGAGAGTTCTATTACGTGTACGTGGATGTGAATACGGGAGTTGTTCGTCCCATCCAAACGACTAGACACATTTAAACGGTTCGGTTTTGAGATGTTCTTTAAAGACACTGAGAGGTTATACGCCACCAGGTAATCCTGTTAACGTAAACACGGGAACTGAGTTATTCGTCCCATCCGAACAACTAGAAACATTTCAACGGGTAGGTGTTTAAACAACAGCGTGTAATCCTGTTAACGTCGATGATAATTAATTCAATAGTGTTTTTATTTTGTTTAATGTATTTACCTATTTCTAAAGATATCATCTACAAGTATAACTGTATCATTCGGCATCGGTGTAATGGCTTGTCTTATCAACCAATGTTTACCCTAGAAATATATTAATACAAACTAAATTAGGCTCCACAATGTTTAACCTGGAAATATATCAATACAATCTGATTAATATACAGATCTATATCTCGTTTCGTTTTTTTATACTTTCGATGGCCTACACTACATGAAGATCTGACACGTTATAGCGATAGGTCACGTCAGGGGTCAATAGACCGACTTATGACTCTATGACGTCAGACATTTGATTAACCAATCAGCATTGATGTTACTAGTGGATTGCCCACAGTTCCGTGAAAAACACGCCTAAAGCTCACCGTAACAGACCGATTCATTAGCTTATCCCTAACACCATTCAGAACACGAGTTAAATAACAACTCTTCCAGATCCAAGTGTAGTAAAGACAAGTAAAACGAAATTTTGAACTATAAAAACGAAACGAAATAGGATCTATGTTTTAATCAGATTGATACCAATACAAATTAGATTAGACTCCACAATGTTTACCTCTGAAATAAAGTAATAATAATCATTAGATTCAGTTTAGGATTATTAAAGCAGTATTCCAGCTTCTGAAAGCACCATAACGTACCTCACCCGGTGCAGGTGTATTTATAATGGAATGTTTATTGGAACTGCTGTTCTATTATTTAGATTAGTGAAGTTCTATTCCATCAACTGTACGTTTTGGTACAGTAAGTGGTGCATGAGTTCATACGACTTATCCCAGCTTGCAAATTGTCCAGGGTTTTGCAAAGCCCAGCGTCTCCTTGTCAGTATTTCAGGACGGAGGATCTGGCAAGGACAGTTCCTAGTTGTTCGGATGGGACGGAAAACCGAGGTTGGAATTCATTTGCTATCCGGACAAATTTTCCTTCGTTGTTTTCGCTGTATGGTGAATGACTGTCAGCATCAGCTCGGTGGGTGGAGACAAATAGGCATTTTACCTCGTTGTCTGCCGTCGGTGAATAAAAGTAGGCACGTAAACCATATTTCATTCAAAGCGAGCATTCGTATTCGTACCTTTTAAACAGTATCGAAGAAAACAAATAAGTTAAAATCAATCACCGAGTCATGTTCGGCACGTGACTCATCTCAGTGTCTCTCCGTGGGTTTGTCTTGTGTATTTTGTTTAGCTGTGGTGCGGTCCTCCTGCAGTTACTATTAGAACAACAGGGTTATAGTTAGTACCCACCTCGTCGCCATGTTTGTTATAACTACCGTCTCTAGGGGCAACCATACCAGTAAAGTTATCAGCATATTGTGGTGCTGGTGTAAAAGGTTCATGACAGGCTGGAGTTGATAACATCATAAAGAACGGATCACCATCAGCTGATTGTTGATTTAAAAACTCCATACCTCGTCTATGCTGAAATAAACAGATTCAAGTTCATTGATCTATGGCGAAATAACAGATTCAAATTCATTGATCTATGGCGAAATAAACAGATTCAAATTCATTGATCTATGGCGAAATAAACAGATTCAAATTCATTGATCTATGGCGAAATAACAGATTCAAATTCATTGATCTATGGCGAAATAAACTGATTCAAATTCATTGATCTATGGCGAAATAAACAGATTCAAATTCATTGATCTATGGCAATCAAGGATGGGAATTGTTTGAAACAATAATATGTGAATATTATTATTACTATCAACAAGAGAGTAGATCTGAACAGTACATAACAGTTATCTATATGAAAGGGCAGGGTCGATGAAAGATAGGTCGGCAGTTAATGATATCGCGCCGCAATACATCTAATTGTAAAGTTTGTGCTGGCTAAAAGTCAACAGCAGTTGGAACACGGATGGGTTTTTTTTGGTATTATTGGGAGTTCGGGTTATCGGGAGGGGTTGTTGTACTATTGGGGATCTAGAAAGTCGGGTTACCGGGAGGGCAGGGTTCCAATATATTCTCAAACAGAAAGCCCTGGTTGTTGGTCTGACGTTTCCTGGTACACAACAGGAATGGAACCCATGACGGCACCAATTCGCCCCGCAGTTGCATGTCTAACGCTCTACAACTGAGTTATAGCGATCGTACAACCATGTCGGTTTGTGACAAGATATCATCGAGTGTACCGACCTGTAAGATAACGATATCCTGTCAAATAATCAATATTTAGAGGGTTTGCAGCTTCGATGTGGTAACTGTGGAGAATGCCTCTGATTAGTGAGTGTAGGGTATGGAACACGTGGTAACTGTAGAGAGTTGTGGTTCACAAAGGATTCAAAATGCATTCCAACAAATCTCACTGCTAGGCGAGTTCCAAACCCCGGTGTTTCTCTTAACTCTGGCAGGTAAACACAGTTACAAATATGTGTGTGTGTGTGAGAGAGAGAGAGAGAGAGAGAGAGATGGGGTTTAACGTCCACTCGACACAAACTAGGTCATTTCGGAACTAACATATGGTTTAATTTTATTTCAATAATTCGCTTGCGCGTAGGGGTCTTTAGCAGTGGGAGGAAACCGGAGGACCCGGAGAAAACCCACGAAGTTGGACAGGCGACCATACTCCTTGTCACGTACAACCGGGGATTCGATTACAGATATTTATTCAGTAAATTTATACTTACAATAACATCTGTTAGATAATCGTTTTTATAATCGTTGCCATGGGATTCCCTAGTTCCATTCACAGACAGATCGTAATTATAATATCTAGAATTACCAACCTACAAAACAACATCCAGGAAATTAAATCAAATCTTTTTCCATGGAAACATAAAAATCAGGTCAAATCAACAATCCTATCCTAGTGGCTAGTGGAGCGTGTTTACCAGACCAACCCACCAATCTTACCTTAGTGGGGCGTGTTTACCAGACCAACCCACCAATCCTATCCTAGTGGAACGTGTTTACCAGACAATCCTCTCCTAGTGGAACGTGTTTACCAGACCAACCCACCAATCCTATCCTAGTTGAACGGGTTTAACCCACCAATCTTATCCTAGTGGAACGTGTTTAACTTACCAGGCCAACCCACCAATCCTATCCTAGTGGAACATGTTTACCAGACCAACCCACCAATCTTATCCTAGTGGAACGTGTTTAACTTACCAGACCAACCGACCAATTCTATCCTAGTGGAACGTGTTTACCAGACCAATCCACCAATCCTATCCTAGTTGAAGTTGTTTAACTTACCAGGCCAACCCACCAATCCTATCCTAGTGGAACGTGTTTAACTTACCAGACCAACCCACCAATCCCATCCAGGAGGAACGTGTTGTGGACCACCAACCTGTGGAAAACCATACTGAAATATGAACAATATAAATAGCTATGAGAACTACATATTTTTTAAATAACCATTCTGAAATTTAAACAATTTGAGTCTTATTTGCACTACAAACAGACTCCCTGTAAGTCAGCTGACCAATCCAAATAGATTTCGTATAATGGAATTGACAAATATAAATTATAGGCCTACAATATCTCCAAACTTACCAGATTTAGATATTTCCCAGAGAAGAAGGTTCGATAACCCTGGTTTTTCAGGTAAACGGGAAAGGCATGTGGTTCCTCGGCTTGTTGCCAGGCGTAACTGCTACAATTACCATCGACCGAGTTATTGGCGGCCATGTGATTGTGGACATATTTACCCGAGAAGATACTTGATCTACTGGGACAACAGAGAGGACTGCTTACAAACTGTAATATGATAATAATAATAATAATGATGTTGACGATGTTGTTGATGATGTTGATGGTACCGGACAGTATTTAAATTACAACTGTCAAGCGTTATTTTACGTGCAGGCTAAGGTGTACGCGTGACCTCGGGTTTATCGTCCCTTCCGAATGACTATTAGGCAAGAAATTGAAAAGCATTTAGTAAATGAATAAACTGTAAGACATAATTATGGAAACATTTACTAATTTATTTGGGTGACATTTTGAAATATATTCGTTCATGCTTTTCAAGATGATACAGCAATACCACACGGAAACCATGACGACTAAATATTTTAATTAAAATTACAAATATTGATTACATTTATTACAAATACAACGACGTACATTCCAATTATTTTAGCAAACAATAGATGATGTCGACATACCATATTATTGAAGATGATGCCCTGAGAACCGATAAGGTTGGTAATTTTCTTGATAGCATTCTGTAAAATACAATATAATGAATTGAAATGAAATGGGGTTTAACGTCCGGTAATACTATAGAGGTTATTTTAGTTCTATCAAAGGTGCTCTGTTTAATATATTGAAGTGCCGAGGGACCCGGAGAAAACCCACAAGGTTGGACAAGCGTCCCTACTCCTTGTCACGTACAACCCGGGAATCGAAACCACGGCAGTTGACTCAATGACAAACATCATGATACAGCGCGCATGTGCTAACCATTCGACTATCCACCACCCCCACCCCCCGCCTCGGCTTAGAGGCCGGGATTGAGACAGCATGTGGGCTTCTTATAAGAACCCACTCTCAGTCTTTGGTTCGAGGCTATTAATATACTAACATAGATATTGTGATTTCCTATATTTGATCTATAAACGTAGTTATAAAAACACAGCGTCCCAGAGTTAATTGCTCCTAAACACAACGTGGAAGTCAGAGTTATATTTAACAACACCGTAGTATCACATTCATAGACATACTGTCATATACAGACAAGGAGGAAGCACGCTGGGAAAATCCGGAGGTCCCGTGTTTAATCCAAGCATTGACCGAGAAAGTTCATCCGGATTTTTCGGCGTGGTTCCCCCTTGTCTGTGGTACAGGACGGAGGGACTGACAAGGGACAACGTATAGCCTAGTTGTTAGAATGGTACGAAACACCTAGGTCTCGTGTACGTATTGACGTGCATGTAGGAGTATAATAATGTAGGTTCTAATCCAGAGAGTTCACCGAGAATTGTTGACGGACGGAGACGAGAGCACATTACAATGTAGGCGTGTAGTTGTATAAGCTTATACTTATTCTGATCTTACCTGACTTCCGAGAGTATAGTCTTGATCATCAGTTAATATAAATACAATATTGGGTGGTTTAGCTGTGGTTGTTGGTATATATGATGTAATTAATATCACACCTAGTATATACCAACATCTGGGTTGTCCTATACATCCGTCTCTCATCTTGATACTAACTAGCAATCGACCATAGAAAATATCATGTGTGGAATCAGCAGTCAACCATAGACTCAATCAACTTGTACAATATCGCCTATAAAATCAGCAGTCAACCATAGACTTGATCAACTTGTACTGCTCTACGTTAACGTCTGTGGAATCAGCAGGTTACCATATAAAACATATAACAATGACGTTGACTGTTATCGCCTGTAGAACTAGCAGGTTACCACAGGCACAGATATATCAATGATCTACATGTATTATCAGATGTGCTCACGTGATCATTTATTAATACATGTACGTTTATCTAATCATTTTCACAGATATCACTCGGTCACATTATTTCGTAAATAGATAACACCGGAGAACTGTAGTTTGATATCGCAAACAATATACAATCTCTCTGTAAAAACAATAAAGACCCTCTCTGTAAAAACAATAGAGATCCTCTCTTTAAAAACAATATACACCCTCTGTATAAAAATAATATAGACCCATCTGCTGTAATGGAAGCATATTTCTGTTCCAAATTATGACTGGTCAATAGTCCGATTAACAACCAGTAGCTAACTGCGTAACAATATCATTACGCTTTAAAGAGAGTTCCAAATTGGACCAAATATGTTTACATAACTTTACGTCATGACTCACGATTTTATTATGCCCAATTAACCAGTGCATAGCAAAATATTGCAGAAAAACTAATTGCGTGACAAACGAGGCTATCAAATCGGATACAATGTAAACAATATTGTTTGGAGACGAACAATGCTTTCACCGTTTTAATACATTAAATCACTTTCCAAAGTTTTAGGGAAGACCCCAGATTAAACGAAGGGCTGTCGTCTTGCTGTCGAACAGACACACTCCGCCAGAAGCTCAAGTATCAGAAGCTAATCCAGCAATGGCCAAACAGGGATTTCTCGGATTCTTTTAGGAATATGGTCTTCATTAGCCCGGATGGAGTAGAACGTTGAACGCCATTTCATTGTTAAGAACTTCGATGTGCACTGCAGAGATCATGTACATCCGTAAGAGAAGGTGATGTTTGTTATATCGAGTGCCTCAATGTAGTCTGATTTCAATCCACAACGACAACTTAAGACCATAAATCATTTTGGAAGTCAGGAAACTGTACGAGGGAGTACTAGATAATGAAATATAATTGGATTTAACGTCCAGGAGAAAGAAAGCAATGGAATGAAATGGAGTTTAACGTCCTACTTTTCTGCACCGGCTAATCATAAGTATGTAATATTGTGTTTTATAATAACGGAACCATGGCATCGGTTGTAACCATGTCAACACCATTACAATGCGTTTAACAGAATAGCACGGGTTATAAAACACAACGTGAAGTCGAGAAGTGGGGCCTAGGACGGCTTAGTGGTGTAGAGTGTCGCGCTTGGAGCTCTAGCTGGTCGGTCACCTCTGGCTTGTGGTCGTTGTTTTGATCCCTGGCTTGGAGATAGGGACGCCTTCTCAACCTCGTGGGTTTACTCCTAAAGACAAGACCCCTGCGTGTGCGCTAAGATAATGAAATAAGACGATTTGTCTGCAATATCACCATCGGTGGAAGCGGACGTTAAACAATAATAATAAAAGAAGAAAGTCCAGCAATGTGAAAGCTGTGATACGGCATCGATAGTCTTTTGATGCCGTGTAGTAGAATATTGCTGCATATTTTCTTTAGTGCCCATTTGCTTGATATTTGATTAGGAGCTAATGACAAGAACAGTTAGTCCGGGTAGAGCAGTTCTTGCCATGCCAATGAGTACCATGAACTGACTAAATCAGTCACTGCCATGACAACATGTATCATGAACACACAATAACAGACATTGTCATGACAATATGTATGATGCACAGATAATAACAGCCATTGCCATGACAACATGTATCATAAAACCGACAATAACAAACAAAACAGACATGCTGCAAACTTAATAAATTTTATTACTTTGAAATTATATTCGTCCTTGGCAAAAAATGAATTCAGAAATGAACATCAGTAAAATGAACTGGCAATTTATATTGAACAGAACATGTCTGACCATTCTTGATCAATTTGGCAAGAACCATATAATATAGGAAGAAGACATGTTTACAGGTCATCCACTATTTCATGACGTCAACAAAATATGACGTCACATCCTGTCTTATTTGCAGAATTCAAAAGCTGCAAATACGAGTGTGCAAATAAGTTTTTTATTTGCAGCCATCACACTGATCAGTAGTGAATATTCGATAGGCCGCTACTATCATTGATAAGGATGACATCGATGCGACTTAATGAGCCACACTGTGCAGCTATTTGCACTACTACTAACGTACAGATGAACATTCCTATTTGGAGATGTTTGTTTATCAAAACATAATTTTATCGGACTCAAAAGTTATGGCACAAAATACCCAGATGAAATCTTATTTCAGTCAACATATTAATATTTTAACACAAAAATTATTAAATGCTGTCTTAAATTTGAGCACCAGAAATTTTAATTATGAAATTTATTTGCTGGTTGGTTTGTTTGGTTTTTTTTTTGGTTTTTTTCAAATATGATATAGAAAATTATACTAAGTTTCAATAAAGACCTCTATTGAAATCCGAGCTAACTGAGATAAATTTTATGGAGTTTTATTTCAAATAAAATAAAAACGTTTTAATAAAGACCTCTATAGAAATCTCAGGTAACTGACATAAATTGTATGAAGTTTTTATTTCCAATAAAATAAATATGTTTCAATAAAGACCTCTATTGGAATCCCAGCTGCCATAAATTTTATGGAGTTTCATTAACAATAAAATAAAAACGTTTCAATAAAGACCTCTCTTGAAATTCCAGCTAACTGACATACATTTTATGTTGGGTTTTTTTCTCTATGATAAATAAAATGTATATAATAAAGTCCTTTAGTCTTATAACCTCACAAAAAAAATAAAAACAACCTTTTTATTTATCTATACGGATATACTATATACATTATGTATACTGTAAACATGATATCATTAACTTATGACTTTTATAAATGACACAAAGTCTATATGCATACACACACTGTAACCAGGGTATCATTTAATCTTGTGTACCTAGCACTAATGTCTTTCACATTTGTTTAATATCAAATCTTTGTTTAGAAACTGGCAAAAATCGTTTAAAATCCCTCCAAAATCATTTAATTGGTACTATGTGGGTATGATCTTAAAACTTTTACTAATGAAACTATTTGACATTACTATGGTCTAATAGGTATGAACTTTGAACTTTTACTAATGAAACTTTTTGACATTACTCTGGTCTAGTAATGTCAAATAGTTTCATTAGTAAAAGTTCAAAGTTCATACCCACATAACAAGATGATGTTAATTTTGCGTAAAATTTACGTACAAATGGTCATTTTCTGGCGTATATCTAACGTAAATTTTACGTCATTTTCTGATGTAAATCTAACGTAAATTTTGCGTAAAGTTTACGTCACTTATGTTAGATTTACGTCAGAAAATGACTTAAACGTTACGTTAGATTTACATCAGAAAATGACGTAAATATAACGTAAAAATGACGTAAAATTTACGCTAGATTAACGTCATTTCCTGACATTAAATTGTCGTTAAAAGGATGAGCAAAAGTATGGAAATCTAACCGACCATTATAACGTAAATCTAACATTAAATAAACATCATTTTCGGATGCAATTCTAATGTCAAATGAGCAATTAAAACCTTTAATATAATCTATTATTGGTGGTTGTAATTGTGAAATTCAGTCAACCAATAACCAAATGTTCTTTAACCATAAGAAAGGCTAAATGGTCAAGTGGTCTAACACATGCACTTTTGTTAAGGTCTGTCATTGATACAATGCCTATTAGACGTTTAAATATTTTACCTATACAGTATTAATGTGACAAAAACAAAAGTATTATCAAGTACGTGTTCATCGTGATTTTCTGGTGTCGTTCCCCCGTGTCAGTGATGCAAGGAGCCTGGCAAGGGTCAACGTATAGTCTTTCGGATGGAACGAAAGGCTGAGGTCCCGTGTACACATAGGTGTTCAGGTAAAAGATCCCCTGGCAGTTGTAATACCATATAAGAGTAGGCCAGTGGTCGCTGTCTTGACAAAATGTGCCTCATAGCACATTGCATTGCGTATGCCCGTCTTCATTAGCCCAGTTGGAGAAAAATATGAGCTTGTCGAATCCCATTTCATTTCATCAAGCCCGTGAATATGTTTTAAGTGTTCTGTTAAATCGATAAATGTCGGTAATTTTAAGCGGGTTTGATTTCGTCCTCGGACATCATGCGAGAGGTGAAGTAAAGCCAGAAGGCAGGAATTAAGGTTTGTTGCCATTACACTTTAGTATTAAATCTACTTCTCTTATCGATGCCATTTATTATCATTTCTACATTGGGTACCATTGAAACGACTAAGATATCACCATCGTATTTAAAAAATACCGAAGGCCATATAGCCATTGCATGTTACGTAATCACTCAAACCTATTTTGATGATTCTGGTCTATGGGCATCAGGTTTTGGGCATTGTTAACCGCGTACGCACCGAATCCTGCTCGTGTCATGATATTGTGTTCTCTTGTTAATGGGAGATAATTATTGATTCTAAGGGTATTTAATAAATGTTGATATATGTGAAGTTTTAATTGTTGTTTTTGTTGCATATTCTGTACATATCAGTCTACTATTCGCATATCTGTATTTTGTCTGCGATATCATCCATATTGGAAGCGGATGTGAAACCCTACAAACGAATGAACATATATGTGTCCTTTGCGTGATAAAGACAATTGTATCCTCTCGTCGAAACGTCGCTTAGTTTTAAACTCAACAATCCTGTACCCATAAAATTGTACCTTGTGTTGATATGTTCAATTAATAAATGCGTATCAACCAGATAATTTATTAGCATTTTACGCTGTGGATTTATTAAATCTCCCTGGACTGCATCGAGGGAACACTAGACCAGCAAAGAAAGGAACAATTAGAAGTTAAAGTAGCAGATTTAATGTGACTGTGTCGAGTTCAAAACATAGAGGCTGGGAATGGGTGAAACCAGTCCAAACAGCCATGGCTGGTACAGGTCAATGGGAAATGATACAGTTCGGCGCGCAACCATTTCAAGTTGTCCATCAAACCGTCCAAAGGGAGATAACCTGGTGTAGCGTTCGCCAGTCTGGATCACCGGTTGAAGTATCTCTCATTTAATTGGAATATCTAAGGCCTTAATTCGCAGGCCCAAAAGTAAAATCAGAATGAAAATAAAGAGTTAAATATATACACATAATAAATAACAATACAAATATACAAATCAAAAAACAGTTAGTGTTAATTATACAATAAAACAATAAGGGTTAAATATATACATAGCAAATAAAAATTAGTGTTATTTATACCATAGGGCAATGCGGGTTAAATATACACAAATAAAAAAAAATAGTGTTATTTATATACAATAGAACAATACAGGTTAAATGTATACGTATCAAAAAACAAATAGTGTTATTTATACCATAGCACAATAAGAGTTAAATATATACAAATAAAAATAACAATTAGAGTTATTCATATCACAGGCCAATAAGGGTTAAATATACACAAATAAAAAAAAATAGTGTTATTTATATACAATAGAACAATACGGGTTAAATGTATACGCATCAAAAAACAAATAGTGTTATTTATACCATAGCATAATAAGAATTAAATATATACACATCAAATAACAATTAGTGTTAATTATAACAGTTAGTAATAATTATACAATAAAACAATAAGGGTTAAATATATACATAGCAAATAAAAATTAGTGTTATTTATACCATAGGGCAATACGGGTTAAATATACACAAATAAAAAAAAATAGTGTTATTTATATACAATAGAACAATACAGGTTAAATGTATACGTATCAAAAAACAAATAGTGTTATTTATACCATAGCACAATAAGAGTTAAATATTTACAAATAAAAATAACAATTAGAGTTATTCATATCACAGGCCAATAAGGGTTAAATATACACAAATAAAAAAAAATAGTGTTATTTATATACAATAGAACAATACGGGTTAAATGTATACGTATCAAAAAACAAATAGTGTTATTTATACCATAGCACAATAAGAATTAAGTATATACACATCAAATAACAATTAGTGTTAATTATACAATAGAACAATAAGGGATAAATATATATAAATTTAAATACAAATTAATGTTAATTAGTGAACAATAAGGGTTAAATATATATAAATTTAAATACAAATTAATGTTAAACATACATTATGCAAAATCTGCCTATTGTAGACCTTTCTTTAGGCCTGAAATGTTATATAAACTATTAATTAGACATTAATTAACGTATCCAGACCATAATCAACTCTCGATGTCAACGCTAGCCTGCATAACTTTATTTCTCGATTTAACGATTAAATAGATAATCGAGACTATGATTTTTGTCGTCCGACTTTAGTAATGATGACCGAGGCTATGCGGAATTTTGATCGCTTATTTCTCGGTTCATAGTGGATCAATTTGACTGAAATTTTCAGCAAATTGCCTTTACATTATCTAGTTTTTAACTACTATAGTGAGAACTGCCAACTCGTTATCTAATCTCCCCCAATGTATCTTTAATTAGTGAACAATAAGGGTTAAATATATATAAATTTAATTACAAATTAATGTTAATTAGTGAACAATAAGGGTTAAATATATATAAATGTAAATAAAAATTAATGTTAATTATACAATAGAACAATAAGGATTGAATATATTCAAATCAAATAAAAATTAGTGTTATTTATACAATAGAACAATGCTGGTTAAATATATACAAATAAAATTAGTGTTATTTATATTATAGAGCAATAAGAATTAAAGATATACACGTTACAAGTTTTATAACCCTTATGAATTAAAATGAAAGTAGGGCTACTTGCAGTTTTCAATAGTATTTACCATGACTAATAATAGACATTATATTATGACGGAAGTATTTAAATAGAAACGTACCCTCACACAACACGGTGTATATATTCCAGGATCATATCTGAGACAAATAATATAAGCATGCGACTGCTCCATTGTTTTTATTCGTTCATTTCCTAAACATCAAAGTGGAGCTAAACGGTCTAGCCTATTGTGTCTGCGTAAAGATAAAGTTGGTGGTTTCTATTTCGTGCATCAACCTGAACTAGAATGAGTTATAAAGGAGGTAAGGAAGTATTTCTACACTGCGGGTATTTACATGTAGAATATGTAACTAAAGGCATATGTGTACTCTTTAAATTGTTATACATGACTTCAGGTAATACACAATGGATCAAATCACAATCTTTATTATAACATATCAACGTTACTAATCTTCAAAATGGCAACACCTATAGAAATAACTATTAGTGATCACATTTAGATAACAACCAAATTATATCACATTATACATGGTTTGACTAACGACTAAAGGATCGTGATCTCTCACTCGGATCCATCCACTTCTAAAGAATAGTAAGTAAATTGTTGTCATTTAGTTAAATTCTAAGGACAATAACATATATTATTTCCCGTAAAGCCTTCGGCTTTTCATGTATATTCAGCAAACTATTCTAGTATCGCAAGAGTTATCGCTCTTCAAAGTGAAGGTAAAAACAGTCATATCACATGACCAAACATTCGTATTTATTCAGCAATAATCCCGGTAAGCAATCATTATTATTCTAGCGATCGCATGGATAGTAAGATCCTGTAGATTTCGTAATCTTTCGATATTTGTCGATTTTTGTTTTTACTTTAAGCCAGTGTGGACGTTAGCTCCATACTTTTGAGTTTTCACTCATCTTTTACTGGTTGAACGTTGTTCAATTCTTTTAAAATGGCTACCGATATGGACGATGTCCTATCTATTACCGACCCAGAAGCTGATTCTGAGTCGTTTAGTTTTTTACCACCTACAGAGGTATCGAAGACTATACCTTTTAAATATAATAAAGCCAGGGGTAGAAAATTAGGTAAAATAAAATCTGTGGTTCAGGTTGTCAATACTGCTACTGAACCGATATGTACGAAGGTACAGTCGCACTCACACACGACGTCACAGGCGAGACCTGTTTACACGACTAAACTTATTAAAAACACACCAAATTTGATTTATTTGGATAATTTGTCTGAGGCAGATATAGCTAAATTAAAATGTAAATTGGGTTTAGTCGATTCACAGGTGAATAACGATTTTGAATTAAGAGGAAGATGACTTCGCATTTAATGAATATGAGATTGAGAATGTGTCAAATATGCCTAATGTAAAGTTAGAAGTTGACAACATACCTCACAAAGCTGACAATAGTCCTGTATCTGTTAGTGGGAGAATTAGTGGCGCTTTATTTGATACAACAAATAATGAACTGAGCCAGTCTGATGATTTTTGGCCATTACCTAAGCTAAAAACTCCACAAAGAGGCGAGAACATTTCTCAGTCTTTAGATATATGTGATACTTATAAAATACCTGACAATTGTGGAATGCTAGCGCCGCCTTTAGTTAACCATGAGATATGGAATGAGATAGATGCAAAAAGTCATTCCTATGATAAAAGTTTCAGGGAAATACAGTAATTAGTTGCTACCGGTATTGTTCCAATAGTAAAATTGGCAGAACTTCTAAAAAATCAAATTTCGGATAATGACACTGCAAAGAGGTTGATTTCTGATTCAATTAGTTTAATTAGTCAAGTTCAATACCACTTGTCTCTGAGGCGTCGTTATCTCATTCGTCCTTGTCTTAAAAAGAAATATTCTAATATATGTAATATAAATACACCTATAACAAGCTATTTGTTTGGAGATGATATTTCTAAAGAAATTCGGAAATGTGACACAGGATTCTCTGTTACAAATAATAGAGAAAACCTCAATCAGTTATTCCGCGGTAAAAGGAGGTCCTCCCGCGTTGGTCAGGCTATCCGAGACAGGGGTCAATGGCGATATAATAATTATAACAATAGTAATAGATTTCAGCCATACACCAATTACAGGGGCTCAAGAAGAGGTCGTCGAGGTTATTTAGGTGTATCCAATCCTCAAAACAATGTGAGTTGAATTTCTCTAATGTAGGCAATTTGAAATTCCATTTTGATGTGTGGCATAAACTGACAAACGATCCATGGATTTATAAAGTGATTCAATTGTGTTTGCCTAATGTTATTAATTTTTCAGATGAATTTAGATTAATAATCGATAATGAAGTTAGTGAACTTCTTTCTAAAGGGGCTATCATTCCCTCTGTTTGGGAAAAAGATCAGTTTGTGTCCAATTTATTTATTGTTCCGAAGCCTAATGGTAAATTTCATCCTGTTTTAAACTTAAAGCCATTAAATGAGTTTGTTCTGTACGAACATTTTAAACAAGAAACTTTTCAGATTGTTCTTGATACATTGCAAATAGGAGACATTTTTACTTCAATAGATCTTAAAGATGCATATTTTAGTATTGCTATACATGAGGATTATCAGAAATTTTTAAAATTTGTTTGGAACAATATACTTTATCAGTTTGTCTGTCTACCATTTGGATTGTCTTCGGCTCCTCGGGTCTTTACCAAAATTTTAAAACCAGTATATACTTGGTTCCGTTATCAAGGTTTTCGGTGTACATATTATATTGATGATTCTCTTATTATGAATCAATATGAACAGCAATGTTCTAAGGATACAGTAGTGATCAAAGATAAATTATGCTCTTTAGGGTATATAATTAATACTGGTAAATCAAGTCTAATACCAAAGCAGACTATTGTGTTCTTTGGGTTTATTATTGATTCTGTGAAATTTAAAGTTTTCCTGACTGAGGATAAGATTAAAAAGTTTTTGAAATACGCTAATTTTATCAAGTCTAAAAACTATCACATCTCTGTTAGAATTCTGGCTTCTTTTATTGGTTTAGTAATTAATGCATTTTATGCTGTACAAGAAGCAGTGTTACATTATAGAGGTTTAGAAAGAGATAAAATAAGAGGACTTGGATGTAATATGAATTATGATAATACTGTATTATTATCTGATCTAGGCATCGATGACATTGTTTGGTGGCTGAATAACACTGAAATTAAAAATGGCAAGACTATTAGACAAGGAAATCCACATGTCTCTATTTTAACAGACGCATCTTCCCATGGCTGGGGTATTCATGACTCAAAATCTGATATTGTTTTTGGCGGTAGATGGTCGGTCACTTGCTGAATCAAATAACAACATAAATTATTTGGAATTATTAGCCATATTTTATGGGTTACAAGCCCATTATTCGAATTGCAGGGATATTCATATTGAGGTTTATTCGGACAACACTTCTGCAATCTCTTATATAAATAATTTTGGTGGCATGAAGTCAATTCATTTGGATGAATTAGCTAAAGATGTTTGGAACTGGTGTATTAATAGGAATATCTTTTTATCTGCTAAGTTTATACCTGGAAAATTTAATTTCCAAGCTGATTTTCATTCAAGAAATTTTTCTGATTCTACTGAATGGATGTTAAAAACTCAGATTTTTCACAGAATTTGTGATCAATGTTTTCATCCAGACATAGACTTGTTTGCGTCGAGACTCAATTTTCAAATAGATCTCTTTGTTTCTTGGCTCCCGGAACCAGGTGCTTATAAGAATAATGCTTTTTCATTCACATGGAGTGATTTAAATCCATACATATTCCCACCTTTTTCGGTAATAGGTAGGGTAATTAACAAAGTTATATCTGATAAAGTAGAAAAAGCAGTTATAACCATACCACACTGGCCTTCTCAGCCGTGGTTTCCCTCAATAATGTCGTGTTTAATTTCTTTTCCAATTAGGTTACCACGACACAAGGACCTTTTAGTAATGCCACACAGTCAGGAAGTTCATCCTCGAGGCAAGTCAATGTCTTTAGCCGCAGTGACTGTATCTGGAAATTACTTAAGATGCAATGTGTTTCAGAGTCAGTTATCCAAGTTATCATCAACTCTTGGCGTACAGGAACCAACAAACAATATGATTTGGCCTGGCAAAAATGGGTTATTTGGTGTAAATCTAGGGGCTATAATCCCATTCGTACCTCTGAAGTAGACATGCTTGCCTATCTTGATTTACTTATAGAAAATGGGAAATCGTATAGTGTGATTAATACACATAAATCTATGTTGATTCAAACACTCAAATTATTCAATAACTCTTGGTGTGAAAACCCTAGGTTTATAGCTAGATTTATGAAGGTTTTTTTAATAAATGTCCACCTAATTCCGTAGTATTGAAATATTTGTCGGCTTTAATGCCTCTTGAAAGTTTGGGATTAAAATTATTAACTTATAAACTTGTGGCTTTATTAGCTTTGGCTAATGCTCCGAGATCACAAACTCTTGTAGCATTGAAACTTTCTAACATGAATATTCTAAAAGGTAAAGTTGAATTTATGTTTACCAATTTGTTGAAAACTAGTCGAGATACTAAATTCAAGATGGTTCTGTCTCATTTTGAAAATGAGAGTCTGTGTGTTATGCACACTTTATTGTTTTATCTAAGTAAAACTGAGAATAATCGTTTGTCAGACCAGCTTTTGATTTCACACTGTATATATAAGGCTGTTACAACTAGTACTGTTGCTAGGTGGTTGAAAGATGTCTTAGCTGCATCTGGTATTGATGATAAATTTAAGGCCCATTCATTTAGATCTGCATCAGTGTCTGCTGCTTTTATGCATGAGAACTGCTGATTGGTCATCTGCGAAAAATTTTAAGAAATTTTATTTGAGGGATGTTGAACAGAACACATCAGATTACTCCAGGGCTGTATTTGGCGACAATTCGCTAGGCCTACTGTACGATCATAACAATGTAAATAAAATGTTTAGTGGTAATGTTGTTGTCTTTCTTTAAAGGTGCTGAATATACACGAAAAGCCGAAGGCTTTACGGGAAATAATGACCCCTCATCCAAGCATTATGTGAAGGATGAGGGGCATTATTGAAGTGAAGCTGGAGGCTTAGCATGTATATTCCCGCCCACAGATGATCCCTCCCTATCACAAGACAACAAATGGAGTATCTTTAAATAATAATTGCTTACCGGTATTATTGCTGAATAAATACGAATGTTTGGTCATGTGATATGACTGTTTTTACCTTCACTTTGAAGAACGATAACTCTTGCGATACTAGAATAGTATGCTGAATTTACATGCTAAGCCTCCGGCTTCACTTCAATAATGCCCCTCATCCTTCACATAATGCTTGGATGAGGGGTCTTTTTCCTACGGAAGACCATTAGGGTCAATCAAATGAAACAAAATCTGATTATGTTGTAATGCCCGTCTCATGTAATTACAAGAAAACTATGGGGCGTTAACGTCCTACTCCGACTGGGTCGGGTGTTCGATACCTGCATCGGCCGAGAAAATTCATCCAGATTTTCCGGCGTGGTTCCCCCTTGTCAGAGATGCAGGACGGAGGGCCTGGCAAGGACATTTTATATATTGGAATGCACGTAAAAGATCCCTTGGCAGTTGGAATTCGATATACGAGTAGGCGATAGTGCCGCTGCCCGGGCAAAATGTCCCTCATAGCACACTGTATGGCGTATGCCCGTCTTCATTAGCCCAGCATATAGGAACAGAACAGTAGGACGTTAAACCCCATTTCATTTCATTTAATTTCCTTTATACTCCGACTGGGCTAATAGAGACGGGCATTTAATAAGAAGATTTTTAACTTTTAAAACAAAAGCTCCATGGACCTGACATGCACCACGGTACATAAAGCAGCATATATACTTGGTTTTGATTTTTTATCACCGGCATGTTGCCAGAATAAATGGGATATAAAATGGGGTTTAACGTCCTACTGTTTTGCACAGACAGGGCTAATGACGACGGGCATACGCCACCCAGTGGCCAAGAAAGCAGCGCTATGGCCTACTCTTATATCGAATTCCAACTGCCAAGGGATCTTTTACGTGTACGCCAATGTGTACACGGGACTTCGGGTTTTCGTCCAATCCGAACGACTAGACAGCTGTCCTTGCCAGGCCATCCGCCCTGCACCAGATGTAGCAGAAAGTAGGATGTTAAACCAAATTTCATTGTTTACTTAAGTAAGAAAATGTTTAAATATTTTTCATACAGGGTGGTTGGATGGCTGAATGGTTAGCGTGCGCGCTGTATCATAAGGTCTGTCATTGAGTCGACTGGCAAGGAGTAGGGTCGCCTGTCCAACCTCGTGGGTTTTCTCCGGGTCCGGTTTCCTCCCACTGCTAAAGACCTCTACGCGCAAGCGAATTATGTAAATAAAATTAAACCATATGTTAGTCCCGAAATGACCTAGTTTGTGTCGAGAGGACGTTAAACCCCATTTCTCTCTCTCTCTTTCTCATACATAGATAACAAAGACGGGATATGTGAACCCAGGTGAATGAGCGATAAACGAGCTAATGTTTATATGATATCAAATGTCCTGTGACCAGAAAAGTGGTATCGATTTGGTAACATAGTAGAGGATGCAAAACCTCTCCCAACCTTCAGTGTTGAAAGAAGTATGGAGGGAGAGTGATAGAGAAAGAGAGAGGGGGGGGGGTAAATTCCACTCTACACAAAGTAGGTCATTTCGAGACTAACACATGGTTCAATTTTATTTCAATAATTCGCTTGCACGTAGGGGTCTTTAGCAGGCGACCTTGCGCCTTGTCACGTACAACCGGGAAATCGAAACCACGCCATTTGACTCAAGAAACAAGTATGGAAAGGAATGTCCTGTTCTCTTAAATATAGCAACGATAAAATAGCCGCATTACTCACGACATTTTTGTTTTTCAGATCTTTGCAAACGGGTACTACTCACGGTATATCTTTTTTCTTCAGGTGTTTGTAAAGCAGTAGAGCGTGGTCGGATGAGAGAGCCACATTATAGTGAGATATGGATCCCTAACTACGAAAATCTGGTGAGAGATTTTAAAAACCACCTGGGCGACGTCATGGGAAAACTCTTCCAAGGATTCATAATAAGCGATGACGACATAACTATAATTAACAGCATTAATATTAAAGTAGATGCGGCCAGAAAGTTAGTAGAAATTCTTGCCGACCGTGGCGAGAATGTCTTGCGAAGAATTATAAAAGCTTTGAAACCTGACTATGACATTGCAAAGAGTCTAGACCAACAGCTTAAAGAACTTACGGACAATGTCACGATGGAGTAATAAAATAAAGCAATAGGTGTGTTATACTTGTTATTCCCAGGACGATGCCAATCGATTAGGAACATTTTCTCTCAATACTTTAAAAGCCTCGTTCTGGATATAACAGACACAAAAACAGCCACAATCGTATCCAAGTTAGAATAACTATCAGTTACTGGTGATACGTAATGTAATAATACCGGACTTCCTTGTAGTGTTTCCTTCGTGGTCGTAAATTAAACTGCAGGTTAGTTCGTTTCTACAACTTTATTATCAGAACAGCTTGGCTTCGATGTTCCTCGTTCTCTATAAGGTATAAATGATGGGTGCTCGAACACTCTGGGCGAGCTCTGATCAGTGTCGTTCAACACCCTCTTTTATAACGCCATAATTCCTTTACGTCATAGACTGACCTTGGCGTTAATTTCCTTCCCAAATATGGAATAAACATTCCAATATTCCGAAGATTGGGAGGAGGATATTACCTTATTTGGTCTACCAACCACATGTCATAAACAGATAGGATTTGATGAATATTTGACAATGGAGGGGACAAAACCAGTGTTTTACCCAATTATCACTGTGTTTATATCCAAACACATCACTGAATTACTTGGGTACGTGGAATTTGACTCTAGAGAAAGTGTGAATCTAATAATTTAATTAAAGATAAAATATGGTCGCAAAGACCATAGTACTACAGTAACTTATCTCGGGAAGGACACCACAGTCTACAGGTTCTGTTTACGTTTAGATCAACTCCTTTGATATCAGCAACAGATCATTTTTAATTCCAGCACCAGTCAACGAAGAGTCCATGTCCGATAGCAGTGTTGAAGACCTCATGGAGTGTATTAATCCTGATGCCCAAACGACGTACCAAGTTCTAGACCAAGGCACCAACCGCGGCAAACATAAGCTCTTCCCCGGTAACGGTTTTTCCTTTACAATTAAACGATAGAAGGACGACAATTCCTGGTGATGGTGTAGCGTCAGAGGCAAAACAAACCGGTGTTTCAATTCAAATATTTGTGATGAATTTAGCCTCAAATCTAATCTGAACTAAAGGTTTGCAGCTATATAAGTAGAAATACTGTTATGGAAGAACTTATGTGCTCAGCCCCCGCCCATCCCGTATCACAGACAGGGGGGGGGGGGGGCACCGGAGTTGTCTTGTACATGTACATATTTAATCTGTGTAAGTGTAGTAAATGTGAAAATAAGACAAAAAGACTGTTCAAGAAACCGTATTTGATGTGTATACATGCAGGGATAGCGATGATGATGACGACTAACTTTGATGACATTTAAGGTGAAGAGTAACTGCATAATTTTGATTTTCGATGATTGTTTTACTTCAATAAATAACTATTTTTTGTCTTATATCTATATTTGTTAGCAAATCACACAATTATACATACCGATTCAGTTTAAATGTGTGTAATTTGGCCGTAAATATCTGAAGGTTTATAGCCACGTGTAGTAAAATACTAGGGTCTAATTGAAAGGGTATGTGGGTGTGGGTTTATATTTTAGTGGAAAAATCACGTGGTTTCAATGCCATTTACAAAAATACGGACAGATGCTGGTCTCAATTATTTCATAACAATATTGCTCAACCAATGTCAGACTAGGCGCTCCGACCATAATTTCTGGGTAAACACCCGCTCACTAACCCACGCAGGCCACAGGACCACATTTACGATATAAATATTGGGATTGTGTGCTCACATGGTCTTGTGCGTCACACAGCATCAGCAGGCAACACGCACCTGAAATACTGTTATCAATTGCAGACATTTGACAGAAAGTGAGACAACTCTCTATTACCGTTAATGGATTTTCAAAGTTCTGTATGTTCCCTTGTCCATTATGTTTTCTGCATTTTGGTTTAAATCAAATATCATAATTTTTGCCGAGGATGAAGGCAATGGTTGTTTTTGCCAATATTTAATTTTATGTCAACTTCACTATTATTAGTATAAATATAGCATTTACTTGATCACAGTTTTCATCTGGTCCTAAATCGAGTTATTACAAACATTTTGGTTCGAACTGTCTGGATTGTTGTTTCTGGTGTTACAAGCTTTCCCGAAATGTATAGTTTGTTTTGTAGGGAGGACATTGTAGCGGAATTGTGATTCTAAGCAAGCTGGAAATTTGACTGCAGGCCTATTTGTTTATAATTAATCTATTTTACAAGTTAGTTAATATCAATGACCACGTGGGTAACAACACAGTGAAAATGGTTCCTAGGGATGGCGCTGTGATCCAGATCTTACCGGAAGATGGACAGGAAGACGTGGGTTACCAGTCCATCAAATATAAGGAGGATGAGATGCACGTGACTGTTTATAAGGAGGAGGATATACCGGAACACTGCCACTATAAAAACAACCGTCGTGTGATGCCAATTGTGGCTGTAGCTGACGATGGTTGGCCGGTTATAGATGTAAGTATACAGTTTATAGCAATATCATAATATATTGACGACTCTACTGGGTGCAGAAAGGGGGGGGGGCAGAGCAGGTGTGGTGTGGTTTAACCTTCGCTTGACACTAATCAAGTTATTTCAGGACTCTAATGGGTAGATCGATTAGGGCCTACCCTCGTTCCAATCCTGGGAATCAAAGATAAACCACATTCATTCATAATTATAGCTCATGATGCATATTACTACAGACTGAATTTTGTGATATTGATTTTGTCACAAAGTTCACGTTGCTATAAGAAATTCGTTAAGTAAAACAAAGCTGTATTTATTTGAACATATTGTATGACATAATTACCAAAATACATGTTCTATAATTTTCTACAGTTTATTTATTAACATGTCTTCAGCATGTCTTCGGTGTTGCTAAGACTACCATTGTTAGGGGCAGCATCCACGCCTAGCAACTTACAAATTAAAGGGTATATGTCAACACTCTCAATAGACTCTTGACTGTAGTTCGCTTTAAAGTTGGGTCCATGTGCCAGAAAGATTGGCTTCATCGACATCAATCGATTGTCATAACCATGAGCACCACCCGGGTTTGATCGATGATACTTTTGTGGATTCTGTAATTATACAATGAATCAATTAATCAAGAGAATAGTATTCATATCTGGTATAAAGTAAAAATTATTAAACTAAAAAATTATGCTTGTTACGAATTAACTTGAAACAACCGCCTTGAAAATATAATTTGTCAATCCGAAGTGCTTCTGTACAGTTTGGACCTCGAGTTAGCTAAACAGACAATTAAATCCTCGGCAGTAGGAACCGAATTTCAAGTGTGAAGAAGGTTTATCTCAGATTCCCCAGGGAACGAGGGTCGGCCCGAATCGATCTACCCATTACAGTCCTGAAATAACTAGATTAGTGTGAAGCGAAGGTTAAACCACACCACGCCTGCTCTGACTCCCCTTTCCTACCCACAGCAGAGACGTCAATATATTTTATTAAAATACAGATGTGGCGTCATCCTTTGATGTTGGCGTACCATTATTTCAAATAATCGTAAGAACAACTTGCCAATCGTACATTATTTATACTAGTAAATTACTCGACTCACGTGACGCATTTCATTGCAAAAGCATGTGCAGAGTGTCTGTATTTTAAGTTGTTTAATGGTCTCGAGCTTAAGACATTGCGTAATATATTGTTAAAACACTCGGGCCTATGGCCCTCTTGTTGTTACAATATATTACTTAATGTTTCGCTCTCGACCATTAAACTATACATATTGCTTTAAACTGTATCTTACATCTACAATCAGCCAACCCTCGTCAGCTACAGCAATAATTGGCATCACACGACGGTTGTTTTTATAGTGGTAGTGTTCCGGTATATCCTCCTTCTTATAAACAGTCGCGTGCATCTCATACTCCATATATTTGATGGACTGGTAAACCACGTCTTCCTGTCCATCTTCCGGTAAGATCTGCATCACAGCGCCAGCTCTAGGGACCATTTTTACTGTGTTGTTAGGAACGTAGTCATTGATATTAACCAACTTGTAAAATAGATTAATTATAAACAAATAATCACACAAAATTGAATTAAAACAAAATCTTTCTGAGTAAATGTCGTGGGACAAACAAAATAATCTTCAATACACTGTCACGCCGGCGTGGAGGGTAATAACGGTATAAAAAAATTAACGTATTGTTGGGGTGTAGCTGAGGCCACCAATCACCAATGACACCACTATTATTCACAACTTTCTCAGAGGCGAAGGGGAGAACCCCGCCCCCTTTCACAAAACGTATTTTTTTCTGGCGAACCGACGAATCTGATATTTCTAAGCATTGAGAAAGGGGTGTTCTTATATTGTACACGCGGTAATAAAAGCACGATTCCTGAATTACGACTCATAGTTAAATATTAAGGGACTGATTTTACTGAGGAATTGGGAAATCGGATAAAAAATTAATGCTTCGCTCGACTGAGATTCATCATTGAATTATCAAAAACTCGAAACTGATTAGGATTAGATTTCACCTTATGCCGCATAGGCCAAGACCGTAGATTCTTGCTGGTTATAACAACATGTCAGTTAAAAATGAAATAAGATGAAATGGGGTTTAACGTTCAACATTTCTACACAGACTGGGCTAAAGTCTAATGCATGAGGGGAAAGTGACACAACAGCTTTCTCTTATATCGAACTCCAACTAGCAAGGATTCGTGTCAGCTAAATATTGTCAACTTGGCTAATTAACAAAAAAGGAGGAAAAGAAAGTATTACTATAAATAGACCAACTCCATTTATGTATGATAAAATCAGGTGAAATAATTACTAGTCTGAATCCTTATAACTTTATGGTATTTACCTACCTTGTTATCGACATCCACTGACGTCATTCCATGATCACTTGTAACGATGACGTTAAGGGAATCCCATAAATTATTGTCACGTAACTTCTGTATCATATATCCTAGGAGTTGGTCCATGTACTTGACTTTATCTTTTAATTCTTGAGAATCCGGCCCATGTTTATGGCCTGTTCGTGGAAATAAAGTGTGGCAAAATGAACCCCTTTATTAGCAAACCAATCGACGACCTAAATGTAATAAGCAAAATATAAAACATAATCCGTACACATACTCATGTAACTCACATTTTACATCATCTGGAAGATCTCATTTTGACCGGAAATGTGGGTTATTAGGCCTTAATACACCGATAAAGGCGTACAGTATCATATTTTTACGAGGCACCAATAAGGGAGTATAGTTTAATATTTTTATTAAGCACATATAAAGGAGTATAGAACATTATTTGTATTAAGCACCGTTAAGGGAGTATAGAATATTTTTATTAAGCACCGATAAAGGAGTACAGTATAACATTTTTATGAAGCACCAATAAGGGAGTATATAATAATATTTTTATTAAGCAACAATAAATGAGTAGAGTATTATGGTATTACCGTGTCGATTCGTGTTTTAAAAGGAATCGAGCCATTATATGGTAACCAGATTGCAGGCCTCACACCTTTAATCTCAACTTCACTTCCAGGCCAAAAATGCGTTGCTGACTTCTTATTGTGTTTCGTCGCGGTTATCCAGATGGGTTCCCCAGCTTCCCACCATTTTGAATCGTGAGTTCCCTTTCCGAACGACTCATTAAATACTGGATCATACATTTGGTTACCGACGATACCATGGCTTTCCTCGTACAGACCTGGAAAATTCAGATTAAACGATTTTATTTAAAAGAAAAAAAATACAAATGATTTGCTACTGCGAACTGCCCAAATTACAAGTGGTGTCTGTTGTTCTCTACAGCGTACACCTAACCACGTGTACGACACCCACCTGCTTATGCGAAGCGACAGTTTGTCGCCCAACTGGAACAACTATCAGCCCGTCCGGACAAATGATAACCGGAAACTGAACTTTTGACATTAAACCCCACCCCACTCCATTCTCTTCACAAACAAACCCGTTACTGTGATACATACAGTTTCACAATTTTGCTAGTTGCTACGCTGTTTATCACATAAGGACTCTCAAAACTACGGGGATCCACGATGGCTCAGTGAGTAAGAAGATGTTCACTCACAAGGCGTTGGCTCGTTAACCTGGCGGTTCCGTGTGTTCCATCCCTTGTCAGTCGTGAAGGACGGAGTGCCTGGCAAGGGACAGGTTATAGTCGTTCGGATAGGACGTAAAACCGACCTCCTGTGTACACATAAACGAACCCATAATATTAGGCCCGTCTTCACAAGCCCAGTCGCATCAGAACAGTAAACCCCATTTCACAAACCTACCAGTTGCCATGCTGTAATGGCTTGGAAATGTTTCAGTTACGAATACATTGTTCATATAACGCACTTTCACTCCTTTGTCAGCCAGAGAATCAAAATTGGGTGTATCTATTTCTCCAGGTAATCCCATCGAAATCCATCCATAGAGACTAGCAAAACTTTGTCTACATAGTTCTTTGGACACGCAGTCGCTGGAGAAAAGCGAACTAAGGACACTAACACAAGCAACCAATTCATTACAGAGCCCTGTAAATGAAATAAAATGGGATTTAAGTTCATACGTTTCTGCACCAAACGGCCTAATCAGGTATGCTATCAGGGAACCCTTTACTGGACTGCGGCATTTCTGTCTATATTCCATCGGGTGACCACGGTTTTCCTTCACATCAGTTCATTTAGATCTCCATATCTTACCCCAGTCCACGCCAGAAGACCAATATTATATAATGTTCAGCTGTGAGTTGAAGATACCAAAAACTATCTCTCTTATAAATCATGTCACCCACGCCATACTAAAAATAATATACCCTTTTCTTTAGCTAGACAAATATGCACCGTTGTGATAGATGAAGACCTCCGGATTGTCAAATAAGGTGCACTAAAAAGAAATTTATAGAAGTTGGATAAATAAGGCTTTAGCAATATTCAAACATTGAGGGCTACTAAAGCAAAAGACAGTTCGGGTAATATATGTACCTTTGTCGCTACCCATAACACCCCAACATCCCAACCCCTGACATCAAACGACAAACTCAGAACTAAATTTGACAATGTTCAATTCATTAAATCACCTAATCTGAATTCATCTATCACTGGGACTGTTTTATGTACATGCATCTAAATGCCCGGATCTTCGATGAAAATGTTACGACCATATTACGCCAAATAACAAATATAATTTCCATAACTTTAATTTTAGTGTCAATGACAATATGAATGGTGACGCAAAAAATCTTAAAATGTTTATATTGGAGACGGACACACATCAACCTTGATAGAGTATGCAACCATCGACGGGTTTGTAATATTGAAAATGAGTCCTTAGCATGCTAGTTCCTTAACACAACTTCACAGGCCTTGGCGGAATTCGATTTTCCAGTGTTGATGACGTGACAATTCAAACGAAAACTCTACCCAAACTAGGTCATATCGGAAATAACATATGGTTCATTTTATTTCAATAATTTGCTTGAGCGTAGAGGTCAGTACCATTGGAAAGAAACCGGGGGGGGGGGGGGGCACGAGGTTGGAGAGGCGACTATAGTCCTTGTAACATCCAAGCGGGAATTCAATGGCAGGCCTTATAATCTAAAGCCCCCACTCCCACCTACCGGTAAACAGATATTCAATAAACATATTAACCTGCTGCCCCGTGTTCATTAAAATAAACAAGATGTGTAAACCACAGAAGCCTTCGGGATCAACTTTCACTTTGATGTAAATGAAGCTGTTTCTCACAGCAGCTGGGGTGAAACTGCGATATACAGTTATTGCTGCTTATCAATCGACTGGTTCATTAGGTTTTGTCACAGACTCTTGTGTGGAAATATTGTTGTTTTTGTTTGGATTATTAGGGTGTCAAGCTGCGTAGTGAGTACATTGGTTCTGCTCAGCGATAAATGAGTATCTCCCCAGCGTTTTTGGCTTATAGACTAGCTAATAATTGTCCGAGTAAAACACCATTAACGACAATATATGATACACAGTGAATAAATTAAATAGGGGTTAACGTCCTAGATTTCTGTACCAACTAGGCTAATGAATACTGCCACAGTAACTTCTTCGAAAGCAAAATTTGATAAGGGTTACCTTCAACGGTGGTATAACTCTGGTACGGAATGTTGCGGAACGCTAAATATCACTCACAATGCTGGCCCCAAAATCCCCCCAAAAATCCGTTCAAAACTATAGCCTCCATCAAGTTCACAAGGGGGAGAATATCGATAGGGTTCATCCTCTCATGACTTTTAACAAAGTATAAGTGAATTCGGCAACAACTGTAGCCCCTGTAGCCCCTATAGGGTTCATCAACTCATGACCCAAATGTATCCCATCAGATTTGAAAAGAGTCCGTCCAAAACTTTAACCTCTAATTGCAATCAAAAGATTTACGGCTAAGGGGGGTGGGTGGGGGGTAAACCTGGAAGGGAAGGTAGCGGAACGCTAACTATTGATAGCGATCGTCCTCGCACGACTACAATGTTTCACACCAAATATAAAACAGATCATCAAAAAGTGTAGCCTCTATCGCGTTCACAAGCCAATAATGGATGACTACGTTTGGGACTGTGATCGTATAAAAATGGATATTTTCAAAAGACATAGAACTATTTCATTTTTTTAATATTATAATTTAATTTTGTTATCCGCTATAAATGTTCAGTATTGATATATAAGATCAAAAGTAACTCAATATTTCGTTTCTAAATTTTGCCATTTCCGAGAAATATCCAATTTCGATTTCTATCCAATGTGCACCATTAGATACCTTTGGCGAATTACCATTATACGAAGCCAATTGTAACTATTCGTTGACAAAAATGTTTTTTTTTTTTCAGATGAGCTAGTTTTGTTATTTGTTCCAGGGTTTAGCCCAAATGAATACAGGATTTTCAAAATATAAACGAAGTGATTTTTTTTAAACAAAACTACATTTTTAAGCTTCGGTACCGTTATTGCGACAACACAGATATATCAAAATAATGCCTTACCTTGTCCATTGCCGATAAAAAGCCAATCCCCCCCCCCCCGCGTCTGTTTAGTGTTGTCCCAAAATTTAGTAGGTCTTGATTGCAGGTTCAATGGTGTCAATTACTGGTATGAAAAGATACGCAAATTTAAGATCACTGGTGAAACCCTTAACACTGCATCGCAGTTCCAGTTGACATCATTATTACTAAGTGAACGCATTGTCAACCATATCAATGTGCAAGTATATTGACGTCGCACCTGTCTGAATGTATGTGTGTGTGCGTCGCTTACAGGGCGCAATTTTTAATGGATTGTCTTGAAATACTTATTCCTGCGTACTTACTCCTTCTACCTTACAGATGATGATCCCTATTGTTTTTGGTGCATGCTTGACACTCATGGCCAGAGCCACGCCCTTTTTTTATATCCGTCTGTTTGTCGTCTACAGGCCACAATTCTTAATGGGTTGTCTTGAAAGTTTGCATACCTATTCCTCATACCCTAAGAATGACCCCTATTCTTCTTGGTGACCCTGAGCCATACCCATTTTTTTGTGTGTGTGTCTGTGTGTTGCCTACAGGCCACAATTCTTAATGGATGGATCGCCTTAGAAATTGGCATATTGATTTTGGTGCATGTCCCTACACGCAGGGAACGAGTCATGCCCAGTTTGTGTGTTTAGCGCCTGAAAGCGGAGCCACACCCACTCTTTGTTAATATTTTGTCTGTAAATGATCTACAGGATGCAATTATTAACAGATTTGGATCCAATTCGGCATGATCCATCATAGGGTTGCACCTATTTATACTGGTTCATGTCCAACGCCCAATTTTTGTTCACAGACAGGAATTCCGAATGAATCATCTTGGAACTTGGCATATTCAATCCTTATACCGTAAGGATAGCAACTATTTATTTTTATGCATGCCCCGATCCCCTGCGGCAGTGTCACACACACTTTTTTGTTATCTTTGTGTCTGTAAATACTCTACAGGATGCAACAATAAAGAGATTTTGTTCAAATCGAGCATATCAGTCATTTCAATAACAGGATTGTACCTAAGTATATTGTTCCATCGTCGACCCGCACTAGTTCGCGGCTTTAAGAAATACTATAAATATGGGTATCAATAAACCTAACCCTAATAATAGATATCGGTGGACTAATGAACCCTAGCCCTAACCCAACCCTAACCCTAAGCATAGATATCGGTGGACCAATGAACCCGCGGACAAGTGAGCATTCCCCAGGGCCAGAGCCACGTCTAATTTTTGGTTTATCGTCTACAGACTGCATTTCGTAATGGATCGTCTTGGAATTTTGCATATTTATTCCTTATACTGTAAAGACATGAACTATTTATTTTTGTGCATGCCCCGACCCCCTAGCGGCAGTGCCACACCCATTTTTATTTTGTTAATATTTAGTCAGTTAGTTTGGAAAAACAACGCCTAGCCTTCTTTGCCTCTTGTCATATTTGAGGGGGGGGGGGAATGACATTGATGACAAAATTCTATTTTAAGTTAAGGTTCCCTTTATATCTCAAACTTATATTGAAACATTTATTGAATTTCTCTTTTTAATCAATGTGGTTTTTTTTTTTGGTTTTTTTTAAACAATATTTTTATTCATTAAATCTGAATTTGGATTGGGGAATGTGGTTGACATTAATTTGTTGTCCAAAGTAGTGGAAGACACGTTATCATATGTTCATTTCCTGTTTTAAATTGATGTTCATATCATCCGTTTGAAATTAATTTTATATTGAAAAATAGTGCTATCTTTATACATTTATTTTCACACCTTTGCATTTCGAATAAATATTGACAATGAATCGAATTCCCTAATGGATTTCTATAGCACTGCGTTTGCAATACGTAAACCATTTATTTTATGTTAAAACATTTTGTTCTGCTCATTTTCTCATCATTGCATTAAAGTCGTATAAAAAAGGTGTTCTTGTTGTGCAAGAGGACCGAACAACACATGAACAATCGCGTGGACAAGACACAATTCAAACAATTTTATTTCAACAATTCGCATGCGTATAAAGGTTTTTAGCAGTGGGAGGAAACCGGAGAAAATACACGAGGATGGACCCTACTCCTTGTCATGTACACGCGGGAGATCGAAACCACGCCACCTGAATCAACGACAGACCTTATGATACAACGCGCACGCGTTAACCATTCAAACAATAAACAACTAACAATAAACAACACACTTATATAGTAATCACGTGATTGGATCCAGGAGTCAGTGTCAATTAAGCTGTCATGGGTCTGTACTCATACAGGCTTCCTTCCAAATGAAAACAAACGAAGAATAAGTGAAACGTTCCATAAAAAAGGAATATTTCCTAAGTTAGATCCCCCAAAAAGTTAGAGATAAGTTATTTCAGGTTTAAGTAAAAGGCGGGTCGTTCTTGCTAAAATAGTTCAAAAACAGATAATGCAAAACAAATAATATTGAAAATTTCATTGAAATCACTTTTTCTGAGCCATGTTATCACTGTTAGTAGTAGCAGATGCTGAATGTTTGCTATTAATGTGTGATCTAGCTTTATCACCCAATAATACATTCTACAGTAGATATCGCTTGTGTGATATATTTCATAATCTCCTTAGGAGATATCGCTTTACATGAATTTGATTGGTCAGTTGAAAAGGAACTACTTTTTTATTTTCAAAGAACAGTTCATTTCTTATTAAAAGTAACTTTTTTTTTTATTAAAAATGAACTATTGTTATTCAATTGACCTTGATGGAAACACTGGGTCAATATAAAGGACTTTGCAATGGTTGAATTGCTGTCAAAAAATGATGTATCACTACGCCGTAATGTTCAGTAGAAGTGAAATCTACAGCAAAGAATTATATTTATCTATTTGTGCATGTAAGAAGGGATTGGGTGATAAATAAAATCTCCTACTCGTCTTTTTTGATATCAAAAAATATCAACTGGTGTTGATATTTTTTGATATCAAAAAAGACTGGTAGGAGATTCTCTATGTGTACTATGTATGGCAACGTGAAGTTGGCTCGTTATTGCAGTAAGTAGAAGTCATCATCCGTAGCTGAGCGTCTATGCTACTCAGTGTACATGTACAGTAACAGGAAATATTACAGAGTAGCGATCTAGATACTTGGAACATAATAACGGCACAGTCATGAAATTCAACAAATTAAATAAACTCTGTCTTTTTTAACAAACATTTATTAGACATGTCTTTATAAACACCTTGTTAGTTAATGACGGGACATGTAGAGCTAAACTGACAAGATGTTTAGAAATAAATTTCTAATAAATGTTTGTTTAAAAGACGGGAGTTTAATTTGTTGAATTTCATGACATAATAAGAAATCCAGAAAACTACAAGATGCCATCCAAATCAAGATATTTAAACCTGAACTGAATAGAGACGAGGAATTATATCTTCCAAGGAGTTAGATATCTTAATTAATCTTTGATGTCCATTTTGTAATGTTATTATTGCTCTGTTTATTAGATGGATTCATATCTTAATTAATCCTTAATCTATATCTTTGATGTTCATTTTGTAATGTTATTACTGCTCTGTTAGTCACCCCTTTGATGGTTTCATTTATTGTTTTTGTTACCCTGTTGTATATAATTTGATTTCTTGCTATTATACTGTCAATACTTACTTGAGAACGATAAGAGGATCACGTGGCTAAGTGGGTAAGACGCTGGCTCGCTAGCCTCGAGGTCGGGTGTTCGATCCCTGCATTGGCCGAGAAAGTTCATCCAGATTTTCAGTAATGCAGGACGGAGGGCCTGACAAGGACAGCTGTCTAGTCCTTCGGATGATACGAAAAACCGAGGTCCCGTGTATATATTAGAATGCACGTAAAAGATCCCCTGGCAATTGGAATTCGATATAAGAGTAGGCGATAGTGCCGCTGCCCTGGGAAAATTTCCCTCATAGCACACCATATGGCGTATGCCCGTCTTCATTAGCCCAGTATAGGAGCAGAACAGTAGGACGTTAAAACCCATTTCATTTCATTTCACCTTGTTGACACGTAGTGTGAAATAAACCCAGTGATTGTTTTCCATATAAATATGTGTTTTATATCATATGTCCGGTTACTAAATGCCGTATAAGGATTTGCTCAGCTCGTATGTTAGTAGCAGATCATAAATGTCTGCTACTAATAGGTGTTCTAACTGTTTATTTAATTGCTTGTAAACAGGATAAAGAATCAGAAAACATTATATTATGTTTAATTTTGGTGATAACTGAATGAACTCCAAACCCAGAAGGATGACCGAGAGCTCACCACGCGTTAAATTATTCGACCATCCAATCGCCTTATATCATCAAACAAAGAATACAACATACAAGCCACTACAAACAAATGTATTCTCAACATGACTATATAAGTTGTGTATACTACCCACATTGACCATTACACACTAATGTATTCTCAACATGACTATATAATTTGCGTATACTACCCATATTGACCGTTACACACTAACGTATTCTCAACATGACTATATAGTTGCGTATACTACCCCTAATGACCATTACACACTAATGTATTCTCAACATGACTATATATGTTGCGTATACTACCCATATTGACCATTACACACTAATGTATTCTCAACATGACTATATAAGTTGCGATTGGTCGAGTTGTGGAACAGCCTTCTTCTGTTAAACATGTTTTGTATTTCTTGATTGCATTAAATTACTTTTTGCCGAGTTGTGGCGGTAAGGAGGTGGGTCTGTATTGCACAAAACACCGAATACTTAGTTATTTACATCAATAACTGCCGTTTGTAGCATAGAACAATATGAGTTACATATATACAAATCAAATAAAACGTAGTATTGTTTATACCATTGAACAATGAGAGGTAAAGATATACACGTTTCAAGTTTTACACAGTTCATTTCTAAAATGTTTTATAACCCTTACGAATCAAAATGAAAGTAGGGCTAATTGCATATCTCTATAATATGAAACTAGATATTGATATTGACTATTAATAGAAACTATATTAAGACGGAAGTATTTAAATAGAAAGATACTCTCACACGACATGTTGTATATAGTCCACCATCATACCTGAGACAAAGGTAAGCATGTAACTACTCCATTGTTTTTATTCGTTCATTTCCCAAACATCAAGCAGCTGGGTACATCAATTAAACGGCTGGGTACACCGTAGTCTCCGTAAATATACAACAGGTCTAGTGTATGATTTTTATTCCGTGTCTTGGCCTGAACTTGAATGAGCTGTACACAAGGTAAGGAAATATTTCTACACTGCAGTTCAATATGGCGACACCTACATCAATGGCCATAGTTGATTACATTTTAATAACAACAAACGTCAACACAATTACAGGATAAGACCCCCCCCCCTCTCTCTCTCTCTCTCTCTCTCTCTCTCTCAGTAACTTGTGTTTTAGCTTGTTTATACATACATACACAACAATACTAAGCAAGTTTGGCTGTGACGAGGTACCCCCTGATGGTTTGTCTTTATTACCTCCCGGTTGTTTGTCCTTATTGAGATCGTTTCTCATGCGAACACATTACTGCAATATTGTTTAATCCAGGGGAGAAACAAACCTGGGGAATATCTCACAAACCGGAGACCTATTAAATACAACATATAAAATATTTGTAACACGGCCTCCCCATATATAACTCTTCATTGTGTGTACAGAGATAATATGAATACTCATTAACGATCAGGAATCAGAGAAAAATAAACTTTTATAGCATGCTTTATTGTTAAATTCCAATTACCAGTATTTTGAAAGTGATCTAAAACATAGTAAATTGTCTTCATAATTCTTAGCATAAATCTTGAGCCAGTGTAGTCACTTGGTAATGTTAAGGACCGAGAAGTTACCAGTCTCTCTCCCACGGGACTATAATTGGTAGAACAATAACTTTTAACATTTCAACAAACAAATCTGGATAACAGTTACATCCTGTATTTGAGTTTAAGGTTAGAAGAGTACTTAAATCGTCACCTTTGAAGTCATCCACATTAGATCTTCCACCTACTTCTATTCTCAAAGACGTTTTCATTAGCCCAGTTCGGAGCAGAACGGTAGGACGTTAAACCCCATTTCTTTTCATTTCTATTCTCAAAGAATGTGTAGATGAAATTATTTAAGTTATTGTTGATATTATCTTCATAGACTACGTTTTAGATTTGACATACAAAATTATACATTTGATCTTTTAGAAAGTTATTTAGTAGGTAAGAAACCATACATTTTAATAGATGACAAACTATCAAAAGAATCGTTTGCTATTTCGGTGTTCCACAAGGATCGATGTTTGATCCGATACTTTTTATACTATATTCATCATATTTTAGTTATACTGTTGGATAATAATAACCTAATATTGTACTTATACTCTGATTGTACTCAGCTATATAGTTCGTTTAACCTATCTAAAGAACTATTAGAAGTATGTACATGTATTAGTGAATTAAGACTATGTCTATCTAAGAATTGTCTTAAATTTAATGAAGATAAAACATAATTTCTTTTATTAGGGCCGTAATGTACATTCTTTAACACTCCCATTGTTATAAGTGATTGCAATATAGGCGCAATGTTTGGTAACTTTATGAATATGGGAACATATATAAAATGTGTTTTATAGAATTCACAATATTGGAAAATGCGAAACTATAATTTTCAAGAGATGCAACAAATGTATACCAAGTGTGTCCATAAGAACAATTTCTATAATAGGTTGATATGTGTGCAAAAGTTGCAGAAAGAAAGGTGTCTTGAATTGTTGATGAGATATTCTCCAGAAACAAACCCGGGAAGAGAGACGTTCGGAGCCCTTTTTAAAATAAAATCTCGATATCTTCAAAATAACTTTAAATCATTATACCATCAAATAAACCGCTGTTCCGCGAACTTCCTATACGATCATTGTATTGTTCGAAGTACAATTCTGAACAGATTAAAGTATTATTGCCAAAATCAGTCTCTATCAGTTGGAGGTGGCGGTAAGTATACTTAACTAACAATCAGAACCCCCCCCCCCCCGGTTTGATTCCGGAAATGGGTATAGAAAAAACATCCGATATTTTCAAGCCTGGTTTATAAAGAGTTGGCAGAGGCGTCGTGCGTCTAGAAGTTCGGAAAACGGAGATAACTGATCCGTTGGCAGTTCGAATTAAACGACTAGTAACCGAGAGGATGACACGACAAAGTTCTTGCATTACACATGTAACGCTATAAATTTAATTACAGTAGGGGAGTTGGATGGCCGAATGGTGAGCACGTGCGTGCTGTATCATAATGCCTGTCATTGAGTCAACTGCCGTGGTTTCGAATCCCCGGTGGTACGTGACAAGGAGTAGGGTCGCCTGTCCAGCCTCGTGGGTTTTCTCCGGGCCCTCCGGTTTCCTCCCTCTGCTAAAGACCCCTCCGCGCAAGCGAATTATTGAAATAAAAATTAAACCATACGTTAGTCCCGAAATGACCTAGTTTTTGTCGCGTGGGCGTCAACCCCATTTCTCTCTCTCTCTCTAATTACAGTATGTAAGCCTCAGTGGCCTATGTAAAGTGTCGACAGTGCGTTAAAGCTCATTGTATTGAAATATGCACTAGTCACTGTTAAAATAACGCTTAATGGCCCAATCGATCCTATACACCGAGCACATGGTGTTCTGCATGACTTCATGCAATGTATAAGCCGACTTGTATCGCCACAACAGACATGCTTCGCTATCGTGACACGACATAAAATGATATACTAAATCTACACCGATAACCAGACTGGGGGCTAATACGAAATGAACACTTTTAGGGGTTTATATACACATATATATATATTCACTGATAGGAGTTTGCAATATATGGGCGGGGTTATTTATACTGCTTTCTTATCTATGTATATTTTATTTACAATGCATACTATTTATATGTGGGGGGGGGGGTGGATGGCCGAATGGTTAGCACGTGTGCGCTGTATCATACGGCCTGTCATTGAATCAACTGGCGTGGTTCCGAATCCGCGGTTGTAGGTGACAAGGAGTAGGGTTGCCTGTCCAACCTCGTGGGTTTTCTCGGGTTTTCACCTACTGCTCGCAAGCGAATTATTGAAATAAAATTAAACCATATGTTAGTCCCGAAATTACCTAGTTTGTGTCGAGTGGACATTAAACCCCATTTCTCCCTCTCTCTCTCTCTTTTTATATGTGAATGTATTTTGGGGCTACAGCAAAGTTTCAGCTTCGTCTGTTTTTTAAGTTGTCGAGTGTATCATGTAATTAAGCTCACCTTGCGAATCGAGTTTTGTGAATTTAAGGGCCTTTTCTTTCAGTTGTATCGTAATATGAAACAGTTATAATAGTTTTTTAATATATATTCTTCTACAAGGAGGTATCTCAAATGATACGTTTTTTATAACACAACTTCTTACACAAAGGTGCGGGGATATAAATAGTCCTGCGTATGTTTGAGAGAGGTAAGCGCATAAATAGTCTTTTTTTTATTACCACACGGGAAGCTGAACTAAAACGCCTAGGTACATCTACGTCCGACATGTTAGTGTAAGCTTACTCTTCCGGACACCTGTTACCACTATTTGTCGTGTATTTTGTACATAATAATAATAATAAATATTAACAATAATAATAAGTCCATTTATATCGCGCTAATTCCACATAAAGTCGTGCTCATAGCGCTACAAAAAACACATAATCACTCTCGCAAATATTTTTCAAATAAGTATGTTTTCAAACTGGATTTAAAGGAGTCTAATGATGGACTGAATCGAAGATTTTCAGGTAGTGAGTTCCACATATTGGCAGCAACAACACTAAATGAGCGAGCTCCAAAGGAGCTCAGTTTACATGGTGAACAGTCCATTTGCTGTTTACACTATTTTGCCTAGACCGTTTTTTTTAGGACATCGAATTTTGTCTAATAATGGTTTGTATTGTTTAACTTGGTTTCATTTTAATTTTATATCTAGATCTAGGTTGTTTCTTTTTGCAATTTACACCAAGTAAGGTTGTCTGTACTGTTCGACATTTGTAGATACTAGGAATCTGTTTGCAGATGTTCCAGCTCTTCATTAGTATTTTCAATGGTGTTTTTTCAGGGAATCCGCTATATTGAAAATAACTAACCGATAAATACTTTCGTGGTCTGATTAATTTACATTGCATATAGTTAGGTCTAGTACACCAGGCTATACAATATGGGTCAAATTACAATATCAATACATACATCAAACGCACCCCTTCATTAAATATATATAAAATACAGATGTGACGTCGATCCTATGATGTTGGCATACCATTATTTCCAATAATGTACAGGTAACTTGCCAATCATACATTATCTATACTAGATGAAATATTGGACTCGCGTGACGTATATCATTGAAAAGCACGTGCGGGATAGTGTCTGTATTTTAAGTTGTTTAATGGTCTCGAGCTAAAGACATTGCTTAATATATTGAAACAAAATTAACACTCGGCTAACGCCTCGTGCAGTATCAATATATTACTTAATGTCTAGCTCTCGACCATTAAACCATACATATATACAATTCAACACAGAAGTAATACGCGAACATATCCATCGTACATTTACACAAGCACCTGAATGGATTAAAACAAAACTCCTTACATCTGCTTTACTATATATACTACCATAACAACAATGTTTATCACCAAATAATACATTCTACAGTAGATATCGCTTGTGTGATAAATTTCATAATCTACTGCGATATCTCCTTATATCGCTTTACATGAATTTGATTGGTCTGTTGAAAATGAACTACTTTTTTTATTTTCAAAGAACAGTTCATTTCTTATTAAAAGTAACTTTTTTTATTATTAAAAATGAACTATTGTTATTCAATTGACCTTGATGGAAACACTCGGTCAATATAAAGGACTTTGCAATGGTTGAATTGCTGTCAAAAAATGATGTATCACTACGCCGTAATGTGAAATCTACAGCAAAGAATTATATTTATCTATTTGTGCATGTAAGAAGGGATTGGGTGATAAATAAGATCTCCTACTCATCTTTTTTGATATCAAAAAATATCAACACTCGTTGATAAAGTAAAAAAAAAACTCGGCAGAGCCTCGATTTTTGTTACTTTATCAACTTGTGTTGATATTTTTTGATATCAAAAAAGACAGGAGATTCTCTATATATGAGCCGCCATATAGTTTTGACACATTTCGTCTATCATCTCAAAATACTCACTAGTTCTAACATTTCCAGTCGTTTCTATTGTCAATAAATCTTTATTTGATCATTATACAACTGTCAAGGTAATTAAATCGGCCATTATCACTCTACAATAGCGTCTACCGACAAATTATCGAGGAATATCACTCTTGAATGTAATGGGAAAAATTTTCACTAAAGTCCTGAATAACAGACTTGTATTATGGGCCGAATGTGAGAATAAATTGAAAGAACAACAGGCGGGTTATAGGCATGGGTATTCCACGGTAGATAATTGCTTCACACTCATACAGAAATATCTAAGCAAAACCAAGGGCAGAATATATTGCATATTTGTTGATTTCACAGCCGCGTTTGACTGTGTTCAACATCCTCTTTTGCTATATACTCTTGCTAAAAACAATATAAGCCCCCATTTTGTTCAAGTTATAAAGTCTATGTATGAAAAGATGAAATCGTGTGTCTTAGTAGAAAATACCCTTACAGATTATTTTGAGTGTTCTACTGGAACAAAACAAGGTTGTATGTTAAGCCCGATATTATTTGTAATGTTCTTGAATGAGTATATCAGCATGATGAATGCTGCAAAGTGTCAAGGTATATTTGTGATAGTCAGGTTCCAAATCTCATGCAGTTACTATTTGCAGATGACATTGGAAATGTAGCAGACACAGTAGGATGCTTACAGAAGCAGTTCGATGTGCTGGAACATTTTTGTCTCAAATATCACATGAAAGTCAATACAAATAAAACAAAAATAGTGGTCTTTAAGAGGGGCGGTAAGGTAAAAGCAAATCAAAATTGGACCTTCAAAGGTAAAGAACTACAAATTGTAAAAGAATACAAATATTTGGACCTCTACTTTACTAGCACCAATAACTGGCACCGAACTATCAAATCACTATGTCTTTCAGCAGAAAGAGCTCTGCATCCTATATATAAGTTTATTAACACTTACAATCTAAGTCATGAAAGGGCTCTGTTCCTGTTTGACCATATGATTGTCCCAATATTATGTTATGGTGCTGATATTTGGGGTTTTGAAGTATATAGTAAAATAGAATCAGTGCAAAACAAACTCTGCAAGAAAATCCTAGGTGTAAAACCAACCACAACAAACTGTGCCGCACCTGGGGAATTGGGGCGGTCACCATTATATGTCATATATAACACTAAGTGCGTTAAGTATTGGCTAAAAACATTAGAAATGGGTGATGAAAGATACCCAATTAAAGGTGTTATGAAATGTTACTAAAATTACATAATGCTGGTAGGATAACTTGGGCTACCACGATTAAGGAATTACTGAGTATCTATGGCTTCCAATATGTTTGATTCTGTCAACAAGTAGGAAATTCAAACAATTTTATGTATACATTCAAACAAAGAGTGAAAGATTGTAGTACCCAGAAATGGCATGAAAACATAGAAAGCTGTAGTAAACTTAAATTCTATTGTGAGATAAAATCTCTGTTAGAACCAGAGGAATACCTGTCATGTGTTGAAAATAAATTGTATAGAGTCACTTACAGTCGACTCAGATTGAGTAGTCATAATTTAGAGGTAGAGAAAGGACGAGCGAACAGTGTAAATAGCTATGAGAGATATTGTCAATTTTGCTGTATAACTAAATGCAAAACTGTGGTCGAGGACGAATTACACTTTCTGAGAATTTGTGAAAATTAAACCGATTTAAGAGTTTTGTATAAAGTGAACACATACTTTGATTATAGAGAATCAACGTTACACTATTTACAAAGCAAATGTGATGATGTAATGAATAATATATGCAAATTTGTATATCATGCATTCTTGAAAAGAGACAATTACATAAAATCTAAACATAAAGGTCAATCACAGAGTACAAAGTGAATAATTATAATCACTTATAACATTGTATATTGAAAGTATGTCTGATCAACTGAAAAATGAAACTGTACAAATGTATCTAATGGACTGTACATGTATACTGAAAATGAATTGTATTTATTTATAGATGTTAAAATTGTCAATTATCAATATGAATATTCATGAACTAACATATATTGAGTGTACTATGGGTCTTTGGCCTAACATGCATTGAAAATAAAATTATTATTATTATTATTATTATTATAGCGTCTATACCTGTGTACTACTTATTGGCGGCTACATTAAATGGGTAGATGGCAAAACCGCATACTGCTTTTGGTAACAAATATATTGTTCCCAGTTGTTTGAATATAAATTCTGAGTGATAATTACGTATGCATGCTGGAATTTAGGTGGGGTGGGGAGCATTGGGTTTATAGTCAACATATATTTTCCTTTATTTATATTTACAGTTGATCTGCCTCACTGTCTACAAACTGCACCAAAAACGCACGACTCTGTTTGTACACATCACATATAACCTGATGGGGATGGCTTGTGGCAGGGATCCTCGTGAGTAAAAAAATATTGTAGTTAATACTGTAATGTGGTAAATACTGAAATTTGCAGAATGGTTCTCACGGCTGTGATTTCATTCAGAAATGAACCAAATACAAGAATCGAAAGATACTGCAAATATACCGTTTGTTTTAAGGGGGAAAATAGTTTATAGGCCCACTTTTGCAACTCTGTATTTAGGCCTTAAATGTTACATAAGTTATTAATTAGACATTTATTAACTTGGCAAGACCATAATCAACTCTCGATTCTCTATATTTTGGGATTTAAATACGATATGTGGTTGATTAAAAAATTAATAATCGAGACTTTGTTTATTAACTTTTCTCAAAATGAAGGAATTTTCTTGACATTTTCAATATATGCCCCTTTTCGAGTTGTCTTCTCCTTATCTAAATCTTCAATAATACATGTTTAATATAGTCTGCCTGTCTGTCCTGCTATATGTAACCATGATGTAGTGATTGATAACCATTATGAACACACGGTGATGTAACGAATCATCATTTTCGCATTGTGTATATTTTAGATTTTATACGTCCGCGTTGAAATGTGGTCGTATATTGTTGTCGCCCCCGTCCGTCCGGCGTCCACACACTCTAGAGGCTAAAGTTAATATCCGATTGACTTCAAATTTATATACAGTGTTTAAGGTCATGAGACGAAGAAGCCTATTGAATTTCAGCGATAATTACAGCTAGCGTTATGGCCCTTGACCACTTCAAAAAATCTTGTGGGCGCCCTAGAGGCTAAAGTTAATATCCGATTGACTTTAACTTTCCACACAATGTTTAAGGTCATGAGACGAAGGAGCCTATTGATTTTCAGCGATTACTTCCAAAGTTAGGGTCCTTGATCACTTTGAAAAATCTTCTAGCGCTTGAGAGGCTTATGTTATCATCCGATTGACTTCAGATGGATACACAGAGTTAAGTTCTTGAGACGAACAAGTATATTGATTTTCAATGAATTTTGAAGAGCTAAATCCATGATATTATATGTTTCGTATACTAAACGTTAGCATAGGGCTGAACTTTATAAAAACAAACACATTCTAATGATTTTCTGATATTTACTTAATGAGTTGTTCCTCTTAATCAGATTTTAGTGAATTATTAATGTTTCATTACTGAAAAAAAAGTAAAAATATGCGACAACTCTTGTTGACTGCCCGGACGAATTAGCTGCTATGGGTGTATGTTTCGTTGTCTGGCAACCTATTTTTATATAAGGTAAAGCCGCGCGCGGAGAAATGTCAGAGTATGCATGTGTACTTCCCTGACAACCTATCTTGTCATTCTATTCAGGCTATGACCTTATTCACCACCAAAAACTCAATGGAAATAGACGGAAGCTTCAAACCCAACTAGCAGATTATTTCAATGAACTTATTGAGAGATTACGCGAAAAGGGGGGATTGCAAAAATATGAATTCACGCAAATTCAAAATACCAGACGGAATGAGGGTCCAGAAGCAGGAATATCGAAGCTAATAGACTGCCTTTGTGATCGCGATGTAGAGGTTTATAATATTTTTAAGGAGTGTTTGATAGAAATGGGATTAAAACAAATAGTAGTTGATCTACTAGAAGGTAAGTAGTATCATATCTACAGCGCGGTCTAGATGTTGTACCACGTAAAGTAATTATATTTTTTTCTGCATTTCATCATAATTAATATATTTGAGTGGGACACATTTTATCAGTTTTTGTCTGAGCCTCTCTGAAGAATGTTTTCATGGATTCTATTTCTTGTGCAAGTGATTTATGGCCATGTGGTCGGAATTATGCTGTCGGATACTGACAAAAGGCAAATCATTCCTAAGAAAAAATGTTTTTTCATCGGCTTAAAATTAATGACAGGCCCAGAAGTGTCGTAGGTGTCTATGTTTTTAAATTGCTCAAATAATAAATGGAAACCATATTATAAAAACATTTCTAGTATCTATTTTTGAATATTTATATTTTTTGATAATCTTTAATATAATCTGTCGTTTATTGTATTCTAGATATTTTACTGTATATCACGATAATAAAGTTATAACTTTGAAAATCTTTGACTCTTAATTTTAATTCGTGGGGTAAAGGCAACAAACGGTAATTGTAGATATATGATTTGCCAAGTTTAACGATAATTTAAACGTATTCTTTGTTCACTTTAATAGTATCCTGCTTTGAATTTATTCTCAATTCCCTCAAGTATCCGATACTGAAATAAACTCAATTCCTAAATCATAGATTCTAGATATTTTGAAAACTTTATCTATATTGAACCCATCCTTTAGTAAAAGGAAATCGGGACCTATTATTTCACCAGTTACAGTTCAGGAAAACGAAAAACATAAATCATGCTGAGTAAGTTACGTCATCAAAGTTTCATTCCTGTTGATTATAACCCTGCTTGCCGCAGATACAAAACAGAATATGCTGGTGTTCAAATTTCCTGGATCATCTGAAAGTGAAAGATCAGACATATTCTAGGTAAGGGGAGGTAAGCGATGGAATTATGCTGCTTAGTCGTGACTCAAAGTTATCCCATATATCCATGTGTTACTCCGATATATTTAATATTAATATTATTATATCTGAGGCTCAGACATACCTCAATGTGACTAAATTAACCTGAAACAATGAAATATTTTCAGATGGGGGATCAGGCAGTCAAACGGTGAATGATCCAATAACTGCAAGCCAAAGCGAGCTGAGCGGTAATGCTTCTGGTGCTCCAACTAGAAGCCATACTGAGCTGAGCGGCCATGCTACCGGATATACAGAATCGAGAAACGCTACCGAGCAGAGCAGCCTACATACTGTGGGCACAATAACTAGACACTATACAGAACAGAGCGTCTATGCTCCTGCTGGTCCAGTAAGTAGAAGTCATCATCCCGAGCTGAGCGGCCAAGATACTGGGAATATAATAACTAGAAGCCATACAGAGCACAACGTCCATGATGCAATAACTAGACAAAACACACATCTGGCAGATGTGGACAAAGCAGGTTTGTAAATTAGATGAGTATATATTAAAATCTAATTAAGCACTGAGACGTATTTCTAAATATTAACATTTCTGTCTTGGTCACATTTATTTGAAAATACAAAATTAAAATTGAATTAATGAGGCAGTGATATTACTACACTGTATATGACATTACAGTACCTTTCAAGCGGGTTCGATAGATGGTATATTAATGTAACAGCAACAAATGGTAGAGTTACTCGCGGCATATTTTCTTTTTAGATGTTCGTAAATGTGTACTATTTGGACGAATGAGAGAACCACATTATAGTGAGATATGGATACCTAACAACGAAAATCTGGTGAAAGATTTTAAAAACCACCTGGGCGACGTCATGGGAAAACTCTTCCAAGCATTCATAATAAACGATGACGACAAAACTACAATTAACGGCATTAATGATAACGTAGATGCTGCCAGAAAGTTAGTGGATATTCTTGCCGAGCGTGGCGAGAATGTCTTGGGGAGAATAATAAAAGCTTTGAAACCTAAATACGACATAGCAAAGAGACTCGACGTGCAGTTCACAAAAATAAATTTACATAAATAATTGAACCTATAGTCAATGACACAATGGTGTAATAATATACTAATATTGTAAAACAATAGGTATGGCATAATTGTCATACCCAGAACGATGCCAATCGATTAAGAACATATTCCCTTAATAGTTTAAACGCCTGTTTCTGGTTATAACTAACTCAAAAACAGCCAGAATCCTAAGCAAATACAAGTAACTATAATTTACCGGTGATTCGGCTATGACGTCACAGTCTATTAGTTCCGTCTACCTTCAATTAATTGTGATAATGTGATATGGCTGGCTCTTTGTGGTTCTAACGATTATGTTCAAAAAGCAGTGTAAGCTGAGACATTGCAAACCATCAACAAACAGGCTGTTTGGTGATTACCTGATCAGTGTGTTTACCTATAAATATTTCTTTTATACAGTTTTTATGTAATAAAACAAATAAAATTAACGTATAATAGTTTATCCCATGGGAATGGCGATACGACTGGCATTTATCGATAAATGCCGATAATTTTAAGCGGGGTTTAATTCATCCTCGGACATCATGCGGGATGATAAATTAAGCCAGAGGGTAGGAGAGGTTTCTTGCCATTACACAACTGAATATTGAATCGTTTTCACTAACCGGTCTCCTTTATTTTCTTTACTATGTTAGGGTATCATTGAAACGAGTTAGATATTACCTGAAATGAAATGAAATGGGGTTTAACGTCCTACTGTTCTGCTCCTATACTGGGCTAATGAAGACGGGCATACGCAATACAGTGTGCTATGAGGGAAATTTTGCCCGGGCAGCGGCACTATCGCCTACTCTTATATCGAATTCCAACTGCCAAGGGATCTTTTACGTGCATTCTAATGTATACACGGGACCTCGGTTTTTTGTCTCATCCGAAGGACTAGACAGCTGTCCTTGTCAGGCCCTCCGTTCTGCACCACTGACAAGGGGAAACCACGTCGGAAAATCCAGATGAACTTTCTCGGCCAATGCAGGGATCGAACACCCGACCTCCAAGCTAGCAAGCCAGCGTCTTAACCACCTAGCCACCGTGGCTCCCACCTCACCTACCTAAGGAAACTGAAGGATGTATAGGCATTGCGGGCTTCGTAATTAATCGATCTAGTGTGACGATTCTGGTCTATGGGCATCAGGTTTTGAGGATTGCCCACCACATACACACCGAATCCTGCTTGTGTGAGAATATTGTGTTGAGTGTTTAGAATGTGTTTCCTAGCTAAAGGGGGATAATTGTTACACAATGACAGATGTTATTGATAGTTCTCGTGCCACCTTGACACCTGAAAGCAGAATTGATTAAAATATCTTTATGTCGGCTATCAGCATCCGTGGTTGTCCAGATTGCACTCATTAGTCATTAACATAATATAAACGTATAGCTGGCACGAGTTACGTAATATCCTTTGTCTTGTAAAGCAATCTGCGCCGAACGCTAAATCTGTCAAAAGCCATGTTTGTAATCCTGTGAGATCTTTTGTCTAGAAGTTGGATATAAGCAAGAATGAAAACGAGATAGGGGAGAGAAGGCCATGGGCGCCCTGGGTTAAGGCTAGAACAAGGGCCATGTTAATTAATTACGGAGTCTTAAGTTTTGTACATGATATGTTTGAAGAACAATAAAAGTATCATATGAAGTTAAACCTGTGTTGTCATCCAGGACCGATTCAAGGAACAAACACGTGCCACACAATTCATGATTCTGAAAGTATTCAAGAAATCTCTCGATGTTTTAAAATGTTGGGAATGTTGATATGCTAATATTAATCTTCGGAAGACAGACCTGGGATTTAACGTCAAGTGAACTCTTATTGGGTCATTCCGGGAATACATATTGTATATCTTTACGTCAATAAATTCCGTGTGCGTATCTGAGGGAATCAGGCAACCAGGTTCAAACACACGAATTTAGGTAGCTAGGTGATCCTAGTCTTTGCCCCACAGAATATGTCCAGTAAAGATAAATAATAAGTCAACAGGTGATACAATTTTAATATATATCCATGACTAGTTTATGAATAGTTATAAAGTTATGGTTAGAAACGACTAAGCATGTTTGAATCAAGACCTTTCGCATAGCGCATGAGATATCCAGTTTCTTGGGTGTTTCTTATATCTTCGGAAAACCGCAAAACGTTTAGTAGTTACTTAGCACCTGGTGACAGGCGCTAGTAGCTGGCCAATCCAGAACAGACCGTCAACAGTCGACCACAAACATGGTTGCGTGTATTATGTTTTTATGAGTTAATTCCGAGATAATCTTAATCAGATTTTATTTGTTTATAATCTTATGGCAACTATGCTGATCCAATAAGTCTATCAATTCCTCTAATTGAACGCTGTCAAAATCTGTGAGAGCTTTCTTTAAAATATATCTTTCTAGTGGGTCCACAAATGCAAGGAATCTATCCATCAGGTCGCTGAATGATCTACCGTATATGACTTCCTCCATAGGTACTGTCACAATTGCTATCGGTATGTTATTAAATATGCGCCAGCCAACCAGATATGCTCGCGCGACAGCGTCCCGCTCTTCAGCACCAAAATCGTGACGTAAAAATGGCACTTTGAAGTCGGAGCTCAGAGGGGACTGTGAGTAAAATTCTCCCCAAAGCTGCGTTAGCCAATCTTTATACACACCGTCGTCAACACCTTCCTCCATGATAAAGCGATTTACATTAAAAACAAAATCTCAAACCGCTGTACAAACATGAGAATATAACTTTTAAACTTTATAATTTTACAATAAATTATTAGAAATTGTTAAAGCAACTATTAAACACATGCAACAAATTGAACTTTAAAAATATACTATTAAAATTTATGAGTGAAACGAATAACTAAAACTGCTGTATACGCATATAAATCCAACTCTAAAATTTACTTTTAAAACTATTTAAAAATTATAATTTGCAAAAGAAACTAAAAAGTAAAAATTCACAAATATTGGCGTCATATCAGTGCCACGTGGAAGTGGCCTTCATATCACTAATTCTGAGTGTGTTGAAGCTTTATAAATTGGTATCCATAACTGCCGCCGTAGAACAGGCTATAACAGTAATATAATCTAGATGATACAAATGCGTGAATGAGTTTCTTGGTATTGGCTTGATCAAAAACTTTCTGGTCTTCCCAATGCGTCACAAAGAGTTCGACGCTGCCTTACATAAGCTGGTGATATGGATGTCCATTGTTCCGGTCGAGTCCATCATTACACCCAGATTCCTGATAGAGTTAGCTGCAGTAACAAGCACATCACCAATCCAAACAGCACAATTAGCTGGAGGGATGCTGATATCCTTAAACCTTGATAAGAAACATACTATTTCTGTCTTGTCGTTGAGTGACAACTTATTAGAACCCATCCAATTGCGTATATCATCAACACACTGCTCGATCCAGTTTAGCACATAATAGTCTGTTTGAGAGTCACAGGCAATGGTCTAATATGTGCGATTTAGTACATGAGTCAATTGCCGTGTGTTCAATTCTCAGCTTGTCCTTGAAAAGGCGCAGTGTTGCCCGCCCAACCTCTTTGGTTTATCCAGTTCCTACGGGGTCCTCCCACTACTAAAGACCCCTACGCGCAAGTGAATCATTGAAATAAAATTGAACCATGTTATTCCCGAAATTACCTACTCCTTGTCAGGTCCAAGCGGGTACTCGAAACCACGCCACTTGACTTAATGGTAGTCGTTATGGTCTAACGCGCACGCTAACGTATACCACCCATGGGCTCAGATCCCGGTGGGGACACCGGGACGCGTCCCCACCAATATTTCTACTGGTGGGGACATGATATACTGTGTCCCCACCACTTATTTCCGATGTTTTTGCTTACTGTTTATTTTTTTAAATTGAAATCATTCCAGAGCTTTTATTGACATTTCAGAAAGTGTAGGCACTTTTTTTTTTAACAATATTTATTCGATCAATATTTACATATTATACAGAGACAATATTTAATTATAGGATCTGAAAACAAGCCGGAGCTTAATATATAAATCCATTTCCCGTAATAAATTATTTACAGACATATAAATACATTGTTTATAATTACAATCACAATTTACATAAGGTTATAATTACAAAAGCAAAACATATTTATTCTCACTTGATGAAAATGTATAAAATACTAAATATACATAGGTTAATGTGGTTAGCGACACGATTATGGTGTGGTGATAGTGTGGCACTTGAGGCCAGGGTCTTGAAGTTGTACAGCTGCACCCGGTGACCGATTTTTATTTAACAGGGAATAAGTGATAATTCATATTATAACAGTAAATAATTAAAATATTCCATAGGGATTATAATAATATGTATATCATGTAGGTGTGCATATCTGATACGCTGGGTATTAAAGGGTTAAGGAATAACTGAGATTTTGTTTTTATCTGGTATACGTGATGTAAAATGTTACATTTATTTCAATTGGGATTGAATATTGATGTTTAGCTGTGTGTGTGGCTTGGTTTAGTTTATATAAATTAAAAGATTTAAAGGCCTGTACATTTGTGTACCCAATTGAATACACATTTTGCTCAAATACTTTACGAACACTACTGGGAATGGAGGCGGAGCTGGAATCGCAGTAGTGTAAATATTTCTAGTTCTTGTAGTGTACATGAGAGAATAAATCGTGAACGGTGGCTTGAAGATTTGTCTTTAGATTAGATTTCGTACCATTTGCTGCCTCAGGGATTAGAATTGCTTGCCAGAAAATGATGCTGAAAATACCAACAGAGTGCGTTTTAGAGCGTCTAGATCAAAACATTTCGGTGGAAGAACCCCCCCTTTTTACCAATAGTCGCCCGCACATGGACTGTCCCCACCACTAAGTTTTGGCGATCTGCACCCCTGATACCACCCACATAAACAAGTACAAACTAATGTCATATCATAGACCAATAACAGTAAAAGATATACACGTTTCTGGTTTTGCACAGTCCATTTCTAAAATGTTTTTACAACTCTAATTAAAATGAAAGTAGGGATACGAAACCGGGTATTTTTATTGACTATTCATATTATGACGAATACAGGAAATATTTAAATAGAAACGACCATATACGCTATAAGCTGTACTTAGTCAAGCATCATTCCTGAGACACATGTAAGTTTGTAACTACTCTTGTTTTGTTTTTGTTGTTTTTTTTCGTTCATTTCCTAAAAAACATCAAGCAGGAATTAAACGGCTAGATACACCGTAGTCTTGGTAAAGATACAATAGGTCTAGTTCATGGTTTTTATTACGTGCCTCGGTCAGAACTAGAATGAGCTGTACACAAGTACTGGAGTATTTCTGCTCTGCAGTTCAATATGGCGACGCCATGCCCATTGCTGATTACATGTAAATAACAACAAACGTCAATTACAGTATGCATGCTTTGATTGTCGTCTAACACAATTACGGAATAAGAGTCTTGATCAATATAGTTACTAGGATTGACAGTTATCTTATCAGCAGTTAAATCAGTACTAAGAATTAGATGAAAGAGTATATAATGTCCCACATCCCAAATCGCAGTTCCGAAAGCAAAATGGAAAGGGCGGCGGGTGGCTGTATTCAAAATGTTTCAAGTTTTACACAGTTCATTTCTAACCGTTTCATAACACTTATTAATTAAAATGAATGTAGGAGTACTTGCAGTTTCTCAATAATATGAAACTAGATATTAACTATTCATAGATACTCTATGACGATTGAACGGAAGTATTTAAATAGCTACTGGGTCAATAAATAAACTATACTCCAAGAAAACATGATAATAGGGACAGCTAAATTACGTAGTGGGTATTTCTTACACGGGGTCAACTAAGCGTAATGTATATGATTGTGGTATTGTACTGAACGATATTTTGATTTCCTACATAATGCAATTTTGCCCGGGCAGCGGCAATACGGCCTACTTTTATATCGAATTCCAAATGCCAAGGGATCTTTTACGTACATGCCAATTTGTACATGGGACCTCGATTTTACATCCCATCCGAACGACTGGCCCTCCATTCTCTATTGCTGGAACTGCCCGCACTTATGCTATCTTGCCTGGAATATAAGGCCTTTTTTTCTTATCTCACGTTTCCTCTTTCTTTTCTCCTTTTTCGCCAAAAGAACCGGTAACCGCCTCTCTCGATGTCTCCGCGTCATTGTAAATTTAGGAAGTAGATTTTTCGTTTCGGGTTGAGCATCCATTATGGCACAATTACGTATATCGGGAAAACGAGGTTTTAGCCACTCGTCAGATTTATTCATTTTTTTGTTATAACATGGATGCGTCGATGCCAAAAGCATAAGATGGGACAATCCTCATTAATTTATCAAGCTGATTGGACATGTTTTCCGGCAAAACCCGAGATAGATCGACTGATGCTTCGTAATTTTCGGAAATTTATTAATAATGTCTAGTATAGGCCTATTTGTGATTTTACCATGATAGTTTCCGTGGTGCTCATGTCAGACAAGGGGTACTTGTTAAATCCAATGCTGGATAGCAATTCACTGGTGGACGCCATTTTGCTTGCTCAATCCCAGATCTACAAGACGAAAATAACTTATTCAACATAAAAAGTTTCAATCTCTCTTCAGAGAGTTACGGTCCAAATATGGTGATTATTCTCCTATTTACACAGACATTTATAAGTTGATCGGGTAGCCTCGGCTACCGTCACGCTATTAAATACCATTTCTTTGTGTCTTTCACCTGCTGCTGCCATCTTTACGGCTGAGGTCCAGGCCATTCTTCAGTTCACTCAATCATCTTTAACGCGGACGAATGGGTTTTGATGTTGTGCATGTATATTTTGCTTAGCTAACTTGTACACCCAGTCACCCACTATTGGTCTGAATCCATGTAGAGAAGTCACGACAGGGAGACGAGGGAGAAAGTTCTATGTTGCATTCTTCTTTGTCATTTACTTACATATTAAACGTCTACAATCTATAGTTTGAGTTGGCAATCCTTTCGACCATACTGCTCGGTTACATTAATATTGAAGCATGCCATCTTTACCGATTCGTTGACCCCACTTCAAGCAATATACAATGAACAGCTTAATCACCCATTAGCAGCTGACGTTGTTGGCGTTCTAAAGGTTGCACCGACCAGCAAACTCACCAATGCAATGTTATCACAATGTTCTAAAATGTCCAGCATACCATGCAGGATATTACAAATGATAAGTACAAATGATATACACAATGTTCCAAAATGTCCAGTATACCATTCAGGATATATACAAATGATTGTATTCTTTGATTTGTATAGATTAATGGTTTAGAAGAAATGCTCTATTTTATCGTAATTGTTTTACACAAATGTTACTTTCTTTAATAGTAACGCCACAATTGTCAATATGGCGTGCGATAAACACCGTACTGTTGCTCGGAAATATTGTACTTATAACTTTGACATAATTTCTTCAAAGATATTCTTCTAATATATACCATATTTAAATCACAACGTACCTATAATATTAAAGACAATGGGGTTTGGGGTCATACGTATCTGCAGAAATTGGGACAATATTATTTATTTTATGTAGATATCCCGAAATGTTTCGTGCTCGGTCACTCGGGGCAGAACAGGACATTAAACCCCATTTCGTATCGTTTCTTGATCAGGCTGTTCATTGTTATTGTGAATTTATACCCTAGAATACAACATACCTTTACCCTTTTAAATGAATATCTTATTAGATCTTACTAAGTATATTGCAGTATACAATGAAATGAAATGGGGTTTAATGTTCCACTGTTTTGCTCCGAACTCGGCTAATGAAGACGGGTTGCAGTATACATTATGCACTATTCCAAATATCAATAACCCTTTCCCTTTTATTTTTTCTACAGATAAGGGATTCACAATGTCTGCACACATCAACAAAGGTAAATTAAAAACAATATTTTATTTTTGTCACTGAAATTGAATCGTGAGTTTCATGAAAAATTATAATCATTACAAAATGTAAAGTTAAACGCGTCAAACTCTTTAGTCACTACATCGCAATTCAAAATTTTTGGATCTTAAAAAATAATTTGTATTTCTTCTTGTCATTACCATTTATTAAATCCCCGAATTTTGTTTTTAAATTTGAATTTAGATTTTCTGCCTTACTACAGACAAAAGTATACTGAGCACGAACCTATCCTTAGAACGCAGCTTGCTGGCCAGATAGGTGACATTGTACGAGATTTAAAATGTCGCAATGTCCTGCAAGATCACCAAGCGAGGAGAATTTTGACAGGAGTAGATACAAGACCAGAAGATTGTGTATCAGAATTAATTGACACACTCAAACAATACCGCGATTGCCATTTTAAAACTTTTATGGAATGTTTGACAGAGCTCGGTTATGGAAATTTAGTAAAGGAAATAACAGGTATGTATTATTAAAGATACATTATCGAAGATTAGATAAAGAGCTAACAGTTCGCACTATAACAGTTAAAAATTATATAATGTAAAGGGAAATTGTTGAAAATGTCCCGTCAAATTGATCCACTCTGAACCAAGAAATTAGCGATTGGATTTTGGATATAGCCTTGATCATTATTAAAGTCAACCATAAAAAAAACATAGTCTCGATTATCCATTTTTTTTATTTAATCATTAATGGGCGTTGAACAGCAGATCGGATTCTTATATCGCAGGCTTGCGATGACATCGAGAGTTGATTATGGTGTGGATAAGTTAATTAATGTCTAATAAATAACATTTAAGGCCTAAAGAAATACCCGCAATAGGCAGATTTAACTCTTGCATAATGTATCTGTAAATATACTCTTCAAAAAAGTAGGGGATATTCAGAAACAATACAAAACTGTGGAAATGCACTGATATTTTTATTAGAGGTAACCAGTGTATGTTGATGACAGGCCGATTGCCTACTCGTGAACATAAACAGTTCATATCTGCGGCTTATCTGACGGCCCAAGTTCACTCGCAAAGAGTTACACTGTCAAAAGTGAAATTGGACGTTTTTGATTTTTGTCTTAAAAAGTAATTGCTCCACCAATCCGCGGACATTCAGCAATTCTTCGTGGCATGCTCCTAATTAACCGTCCAATCACGATTAGGGGCAATCTGACCCACTTGTATTGCAATGCCACGGCCAATTCTTGCAGGGTTGACATTGAAGTCGACGAACACGTCTCCTGATCATGCCTCAGACATGCTCTATAGCGGAAAGGTCAGGACTCATGGCTGGCCAAGGCATATGGACAATATGGTTACGCTGGAGGTACACAACAGGGACCCTTCTTTGAACAATATGCAAGTCCGTTCTGCCAGTCATAGTGATTCCTCTCCGCACCATAACACCCATGCCCGAATCTATCACGCTGTTTGACGTTAACGTTAGCATGACGCTCATTTACACGCCTTCAAACGCAAGCACGCCTATCGGTGAAATCCAGAGTAAATCTTGACTCCTCTGAGAACATTACACGCGCCCATCGACGATTATCCCAATTTCTGCGCTGCCTACACCATTGACACTTGTTTGCGATGTGCTGGCGAGTTAATTGGGGCACAACACGCGGCCTTTGCGCATGCATATGGGCTGCATGTAGCCGATTTCTAATCGTTTGGGGCGTGACTCGAATTCCTGTAACTTGGTACAAGTTTACAGAAAGCTGATTGTCTGTTTATCCTCGATTTCGCAGGACCTGTGTACGAATGTATTGATCCTGGGCTTGTGTAGTGGCTGTAGGACGACCTGAAAGATGTCTATCATCAGCACTGTGTGTTTGTTGGTAACGGTTCCACAGTCTGCTGATCACAGACTGTGACACATTAAGCATGTTGGCTACTGCTCGCATGCCAATAGCACGTGACGTTCATCTCTTGAAGACGTCCCATTGAAAATTAAACGTAACACACTAAATCAAAGATACGCTAAACAGTAAATATTATTTAAGAACCGATAGGAAAGCAAACATGGATAGGATAAACCAGCACGCGGCATTTTTCATTAACCCGTCTTTGAAGTGTCAAATTTGACAATGAACCCACCCACGTGTATGGCGCTATTGCGTGTCGCGGGTGCAGCTGGAGCTTTTGTTTTATTCATCGCCAATAATCAGTTTAATGTAATAAGGGCAGTACAGTACAATTAAATTTTGTCAATTGTAGATCAGAAAGCTTTGTATCCATCCAAGGCTTTCCAAATAATATCTAAAATCGACAGATGTATATGCAATGGAAAACGTCTAGTGTCGCATCCTATTAGGTGAATGCCTTGATGGAGTTCGATGATAAACAATGTCTGCTTACGGTAAGCAGAGATAAGCAATCTGATTGGTTGATGCTTTGGGGCCAATAACTTTGGTTTTTTAAATTAAGTGAGAGTTCCGAGTATAGATTCATTATACCATTACATTGACTAAGTTTGATGATGAGAATTTTCTGCTTAGGCTAAGTAAGGTTCGATAAGCAATTTGATTGGTCAAGACTTTGGAACATAACTCTGTTTTTAATTGAGGTAGAATGTTTTAACATCTATGTAGATGTTCATTAGGTGAATGTCTTGACTGAGTTCAATGATTAACATTTCGAGCTAAAGCTAAACAGAGGTAAGCAATTTCATTGGTCGATGCTTTGGAACAAGATAACTTTGATCCTATCTGATAGAGAGTGATGAAACTAAGTGTATAATTGATAATCAGTTTATTGATTGCTTGATACTTTTAAAAAAAATAATAAATGTGCGATTAATTAATATGTGTCATCTATTTATTTATTTTTTAATTCGGCGGGGGACATCAGCCTCAGTGTTGGCATGTTTATTATGAAATGTGCAAATTTTAACTTTTCGTTTTGGTTGGTGTGAGTTTCGTGATGATATTGAATGTTATATTCTTGGTCCCGATATGAGCCACAAATCACCCCGAGCGTTCCAAATGTTCTGTGGGGAGGATCACCACTATGCCCGGCGAATACCATGCGACACCCAGTGGCGGCGCCAAGGGGGAGGGGGCATTTGCCCCCTCATAAATCTGTGATACGATTCGGTAATCAATACCTTGTACGGTAATTAAATCCCACACCCCCACTCAGTCATAGACTTGCATGTTATAGATTCTGCGTGATTTCTTACCAAGCCCAAAGTTTTTGGGTATAGGTTCAACGCGGTGAAAATATATATTCAACTGATACAATCACTCCGTTCCTTTGACACATCCCTTTTTTGGATAAGCTATCTGGTCAGCTCTATTTATCTCAAAGACCAGTGTCTCAAATGCTGCATTTCCGGCAGTCGATTTCAAAAAATATCGTGGCGAAAATATTCATTCACTTTGGGTCACTCACTCCGTCCGTTTGACGGAAGGGTGTCTGTATTCGATACAACCCATTCTTGTCTACGATATCGGCTTCGTTATTAATCCTTAGTCAATTTGAGTCCGTTTTCTTGAACTTTTTTATTCTTCATTTTGTCTAGCTCCTCTAGTATAATATTCTTGCATTTTTAGTCGGCAAACCAAACAACGTTTGCTTACAAAAAAATATCAACAGCGCATACTTAGCATTACTGAGATTATTATTGTCACCCCAACGCTCTAACTGTAAGATCGAATTTTCCAATCTGATGTTTGAATGTCCACCCGGAATCTTTCGATTAGAATTCATTTTGCAAACGTGTTGTACAAATATTAGGGATTTTCCTGAAATATGGAATTCCAATTTTATTGCTGTGATAATGATACAGACATCGCGTGTTGCTGACGTCAACTAAACTTAAATAATTACAAAGCACAAACATCGTTTTAACCAATTACATAACTCAAAATTGTTTTAGGTAGCGAAGAGATAAGGCAGTATGAGGAAATAGATCAAGGGCGTAAGTATTTTAATAAAATTATCTATCTTCTATCTATCTATCTATCAAAACTAATATTTGTGACTGTCGTTTGTCTGTCTGTCTTTCTGTTTGGGGTTGGCGGCTACACTAGGTCTGCCCCGAGTCTGAAATTTGGGGTATAGGGGTAGCTCGGACCGGGGAGTAACATAGAGCAGGTGACGTTGGTCTACCACTTCCGGTTTCGGAGTTATGACCCCCCGAGCGAAGCCGGGTATCCTGCTAGTAGAAAATAATTATAAAGCTTTCATCTAATTCTCCAGCAATGTCATTGGAAACTAATAGCTATCTATAAGAAATACTGAATGAATGCGAGATGTTCAAGTAGATTTACATGTACGGTAGATAAACCCCTTTTATTCCCGTTATTGTTTTATGCGAATCTTATAATGTCCGTCGGTCTGCCCATCCATCGATCAACAAAAGTTTTTTGAAAGCCATAGAGGCTACATATTTTAATGGATATCTTTGTACATTAGTTGTGCAGCATGCGTGTCAAGAGAGGACGAACCTTTTGTCGATATAGCCTTACACGACGTTCCGAATTCCAGGCTTCCCAGATATAAAAGGGAATGGCCAGTTAAATGTGGCTGCCAAGTCTGTTTTAGATCTACCGATATGCGAATTGTTAATTGCGTATCATATTTTTAAAACATGCATTAACCAGCTTAGATATGATCGCTGGGAACTGTCATGGGATCTTGCAGACCCAATAAACTTCGCCACACCAAGCCTCTCTTAGGGTGATTGGCCATGCAACACCCACAGACCTAACAGGGAATATGGAGTTAGTGTCCGTCTGGCATAAGTCATATATTTTTAACTGTTAACCCTATTTTCATCTTGAACAGAGGGCCTAAAACAGAAAGTGAACATGGTCACGCCCCTATTACAGGTACATTTTGATTAAGTGGAATCGTCTCAAGAATGTCAGATCAAAGCAATACCGTCGCCAGTCATTTACATGAATTATTTGTCCAACCGGGTATATACTAGACTTTCTAGAAGAGACATAGTTTTATTATACATTGAATATAATATAATATATCCGAAAATATTAGCACAACCGTAAAGCTGTACTACTTTGTTTCACTGTAAACGATGAAAAGATAAAAGGTATGCCGACATAAACTGATTTCAACTCTGGTATAGTAACATTTTGAGGTACATTTGCTCTGTCTTGAAATTTTACTTGTAGGTGTTGTGCCCTTCTAAAGAAATGCCTGTTTACAATAAGGGCCCAATTTCACTATTACAACCCCGTCTTACTGTATCCGTCTCTCCGATATAAAAATTTTGACAACCATTGTAAGTCAAGACATATCAGATTTTTCCTGTCACAATTCATATTGTCGTTGACAAGAAAAGTAAAGTTATGAACATTATAATTGATATTTAGCGTAATATGGTCGCCACATTTACATCGAAGATCCTGGCAATTTTAGATATTTATATGGGTGGTTCTACGTTTTTTTAATATTAAAACTCAGGTGACAGTTGTTTTATATGCAAATTTTGGGTTGGAATTGGTATGCCATAAAACTGAACGATATTTTTTTGTGAAACATTGTGCTCATGAGAGGTCAAACCCCATCGAAATTCAGAGTACATTGACTTTTCGTTTAAGAAATAACCCCCCTTGTCGAAAACGATATAAATGCGACATAGGCTACAGTTTTTATTATTTTAGCAAATTTGGTGTTAAGCAATAGGGTCATGCGAGGATGAACTCTATCGATATTAATTGCTCTGTGACTTACCATTCCTCTGTTATCACCAATTAAAAACACGATACAGGCTATAGTTGTTTAAGAGATGTTTTTAATATTTGGCTTAAAACATGGGTTCATGAGAGGATGAACCTGAGGGGTATCTAGCGTTCCGGAGTTATCCCCCCTTTTAAAACAAACCATTTAAAAGCGATAATGGTTATAGTCTTTAATGGATCTTTTTCATATTTGGTTTGAAGCATTGCAGTCATCGGTCCCGATCGATAACCACAATTCACAGTTAACCCTCTTTGTCGAAAACCGCGTAATTGTGCTAGAGGCTACGTTTTTTAACAGATGCTTTTTCAAATTTAGTTGGAGTAATGGGATGATAAGAGATTAGATTTCTTCTTAGAGACTTATCAAAGTTGTTCAACATCAACAATTTCCTTTCGGATAACCTGTAGTTAGAGACAAAATTGCTGGGTGTGCGTATTCCACGCATTGTGTGACTCTTTTTTCAAGCTTGTTGAATACGTTAGAGGTCACATTTCTTGAAGGCATCCTTGGTCAACATTCAAGTTTTCCTCTCATATTAGGTGCTGTCGAGACAAATAGCTGCTGTGTGGGCGTATGTTCACGCTTTGAGTGACTGTCCATGTTTTTTTTTCTAGATTTTATACAGTGTGACGTAGATCATGTGAAACCATGTAATCCTGAATTTGTTAGAGACAAATTGGTAAATAGAAATAACTCACTTTCATTTTCTGTTTAAGCTAAAATTATTTACGATATTATCAGTTCAAGTCGAAATTATTATCAACTTGGCTGGGAATTTATACATAATATATTTTTTAATCGGAATGACTTTGAAAGATTCCGTGGCCCCTATCGAGGCTCAAGTAAGCATGTATATATGCAGTGAAGGGTATAAACGTTTGCTTGGTTTTGTGTTCTATCACTGCCAATGCCAACCCATAATTCCTCATAATGTACGATAAGAACTCGACACAACAGACCACTATATTGACTAGTTCTTCACGTCCACCAGAACGCAGGTTAATTAACAACTCTTTCAGATCCTAGTGTAGTAAAGACAAGTACAACAGAATTTTGAACTATAAAAAACGAAACGAAATATTAGCTGTGTATCAATTCTGTCGGTCGATGTTGCGTTGGGTTCGTCCGTTCGTCTGTCTGTCCGTCACACCTTTTTGGACACAATAACCCTCTTTCTAATTGAGCTACAATGTTCAAACTTGGTGTAGGTGTTTATTAGGCGAATGCCTTGGTGGAGTTCGAAGATGAGCATTTTCGGCTTGGGGTAAGCAGAGATAAGCAATTTAATTGGTTGATGCTTTGGGATATCAACTTTGGGTTAACTTTAGTTCTAATTAAGTGAGCGTGGTGAAACTTGGTGTATAGTTTCATTACATCAATACCTTGACTAAGTTCGATAATGAGTATTTTCTACTAAGGTAAGCAGAGCGATAAGCAATTTGATTGGTCGAGACCTTGGAACACAATAACTCTCCTTCTAATTGAGGTAGAATCTTTAAACTTGATGTAGACGTTCAATAGGTGAATGCCTTGATGGAGTTCTATGATTAACATTGTCTCCTTATGGTAAGCAGATATAAGCAATCTGATTGGTTGATGCTTTGTTACACGATAACTTTGGTTATATGAAGTGAGAGCGATGGAACTCCGAATATAGATTCATTATATCATTACCTTGACTAATTTCGATGGTGTGGATTTTCTGCTTAGACTAATGAGCGATAAGCAATTTGATTGGTCAATACTTTGGAAAATAACAACTCTGCTTTTAATGTAGACTTGATGTATATGTTCATTAGGTGAATGTCTTGACTGAGTTCAATGATTAACATTTCGAGCTGAAGCTAAGCAAAGCTAATCAATATCATTGGTCATCTTGATTCTATCTGATAGAGAGTGATGAAACTTAGTGTATAGTTTTATTGCTTGATACTTTTGAAAAACAAATAAATGTGCGATTAACTAATGTGTGTCATCTATTTATTTTGGGATTTCGGCGGGGGACATCAGTCTCACTGTTGGCTTATTAAGATTGTGTTCAACAAATAAAATGATATATATGACAATTTGTCTAATCTTTGCTTTTGATTTATAAGCCTTTTTTTTTCTGACGTCATCGTGCTGGTCACGGCTATTAATCTGTCTATAATGGTATCGTGCACTTGCTACTAGGTAGACGTCCATCATTTTTAGTGCAAATTTATTGTTTCAGAAAACTGGTGTGTATACCATGAAAGAGAAAAAAAGGGGGATATGTCTGATAATAAACAACTACTTTTACCCCGAAGATTCATATGGATATCGTAAAGGAACGGATAAAGATGCAATGGAGTTGACTGCTCTGTTCGAGGACCTGGAGTTTGATGTCAGAGAAGAAAAGGAGTTGAAAGCTTCGGTAAGTTTCCACAGACAATAGTGTGTCTATGGTAAGGGCAGATGATAGATTAGCACACACAGCTTTATTTGAAATATATCAAGGGATTTTTCTTCACCTAGTTATTCCTAAAATTAGAGAGCTTTTCAGAACTATTTAAAGATGTATTTTACCACAGGCCTTTCTATTGGCCTCAAATGTCATATACATTATTTATTAGACATTTATTCACAAGACAAGCCCTGAAATAATTAGCTAAACCTTTGGGTGGTTACGATTGTGAATGGGTTGAGAAACTGTCGCCATTTAATAACTAGATTTAGAACCGGATAATCGTACTAATGGTAGCAATTCTTATCAAAACTACAAACATTTATCAGAATTATTTTTAAACTATTATAGCGGGAACATCAGCCCTTTATCTAAATCTTACATAATGCATCTGGCGAACTAAAAGTTATACGTAGGTTTGTAATCTGGTGTTGGTTTATATTTGGCACAAATGTAAGTTTTACGTGAAAATGACCTTAAAACGTTATTAAGCACCTTAGATGCGGTGTGTATTTGGACAATTGGACACCAATTACTACATGCGAAATGAGTATTGCACTTTGCAATTTAGCGAATCCGCAAAATGAGAATTATGATGAAGATTATATAAAGCTGAAAATACGTGCATACGTTAATTAAATGACTACGTGTTTATTTGCCCAGTCGGGGCAGCACAGCTGGTAGTTAAACCCCATTTCATGCCATTACGTTAATTAAAAGACAGGGTAAGTGAATGACACTTCCGGAAGCCATCAAATGGAAAACCAATTCTCTTTCTGAAAACATTGTGTTGTTTCATGTTTTATTGTTTTATTTCAGGAAATGGAGCAAAAGCTTAAATCATACAGTCAGGAAATTAAAGATTCAGACGATTGTTTTATGCTATTTATTCTAACTCATGGTAAAGAAGGGTATGTACAAGGAACGGATGGGGAGTTTGTGAAAATAGATGTTATCAAAGACTATTTTAGTTCTGACAAGTGCCCAAAGTTAAAAGACAAACCGAAATTGTTCTTCATACAAGCGTGCCAGGGAAGTAAGCTACTTCTTTTGTTTACAGTTTTTATATTTATAATAATAATTGTTGTCTCGTGATATGGGGCAAAACAGACGAGAAAGAAGAATAGGGTTGACTGCCTTAATTTATGTCTCTTTTAACCTTATGATTTTAGTAGGCTCAGCTCTACCGACCGTACACAAGTCTTCCATAGATACCGCGAATACTTTTCAGCAATGTAATACATATATGTACAATGTATAGTAAATCTCTTTCATGCCAAATAACATGATTCCAGTTATGAGTGGTCTGGAATTCTCCACCAGTAGGTTCACCAATATAATGAATGTTGGGGGGAGAGAGAGAGAGAGATTAACGTCCACTCGACACAAACTAGGTCATTTCGGGACTAACATATGGTTCAAATTTCAATAATGCGTTTGCGCTTAGGGGTCTTCAGCAGTCGGAGGAAACCAGATGACCTGGAGAAAGCTCACGAGGTTGAACAGGCGACCCTACTAATTGTCACGTACAGCCGAGGAATCGAAACCACGCCAGTTGACTCAATGACAGACCTTATGACACAATGCACAAGCATATTCAGCTTGAGCACTATCAAAATGTAGCGTTATATCCCTTGTCATCAAAATCACTAAGCGTTTTTGGAGATTTCTTTTTACAATTTGACCGGGTAATTTAACCGGTCAAATATTACTTGCAGAGTTATCTACCGTGACAGCAACATCTTTGATTTGAAAATGTCTTTTTTGTTTAAAATTGCCGTAATTGGCTTGTTTGATCAGGTAAAAAAAACCTATTGAAATATGCATTATTTGATGTATTCTGTCCCTGGCCTATTCAATTCGTTGCTGGCTAACCCGTGTTTCAAATTGGCATGTTATATAACTATGTTAACCTCTATTTGTAAAAGATCGTTTTTCAAACTCCAAAACATTAAACTAGTCATAACCATTATAAGCGGACGGACGACTTAACAGGCTCGGTGTAACACAAGTTTAATATTTTTGTATTTTCATACACGTAGCTCGTACAGAACATATGGAATTGACTGACACCGTGGAACCTATTGCTGACTACTATCTGGCTATAGCCACAACCCCAGGTATTTATGAATTGTCAAACACAATAATGTTTTTAAGCGCGTCGACCAAATGAGGTAAGTTAATAATAATAATAAAGTTTTTGTTACTATTATTATTATACATATGCAAGCTGGAGATGTAAAGCCATGTGCGCGGGGGCGGGGGGAGGGGTCACGGTTGCTAAGTGGGTAAGACGCTGGCACGCTATCCTTGAGGTCGGGTGTTTGATCCCTGCATTGGCCGAGAAAGTTCATCCAGATTTTCCGGCGTGGTTCCCCTCTTGTCAGTGATACAGGACGGAGGTCCTGACAAGAGACAGCTCTAGTCGTTCGGATGGGTCGAAAAACGGAGGTCCCGTGTACACATTGGCGTGCACGTAAAAGATCCCTTGACAACTGGAATTCGATATAAGAGTAGGCCGTTGTGCCGCTGTCGGGCAAAATTTCCCTCCTAGCACACTTATGCCCGTCACATTCGCCCAGTTCGGAGCAGGACAGTAGGACGTTAAACCCTATTTCATTTCATTTAATTTCATTTCTAATGTGCACTCGCTCAGCAAAGGCTTATTGAATCTTTTCCAGGTTTTGTCGCTTATCGACATCCGGTACTTGGTTCCTGGTTTATTCAAGCAATTGTAGCTACAATCAAAACATATGCATGTGAGGAATCGTTCAAGGAGATGATGAAGCGGGTAAAGTTTATTCATTCTCATTTGTAAGATAACAGTAAACTGCGAGACAGATTAATGGACAGCCACTTACACTGGGTAGTCCATGATAGCTACACGAACTTATTTTTGTTGAATCAGTGTGTGCCCGGCTTAATGATGAATACTATTGTAGTGGATTATAGACTTTACCCATAGCTCATTTGCTCAGGGTTTGTATACGCTCATATTTAATGTGGCATAAAAGGCATATATTATAGTAAAATTCCGTTTTCTTGGAATTATTCAAAAGTTGGCAGAATTTGATTAAATTTATCATGTTTTGTTACAGATGTTTGAACTCCATAAACTCTCATTTTCAGTCCAACAATTCAATATTTAGCGCCATTTTCCTCCAAAATCACCTTCAGTTGGAAATAAGCTCAAAATCTAACCATGTTAATTAATCAATTTAGATAGGTAAAAGCGGACAATACAATGATACGTCATGACCGGAAAACCAAAAATCCATACATAAAACTCTATTAGACATAATGCAACAGTATCTGTCCTTCTTGACGGGTGTGTTAAGCTGGAGGTTTGGGACGCCATTTTCAAATTATGCAAATTAGGTCAATTTAAAAGGGATTGAATATAGTCCAACTGAATAGACGGCAAAACAAACTTAATATCACACTTACATTCAATGTTGGGTCATTGAACCAATTTAGGTAGGGTTAACGTTTTTTGACATTTGACCCACACGAAAACTATACAAAACTCTTAATCATGAATATGATACATGGAATTATTAAAGTTGCTTTATCTACATAATTGGGTATATATGAGAGGTGGTTGGATATCTAGCTACTTCTAGACTGAAAGTAATTCTGGAAGAAAATGGGCTTAATATGTTTAACATATGTCAGCCATGTTTAAACATAATAATTAAATGTTTCATTTAAATTAAATGCTGCCAACTCTTAAATTATTCCAAGAAAACTAAATTTGCTATTTTGTCCGATTCGCGTCAATTTATTGCATCGATTAAAATGTACTTGGTCTGGGAGTGTTACCATGATTTTGTCCAAGAATCTCAACATACAGAACAGGAAAATCCAAAGTTTCGCTTCTATGATGAAAATTAGTGATAGGTGCGATGCCGATGATTTTCTGCCAAGGCATAGGTCCGTATTCCAGTCAGTCAAACATATTTTCTGGCCACTTGGTGGATTCTTGCTGTCAATACCATGACTAAGTGCGATTATGTGCATTTTATGTTTATATTAAGCTGAGTGAATTGCCTGTGCTTTATCAAATGGTTAATGTACCAGTGATTAATTAATATATTTATGTTGGGATTGGGTCCGGCACAAATGAATGATTCACTGTTAGTTTGTTTATCATTAAAATGTTTTTCAGATTGGACAGAAAATGAAAGATGTGGGGAGTCGTCTAAATCCCCATGAAATGACATCGGTAAGCATATTGTTTAAACGATATTCTGAGATAGACTACACGGAGATACGCAATTTCTTTGGTTGGTATTTTGAGACAAGATAACACTTCGTCTATTAGATAAACGGTTTTATTAGCCACGGCTTTGGAACCCAATCACTCTCCTTCTAAATAAGGGGGAATGGCGAAACGTTATACATAGAAAATGAAAGATATTGGCTGCAGCAGTATTTAAGCCAGTGATTCCCAAAATGTGTTGAGTTATCTCCCATTGGCTCGAAATGTAGTTGTCAAATTCCCTCATCCGCATGCATTATTAAGAACAAAGCTCGTCTTTGTAAAGATCGAGACAAAGTCCCCCCTGACATAAAATGTTATGATCTTTAAACTAATGAAGGCGATTATATGCTGTTAGTGTGTAAGAAGAGAAATTATGATTCTTTGTCGGAGGTTATTCCTCTGATTCGAGAATCTAGACTGGGAAGGTCCAACAAACCGCTTACTTGATTTGTAACTCTGCTATATGTACACAATTTCAATCGGATATATTCAGACGAATCTGACACAGAAAAATGACAAACCTATGGCACGTTTCGGTTATACTGCCACCGAGTGACACAGTATGTTTATTCCAATCCTTTATTCCAACCTCGTGGGTTTTCTCCGGGTCATCCGGTTTCCTCCCACTGCTAAAGACCCCTACGCGCAAGCGAATTATTGAAATAAAATTAAACCATATGTTAGTCCAGAAATGACCTAGTTTGTGTCGAGTGGACGTTAAACCCATTTCTCTCTTTCACTCTCACTCTCTCTCTCTCTCTTTCTCTCTCTCTCTCCAAAGCTATGCATCATCTCAAGATATTAATGTCAGCGACATAAGTATCCAATATCCCATAGTAATCATTTTTCCATTACAGGTAAACGATCCTGCTATAAGAAAACGAATTGTAAGATGATCTATATAACTAGTTTAATAAGAAATCCAGATTGGTTTGTTGCTATAATATTAATTAACAAATTTGGTATTTTCGTTAAGTACTAGTTTGTGCATGTTAATGAAGAAGAAAACTTTCTGATCGGAAACTTTTAATTACGGTACATACGACATGGTTAATCTGTTCTCAATTTCAGGTGAATGTAGCAACCCCATTTTACGATGATCAGTTGAAGAAGGAATTATACTTTTTTCCAAAAAGTGGAACTGATCTTGTTCGGTGAATTTCCGTGAAATTTAGAAACAAAGAACCTTTGTATGATTATCTTGTACTTTATACATTTTATATTCTTTGCTGTTTGCTTTCTTTTAAGTATTAGTTTATTCTAAATATTTTCGTAAAATTGAAACCTAATGGTCAATATATGTAGTAATCTATCTCTTGTGTTAGAAGGGAGGTTAAGACCACTAAATGTTTGCTTTGGAGCATGTTTGAAAATTGTTACCAATAATGGGCTTATTCTAATGTATTTTAAAAGAACCAACTTCATCTATATCAGCAAAATATGAAGTTGTTACTGTGTATCAAAAATTATTTTTATTGTTATTTTTGTATATTGCATTTTCCTGCCATTTATTGATAACACATTCCATTTCATATGGCCTACTGCATATTTTAATCATTGTATCATAAATCTCTTTTGTTTTTGGTTTTGAACTAAAGCAATATTATTATTTTTCATCTGTTTAATAGTTTTTTATTACACTATATTTTTTCGGGACAGATTTGAAAATTCGCTGAGTCATGGTCCCTTCAGTTTTGTCTAAAAGTGTTCCAAAATTATTCCCGAGTAATTAAAATTACCATGCATTGTCAATAATAGTCACTTAACATGCATCGTCAAAATCTAGTCGGAAGTCAAACATATACAAATGTTGATCTGGTATTATCTCCGTAACAAATGGTTTCATTGGCTAATCCCTCGTGCCATCCAGAACGCAGGTTATATAACAACTCTTCCAGATCCTAGTGTAGTACAGTCGAATAAACCGAAATTTTGAATTATAAAAAACGAAACGAAATAGGATGTGTGTTTTAATACGATTATATTGAGTAGTATTAAATACATTGTCTCCTCGAAAAATGTTGTTAGTGGTTTTAATGCGGTAAAATATCTTTTATGTCTAGTATGTATATTTCTAATGTTTCACTAACGCTTGATTTTTGTGTTTTAATTGATCGTTTATTCTTTGCGGGTGTGTGTGTGTGTGTGTGTGGGGGGGGGGGGGTAATCTACGGCGGGGCAAAGGAATGTTTTCCATTCTAAAATCTAGTGTGTGTGGGGTGGGGGATACAGGTTGTATTGTATCTGGGTTCCTATTGTTGCGTCACTTTCGGAATCAATCTACAAATTATTTCTACGCTAATATTGTCTGGCATTTGTTCAACCTATTACATGTGTAGAATCTGTGTATGCTGTGAAGGTAGAATGAAGTCTGCACATTCGGACGATAAAAAGCTCCGCGATACTTACATTTATCGAAGGGATGTTTTTCGCGAAGCTATGTGCCACCACAGAAATCCCTGTTGACTGTAACGTTCATTGTTTTCTGGTACCATCACAAATTTAAAAATAACATCCGGGATAATAGACCCAAGCGGGGCGTGGTTACCTCTTGTCACTTGTGCAGGGCTGAGGGTCGTTCGGATGGGGCGACAAACCGAGGTCCCGTGTACATATTGGCGTGCACGACAAAGATCCATTGGCAGTTGGAATTCGATGTAAGAGTAGACCGTACCGCCGCTGCCCGTCGTCATTAACCCAGTCGGGGCAGACCAACATAACGTTAAACACCATTTCATTTTAGACCCCACTGAACACTTTATTTTGGCTGAAATCATTCTACCGACATAGAACTATCTAGTTTGAGAACAAGATCCGTGCCTTGATCCAACCTCGTGGGTTTTCTCCGGGTCCTCCCCACTGCTAAAGACCCCTATGCGCAAACGAATTATTGAAATAAAATTGAACCATGTATTAGTCCCGAAATGACCTAGTTTGTGTCGAGTGGACATTAAATCCCATTTCTCTCTCTCTCTCTCTCTCTCTCTCTCTCTCTGTGACTTGAATGGCCGCCATTTTCAAAAATTAATATGGGTCTAATCCTTTTACATCTTTCACACACACAAAGACTAAATAACCATTGTAGACTGACAGCGTTAGTAGGTGTGTCGTATGAGCGCACTTGTGACAATAGTTGTCCTAAAAAGGGTTCGGTCATTTGATGATTCATGGTTTTTGTTGCTTTATGCGTGCTCCTATCTATTGATGCAATACAATTTAAACTAGACTTGCTTGCAAGACTGAAGGCTTTCGCCGTGCCAAGGCGTCACACGGTCTCCAGATGCATGACAAAAGACTATCCCCACCTCTCACCCCCTAAACAAACACACACTCCACCACCCCCCAAATAAAAACACACATTTGCATAACTCAGATATTGACATGTTCTTTGCATGCGCATTACGATAGAAGGGAATCGAAAAATAATGTTGATCTACGCGAAATGGAAAAAGAACAGTTGCGCGAAATGGACGAAAAGCAATGTCTCAATAGATATTAACATCAAAGTAAATGAAATTGTGTTTTAACACCATTCTGCTCGGAATGGACCATGAGGAATGTTTCGAACGTACAGCGGCGCTAGCCTACTCTTATATACAATTCCAACTGCCAAGGGATCTTTTATAGTCACACCAATGTGTATGCGGGACTTCGGAATCGAGTTCATGTCAGCTACTGAAATATGTAAATGGTTCAAAAATTAAATATCGCCAATTTTCTGCTTTCGTGCACGTTAAAGATTTGACGTCACTAAACATGTAAAAGTTTACTATTAATTACAGACAGAGTCCAGGATCAAACAACTGAAGCAGTCAAGAGCCAGGATGTTCGCGACTACTTTGGTTTTTTTTATATTTACTGATACTATCATATTTCATTATTTGTTAGCGTAGGACATTGTCATTTATATATATATTAAACATGTATTATATGTCTTATTATAGAAGTCTATAGCGTTATGTTCTTTCGTAACCATTTGTTTAAATACCTTAATTGTTCGTATTTTCTAACCAGGGTAATGATATAACTATTGGCCGAGAAAGTTCATCCAGATTTTCCGGCGTGGTTCTCCCTTGTCAGTGATGCAGGACGGAGAGGCTGACAAGGAAAGCTGTCTAGTCGTTCGGATGGGACGAAAAACCGAGGTCCCGTGTACACATTGGCGTGCACGTAAAAGATCCCTTGGCAGTTGGAATTCGATATAAGAGTAGGCCGTAGTGCCGCTTTCCGGGCAAAATTTCCCTCATAGCACACTGTATGGCGTATGCCCGTCTTCATTAGCCCAGGTTAGGAGCAGAACAGTAGGACGTTAAACTCCATTTCATTTCATTTCATTTCAATGATATAACTGTTAAATTAAACAACGGATAACTCCTACCTCTTAAAATGATTTATATAATTAGTAAATAATAATATGATACTGTGTATTAGTCGTGTTTATTTTCCTATGATTTGAATTTCTTCATGCAATATTTGTAAATCGCCAGTAGGAATAAATGTCTCTTATATAGATACATTATGCTGGCTGGAAGTTGCACGGTAGGCTAGCGTTTGGGACTGCGGGCGAAAGGTCAGCGATGAACTCTCTGATCTCGACATGCTACTTTCCGATGGCACAGAAGCTTCTTTCTGTTTCAGCGTGCGCTGTATTATACGGTCTGTCATTGAGTCAACTGGCGGGGTTTCGATTCCCCGGTTGTACGTGACAAGGAGTGGGGTCGCCTGTCCAACCTCATGGGTTTTCTCCGGGTCCTCCGGTTTCCTCCCACTGCTAAAGACCCCTACGCGCAAGCGATTTGTTGAAATAAAAGAATTAAACCATATATTAGTCCAGAAATGACCTAGTTTCTGTCTAGTGGACGTTAAACCCCACTAGTCTTCTTTTATATAGAATTCCAACCGCCAGGGATCTTTTACGGTCACACCAATGTGTACACGGGACTTCGAAATCGCGTTCATGTCAGCTACTCAAATATGTAACTGGTTCAAAAATTGATTGAATATTCAATGAAATATCGCCAATTTTCTGGTTTCGTGCACGTTAAAGATTTGACGTCACTAATAAAAACTTGATATTAATTACAGATAGAGACCAACAACGTCATGCCTTTTATCATAGGTGCAATATTCGATACTACTGTACGATAATACTGCAACCGATTAATAAATTGGATTTTCTTATAAACAGCCAGATGATTACCGGTATCAGATAATTTTTACAAAGAAGCAACAATATTAATTCAAAGACTAATTATTACACACAGCAATCAACTATTTCTGTTACAGAGTCACTAACCCCATATTTTGGATAGAAAAGAACACTCATGGTTGAAATAATTTCTGTTCAAATATCATCACTGATAAAAGCACTCTTGAATTGGCTCTATACGTTGACAAAACGTACAGATTGTATCCCCTCTTATGTTTCGCTTAACAATGAAAGGTGCGGTGTTCAATTTTCGATCCCTTTGTTCTGCTACTCCTGAAATTTGGAACTGTTGTACAATGGTTTTAAATATAACACTACTGATAGGCCTCTCTGTAGAAGAAGTTCCAAAAAAATATTTTGTTGACTTTTCGAGAAATAGACCTCTAAAAATGCCCCAAATCGTAAAAATACGACGTTTTCGATTTTCGATCTCTTTTTTCGGCTACCCCTGACATTTCAAAAAATGATACAATGGTTTCACACAACAGAGTACCCATTTATCTCTCGATTGAGAAAGTGTTAAAAAAATCGTTGGGGGCGTTTCCGAGAAACATGCGTCTAAAGTTGCTCGAAATCGCAAAATACCTTACTTTTCAAAGTCGCACAACTTTTTTAGTTTTTGATAGAAACTTGTCGCTGAAGTACCATCTGATAGACAATTCAATTGGCTATTAAACGATATAAAACTTTAACTAAACGACAAGAACACAATTGATACATCGCATTTTCCGCACAGGCACCCATTTTTCACAATTTTGTCAAATTTTGAATACCTTTCTTGACCACTTCCTGTGATTAGAGGATTTTCATTTATAGTTCATGGACTGGTTTGGTCCCTGGGCTTCAGAGTCCCGACGTTTCAGAAATGTCGTAGGTGTCGTAGGTGTTCGTACCTTTCTAACCAGGGTAATTATATAACTGTTAAATTAAACAACGTCTTGTCGTTTAAAGTGACCCAATATCCACCGCAAACTACATGTCAGATTATGTACAGAGTGCAGTGTCTCTTTTATTTATCTAATCAATTACAGACTATTATACCACTGTGATAGAGTAATGATTATTATTATATATTTAAGAATATTTACACTAGTATTTGGTATGACTTTATATTTTCAATTAATGTGCCAAAATAATCTTTGTTCATTGTATAAATATTTCTTAGTAGACTATTCCACTATTAAAATATATATTATGCTTTAAAGATGAAAATGTTATCCTCAAAACGCAAACTCAAACATGCCTAAAATAGCTTCTCTCAATGTAAATGGATTCCGCGATTTGCTCAAAATTAAAAACATTTATGCATATTTGAATAGCTTTAATTATGATATAGTCTGTATTCAAGAAACATTCTGGGATAATGAGTTTATAAGTTCTTTTGCCGATTTATGGGACGGCCCGTGCTTTTTTAATAATTTTCAAGACAATAAAAGACGGGGGGTTGCCATTCTGTTCAAAAACATGTATAAAAATTCCATTACGCAAGAATTTAAAGACAATCAGGGTAGAATAATACGAGTAGATTTTCAATGTGACAATAAAGACATATCAGTATTCTCTATATACGCCCCTAATAATTATAAAGATAGGGGGGAATTCTATAATGTTCTCTCTTCTTTTATTGATATAAATCGCATGAATGTTATATGTGGTGATTTTAATGATGTACTAGATCCTAATCTAGACAGAGGTAAAAAATATGTATACAAATGTTAGTTCTACTGTAATTTTTAAAACTTTTATACAAGAAAATAATCTGTGTGACATATTTCGTGTTAAATATCCAGAAAAGCGTCAATTTACAAGGATACAAACTGTGAACGGGTCATTACGAATGAGTAGGATCGATT